TCATGTACGTTGTTCCGTTCGTAGAACAATTACATTCTCTAACATATTTTTTCTACAGGATATCCAGTTTTTCCGTGAGGCTTCTGACGTTCAGTTCGATGAGACTGGCAACCGGAAGAGAAAACACAGATACGGCGATGAGGATGAAATCGAGATGGAACAACAAGAACGAAAGCGAAGACAAATGCTCAACAAAGAGTTCAAACTCTTTGCCGAGCGAGTAGCCGAGGCAGCATCGACGTCTATGGGTGAAACACTCGAAGTTGACATCCCCTTCAGTGAATTGTCGTTCGAGGGAGTGCCGTTCCGCACCAACGTCCGATTGCAGCCCACAACAGAATGTCTCGTGCATCTCATCGACCCTCCATTCCTTGTTGTCACCCTCAACGAGATCGAGATTGCTTCGCTGGAACGTGTTCAATTCTCGCTTAAAACAATTCGATCTCGTACTCATCTTCAAAGATTTCACCAAAGCGCCGTTACACATCAATTCAATACCGAGTGGTCAACTTGATGATGTGAAGAATTGGCTAGAGTATGCATGTCCGTTGTGATCGGTAGAACATCGATACTGATGGAACGCGTTCGCAGCTCGGTCGACATTCCTCTCGGTGAAGGCCCGGTCAACTTGAACTGGAGTCCTATCATGAAGACTATCAATGAGAGCCCGTGTGATTTCTTCCAGCAAGGCGGTTGGCGAAGTTTCCTCGGTGGGGGTGATGCCGATGTAAGTGCTTAGATGTGATCATCCGTCATGGGGGCTGAAGCATTGTTGGCAGAGCGATGCAGACGTGGGTTCGGACAGCGAATCTGAGTTTGAGGCAGATCCTGAGGAACTGCAGTCTGAGGAGAGCAGCGCTGATGCTAGTGAGTATGATGGCTCAGATGCGAGCGACGACTCAGGAAGTGGTTCGGGTTATGATGATGATAGCGATGACGGTGATGACTGGGAAGAGCTAGAAAGGAAAGCTGCTAAATGTACGTATATTGACCATCGCTCTTTTTAAATACTTATTTGCAAACCAGCCGATTCAAAGCGAGCCGCCGAGGCAAAGGGAACTCGCGGAGACTCCGAATCAGATGATGACCGACCTAAAAAGAAGAAGGTCGCTGCTAAACCCAAGACGAACGGCAAAAGCAAGAAGCGGTGATCCTTGATGTGGACTTATCATGATGAATATTGTATCTGCTTAGCACTTTAAACTTTTGCCTCAATCTACTTTGCATCTGGTCCAGGTAGAGCCCTGAACTCGAAAGTATGCGACTGTTTGTTCATTAAATCACAGCGGAAATCAAGACGGAAGATGCGGTCTATGTATTGGCGTACTCTGTGATCATGCTCAACACTGATCAGCACAACCCGCAAATACGAGTCAGGCCTTTGCACTTCTTATGCGCTTTCTTTATCTTACAAAGCAACAGAAACGCATGTCGATAGAGGATTACCAGCGGAACCTGAGAGGTGTTAATGATGGTACTAACTTTTCGCCCGAGTTCTTGGTGGGTGGCTTTCTGCTGTTGAAGATCTATGGTGTTCACTCCCAGCAGCAAAGCGTTTACGATTCCATATGCAAACGTGAAATTGTTATGCCTGAAGAGCATACTGGCCAACTCAGCTTCGAGTACGCCTGGAAAGAACTGCTCACCCGTTCACGACAATCGGGTAAGTCGATTGTGCAGAAATTGTAGTGTGCACAGGGAAGTTGATGACGGAGTGGGAGCAGGGCGTCTCAAAAGCTGACAACAAACCCGAATTGGTCGATATGGCCCCTGCGTTGTCTGCATTCATGGCCATTAAGGACGAAGAAGAAATGGTGTGTTCACGCATTATATCTTGGGGCCAACGGTCTTCTAATGCACAGTGCAGACATGCATCCGTACGGCGGCTAATCTCACTTCTACCTTGCTCGTTCACCACATCGTGTTAAAACTGGAGATGATATTGGACAAGGAAGCTAAGATAACTCATGAACAATTTGCTACTCAGATAGAGGCGCGACTTGGGTCGGGTGAAGGTGAAGTTGCCAAAGGACCTGATATGAAGGTGTGGAGTAAAGGGCAGGGCCTCAATGATGTGCGTCAACTGCTCTTCCAGACTCGCTCGTACATCTCATGGGTCATTCCAGGTTGACTGGGCATCGACGGAGATCTGCTACTCTCCCATCATTCAGTCGCGGTCAACAACCACTAGTTATGATTTGCGATCGACTGCGGAATCATCTTCGGACACTATCGCACACAAAGGCGTCTTCCTAATTGCCGTTGGTATGCGATACAAGGGTTACTGTGCCAATCTTGGGCGCAGTATTATTGTTGACCCCTCGAAGGTCAGTGTTAGCGACGTCCTTTTCTCACTGGTCTCATTCGGCCTCGCAGGAACAAGAAGCCATTTACAACTTACTGTTGTCGATGCAGAGCGAGATGCTGAAGGAAATCAAGGATGGCGTCAGCGCACGTGAAGTGTATCAATGGGCATTGGACATCGTGAAAAAGGAAAAGCCAGAGCTTGAGAAGAACTTTGTCAAGAATGCTGGGTTTGGAGTGCGTAATCCTCTATCAAAAATGTGCCCATAAGTCTCAAACTCGTTCAGACCGGCGTTGAGTTCCATGATTCCGCGTATTTGCTTTCTTCTAAAAACTCCAAGCGCCCGAAGACGGATATGGTTTTAAACCTGTCTCTTGGCTTCTCCGACTTGCTTGATGACAACGGCAAGAAGTATGTGTCATTCCTTTGGTCCACGGCAGCCTCGTTCATACTTTTATTTCAGATACGCCCTCCATATAGTTGACACTATTCGCGTTGGCGCTGACAGATCAACTCTTTTGACTGAAGGCGCCAAATCCACCAAAGACACGCTCTTCTTCCTAAATCCTGAAAATGAAATTGAGGTGGAAGAAGATAAGCCGTCCAAACCCAGTAAGAAGGCTCCTGTGAAGCCTCTGGTAAACGGTTCCCCCGTCAAGAACAAGACAGTTGGTGGGAAGGTGTTGCGAAACAAGACGCGTAGCGCTGCCCAGGAGGAAGTTTTAATGACTGCAGCGGCCAAGATCAAGGAACATCAGCAACAGCTGCATGAAGGTCTCCAGTCTGCTGGATTGGCGAAGTACTCTGAAGGTGCTAGCGGTGGCGGTGAAAAGGAGGGTAAAACCTGGAAGCGTTTCCAAAGTTATAAGGGTGAAAGCGCACTGCCACGAGAAGTTGAAAGTCTTTGAGTAAGTGCATCAACTTCTGTATGGAACTTCTTATACTAAAACAACACCACTCAGATCTGCGTAGACCGCAAAGCTCAAACGATTGTGCTGCCCGTGCACGGATTCGCTGTACCTTTCCACATCAACACTATCAAGAATGCGAGCAAAAATGACGAAGGGGATTACACGTACCTCCGCATCAACTTCCAGACTCCTGGTCAGCTCGCCGGGAAGAAAGATGACACGGTAAGTATGGCTTCAGAGTTACGAGTGTTCTCGAGTTTTTGAAGGTATTGCCAAATAGCCTTTTGAAGACCCTGACTCTACTTTCATTCGTTCGGTCAAGTGATGGCCATCGTTTCGATACTATTTCCAAACAAATCACAGACCTAAAGAAAGAGGTCAACAAGCGCGAGCAGCAGAAGAAGGAAATGGCTGACGTTATCGAGCAAGATGTCCTGCTCGAAATCAAAGGTAGACGTGCGCACAAGCTTCCTGAAGTGTTCGTCCGCCCCGCCCTTGATGGTAAACGGTTACCCGGTGAGGTTGAGATCCACCTCGGCAAATAGACACAGCGTGTCTCTTCGCATTCTCGCTCTCGATAATGGATGTTTCAATTACAAAAAGTGTATTTTAAAGTTCTTTAAGGCAATAAGTAAATCCGTGCACGAAGCGTGCCCGAAAATGAAGCAAATCGAGGGATATATCGAGTTCGTCATGTGGAACGACGAGCGGGAAGCGTCGGCGTAAGGATTACATAATAAGAATGTAGCCAAAGCGTCAGTAAACTCTCAAAGTGTACTGCAAGGTAATAAATAAATATATACATAGAGCGCGCCCAAAAATAAAGTAAATCGAATGATATATCGAGTTCGTCGTGTTGAACGACGAGCGGGAAGCGTCGGCGTAAGGGTTACATAATAAGAATGTAGCAAAAGCGTCAGTAAACTCACTAAGTGTACTGCGAGGTAATAAATAAATATATACATAAAGCGCGCCCAAAAAATAAAGTAAATCGAATTATATATTGAGCTCGTCGTGTTGAACGACGAGTGGGATGCGTCGGCGTAAGGTTCGGCCACTATGGGCATTGTGATGACATAATGCGTGACTTAACTCTATTTCGGGTACTACCGGCGGAGTTTGATTTTCTCAAGTCAGTCACTATATAAACCTCCAGCGCTTGAATCTGTTTTCCTTTCCGTTCTTTCATGTCTGTCTCAGTAGTCGTGCGCTTACAACCGTGTAGTAGGAATTTGTATCTGTCTATTACCATTACAATACTATAGTACAATAACATGATAATCCTAAGTGTACCTCACAATGAAGTAAACTTCAGCGGTGCGCTGGACTTGCGCCGAAGGATAGACGCTTAAGGTTGTTTTGATTTTGCTTATGAAATAATTGTAAAGTTAATGTAACTTCGAATAGGCGAAGGTTTAAATGACATCAGGAAACATACGGAATGAATGCAAATTGTGCAACGCTCTGGGAGTCGCTCCAGATTGACGGTGAGATCACACCCAAGTTATCGTGACTCACATCCTTAACGTGATTTTCAGATTGGTCAACGATTGATCCTATTTTGACCGTATATCGTTCAGGCCATCATTGAACGATAATGCAAATTGTACCAATTTTCTACCTCTAGTTGATATAACATACTGATGTCTGGTATAGATACCGCAGTCGGTCTAACAGCCCCTATCTTGTCACCATGTCTGGCCCAACACTACGGCACATCCTACGCAGCCATACGGGTTTCTCAGCATCAGACGGTAGCGTGCGGGGCGTTTGGTGATCTCTAAGAGTTATAGGCATATGGATTTGCGCGCAAGTTTGGACAATTACCTCTCCGAGGATAATACACTGCAGGTACGCAGGCTCTTCCAAAAAACTTTTCAATATTCACTAAAGTCATCAGATAAGCACCTAGCACCTTGGTGACGAACGAAGGGAGCCGAGGAGGAGCTCACTCACCCATGTACCCACAACTGCCGGTTGCGCACTCTGCTACATATTCCCCTTCACATATCCCTGCAGTGCGACTAAATATAGATGCCTCGACGTATCTGTTACCCGTGGCGCAAAGGCAACATGGGTAGCGAAATGTATGTGCCTTACGATAAGCCTCAAATCGAGAAGGGTGAATTTTATGGCCGTATCGGTCGGTCGGCCTGCATTGGGTGTACGTGAGTAACGAATATTCTCTCATAAAGATAGATGACTTACCATTGAAACGTTGTCAGTTCTGCAGTTTGAGCGTGATAATGCAGTATGCCATGGCGGCAAGTGAGGATTGCCACCAGCATCTTTACAACTTCGGGGTCGGCAGTCCCTTCGAATTCCGTAGATATCATTGAACATTCAGAATGTGGAGAACTTGGTGCGTTCATTTTAGGACGTAGAGCTTGAAGATGACTGAGCTCTTATTTCCAGCATTTATATAGCTATGCTATCGTTTCGCTTCATGTCTGCTTTGTTCCAACATTTGGTTGCCATTCCGCCATCGCCATATCTAGCCATGTGCCTGCCATTTCGGCACCATTCCTGTGCCATACGCTGAATCGCATCATTCTTTCTATAAATCCTCCGGCGATAGACTTCCAGCGTTGACCATCCATTCCTCATGTCAGAACCCGGATACACCTGTGTGTGTAGGCGCACTTTCGCTGCGCAGAACCACTTCTCTCAACACCAGCGCTCCTGCCCTCAAACAAAAAAACGCCTATCATCAGCTATATCCGCTTTTAAGGAACTTGTAACTCGCAGAAAAAGGCCGCGCACTTCGAACTATAATGCTGAGCCTGTGGCGATTATGGGGCCGCCTTGTCAACTGTCTAATTCACCTTCCAATCACCTGGTTTCGCGTGAAGCCAACTCTGTCATAGAGTCCGAGGTTACCGTTGTACCTCCGTTCAACTCATCCTTAGGAGATATGACCCCTGACTGTGACGTTGGGGGAAATGACGGAGATACACTTAGTTTGGCGGAGCGCAGACCAAGACGCCAGAATCGCCAGCTGCCCAAGCGATTTAGAGACGTCCTTCCGCTGCCACCACCTACTGCGCCGTCGGGCATCTTTCCTCCAGCATCCATCAATCACGAACAAGTCGTCTCATCCAATCAATCCCCACCCTTATCCCGGCAATCTGTATTTCGTACCCCCTCAAATATATTCGGACTAGTACGACAATACTTCTCATCTACACCGCCCTCCCACGATCCGGAAGAGTATGTCTCCATCGCAGATCTCTCGTTCATCCCTGATAATTCTCGTGCCGATGACGAACCCAATGCACCCACTGCTCCGGGCAGCGACTCGCAATACAGTCCCTATCCCAATCGCTCCTCCTTCCGACTTGGCGATTGGTACTGGAACCAGGGCCTGCAAAAGTCGCAGAACGACTACATGAAACTATTGGATATATTGAGTGATGGCAACTTTGAGGCCACTGACGTGAGCTCCACACGTTGGAAGAAAATAAACTCCCAACTGGGTGTCAACGAGTATGACGAAGACGATGGAGAAGAGTGGGAAGACGAGGATGCCGGTTGGAAGAGAACCCCAGTGTCAATTCAGGTGCCATTTTCCCGTACGACTGAAAAACCGGGCCCTCGCCTATATCAGGCGGCCAATCTCTACCATCGGTCCCTTGTGGCTGTCATACGGGAAAAGATAGCTAACGAACGAGATAATAAATTATTTCATTATGAACCGTATGAGCTGCGCTGGAACCCTTCTCACCTCGATGCCGAGGTTGGCATATACGGAGATCTTTACACGTCCCCGGCCTTCCATGACGCTCATATGGATATTCAAAATTTACCCAGGGAGCCCGGCTGCGATCTTCCTCGAGTCGTAGCTGGTTTAATGTTTTGGTCAGACGCTACACAATTGACTTCGTTCGGCAACGCCAAATTATGGCCGACCTACATGTACTTCGGTAACGAGTCCAAGTATCGTCGCTGCAAACCATCTTGCAACTTGAGTAACCACGTCGCGTACTTCGAGACGGTACGCTTCCCCAGTATTTGATTGTATTGGTTATCTAACTTTGCACTTTCAGCTTCCAGATTCATTCAAGGATTTCACAGGCGGGAAAGGCATGACTAGCGAGTGTGCGACACACTGTCACAGGGAACTATTTCACGAGCAGTGGAATATCTTACTGGACAGTGAGTTCTTGGAGGCGTATGAGCACGGGATCGTGATCCTCTGTTGCGACGGCATCACACGCAGATTCTACCCCAGGATATTTACTTACTCCGCAGATTATCCTGAAAAGTACGTGAATTTGTCTGTGTCTTACTGTAGATGTGATTCAGATTTCAATAGGGTCCTTATAGCCACGGTCCGCAATCTTGGAGGGTGTCCATGCCCGCGTTGCCTTATACCTAAAGACCGCATTCAAAACATGGGAAAGCCTCAAGATCGGACACAGCGTGAAACTCTTGCACGCAGCAATGATACGCGAAGGACTATGGTTAGTACTGCGCGGTCACTTATTTACGAAAAAAACTACGCGGTCGGGAGCGCTCCAGTTGAGCAAATTCTTAAGTCGCAGTCCTGGGTTCCAACCTCGGTAAGGCTTGAACTTCCATCCCTAACAACGCCTAACCATTCCATAGAATGCGTTTATAGATCGCCTCGGTCCTTTGGGCTTCAACATTTTCTGCGCACTTGTAGTAGATCTCTTGCATGAGTTCGAGATCGGCATTTGGAAAATGCTTTTTATCCATTTGTTGCGGATTCTTACCGCGCAGAACAAGGATCTTATTCATGAGTTGGACCGGAGGTACGTTGCATGAGCATGCGTTACCCATTCAGCTGACCTCTTCGTCACCAGATACAGGCAAGTTCCTACCTTTGGTCAAGCTACTATCCGGAAGTTTTCAGCCAATTCTTCGGGCATGAAGCGCATGGCAGCTCGAAACTTCGAAGATTTACTTCAGGTATGACCACATTTTCATTGACACTTGATCAGACTTGACGCTATCCTCAGTGCTCCATCCCTGTGTTCGACGGTCTTCTGCCCGAACCGCACAATTCATCCGTCCTGCAGTTGCTATTTACCATGGCTCATTGGCACGGACTCGCCAAACTCTGAATGCACTCTGATTGGACACTAGATATTATGGATCATGTAACTTCAGCAGTAGGCGAACAATTTCGCGACTTCAAAGCAACGGTTTGCTCCGCTTATGTGACGCACGAACTTCACCAGGAAGTCGAGGCTCGTACCCGACGCAATGCAAAGCAAGCTGCAAAGCAGACAGGCAAGCATAGCTCTAGCGTGTTGGAGCAAAGGAATGCGGCAGTAGAGTTACAGACATCATCCAAAAATGCTCAACGCACAAAGACCTTCAACTTCCAGACATACAAGTTTCACGCTTTAGGCGACTATGTGTCTACAATCCGTCGATACGGCACATCCGATTCGTACAGCTCCGAACCTGTCAGTCCCGTATATATAACTTCATACTTAACTTACTGACTATTGCAGGGTGAACTCGAGCACCGTTCTCCCAAGTCCAGATATCGTCGGACGGATCGCAAGTCGTTTGTAAAACAATTAACCCGGATCGAACGTCGCCAGGCTCGCATTCGTCGTATTGGCGACAAAATAGTTCATCGCCCGCACATCGAAATCGCTGAATTAGCCAGAAGCCCATGTGTCCACCACCATATTGGCGCAACGCAAAAATTCCCTGTTCACATAGGAACATATCTAATCAGCCACGAAGGTGATCCAGCGATCAAGGTAAATGTTATTGGTATGTGCAAACGTCTCCTAACGCCCCCGCAGAATTTTGTCGTGAAGCTCAAGTCTCATCTGTTGAAACGAATTCACGTTTTACCAGGAGCGGGAGAAGAGGATGGTATCGATGCGGTCATCCTCAAGGACGATCGGATGTATCGTCACAACATAGCAAGGTTCAACTACACTACGTACAATGTTCGCAGGGGCCAAGACGTCATCAACCCCAAGACCTCTCACTGCAACGTGATGGTCCTCCGCAATGCCAACGATGTGGGGAATCAAGGGCACAGATTTCTTTATGGTAAAGTATTAGGCATATATCATGTTAACGTTATCTACGTCGGAAGTGGCATGGTAAACTACACCCCACTCCCAATGGAGTTTTTATGGGTTCGCTGGTACGAGCCCACGATGCAGGTCTCTTCCTGGGAGAACTCCACTCTAGATCGTATTAGGTTTCCGCCCATGACTGACGAGTATTCGTTCGACTTCCTTGATCCTTCAGATGTTTTGAGGGGCTGCCATATAATACCATCTTTCGAGAAGGGTAAAAGACATCTGGAAGGATCAGGCATGTCTGGATGTGCAGGAGACAATGATGATTGGCGTGAGTACTTCGTTAATCGGTGAGTCAGGAAAATAATTAGTGCAAATCAATATTGAACTCATGATTTCAGGTTTGTTGATCGCGACATGCTGATGCGATTCCACTTTGGTCTTGGAGTCGGACACGTCTACTCTCACTATCGTGGCGCACCGGCTGGCCCTCAGCCAGAAGGGAGCACAAATAGTGTCCCCGAAGATGACGTCGATGTCAATGACTTTGACTATGACTTCGAAACAGAAGAGGAAGATGACAGTACTTCGAGAGTGCAAGTCGTCGGGGAGGGGTTTGGCGACAGCAACGAATCATTATTAGAACAATTTGATCAGATGTACGATAGCGATGTAGATTTAGATTACGAGAATTAGCGGTGAGCTCTTGTACATAATACATTTTAGGTTTTTAAGACTCAACTCGATGGCCTGCGATGGCGCATTTTATTCTATGCACATCAGCACGATGCAGAGTGTCACATGAATTTACATGTAATAACGGGATGGCATTGCGATGGCACTCGCATAATTTCTCACATATGGGCGTTTATTCATAAAAGACCATCTTTGCGGTGTTGACTCTTACCTAGATAGCAATGGTTTTCCTCTATGATGCAGACAACAGTGCGCCATTCTTTGACTCCATTCTCTTTCGAGAAGATGCATTTTTTACTTTTTCAGTAAGTCATGTCATGCTGTTCACTTCACCGCCTGCGAGACTAATTCTTTACAGTTTGTCCTCCGAAATTGCCCTGAGGCGACAGCTGTGTTACCCTTCGTGGGGTATGTTCCTGTAGGGTCGCTGATGACACTCTATCCTCTCTACGTATGTATCTGCATACCTAGAAAATCTTCGTGATGTCTCATTGTCGCTGCAGTCTACACAAGCAGGTGTTGCGATCGTAAGTTTTCTTTCTTTTGCAGGGGTGCTATATACGCTGACCGCCGCTCTAGTTGGGATCACTAGCTATATTGTCTGCTTATTTGCGAACTCCGTTGGTACACTGCGCGGTCTATGAGCAAAGGTCAGACATGGAGGTGCCCATATATGTGGTAAGTTGAATCTCAATAGTGTTACGTCTTCCCACTGATCAGTCACGCAGCTGGAACCTCAGTCTCGTACATTCAATCTTCCCTACGTAGGCCAAAAGATAGGTCACGACGGCAACCATTACAACTTATTCACTTGTGTAAGTATATTTTGCAATTTTATTCTATCTCGCCTGACAATACCATAGGACAGTGACGGCACTGCTGTCCATCTCGCACTCCATCCTGCAGGCTATGAGCCTATTCCCCATGCTGTGGGATTCCCTGCTCTCAACTTCACATCTTTCCCGCCGGCGTTGGATCTCACGTTTGGTCTAACACAACCTTTCATCCCACTGAACACGGCTATGGTCGACCCTCGTTCCATTTTGGAATCGTGTGTGCGATCTCCCACTGTTAATCGTTTGCGTTACGACCCTATTCTCGTCGCATCTCGCGCGCATAGTTCCACCGCCGACTCTTCAGAGTCTGGTTTGGTCGGACCCAGCTCAATCTTTGGGTCATCCATCCTGGAGACTTCATATATAGGCTCTTCCGCATATCCGGCACGCAGAGGCGACACCGATGCTAACATATCCAAGAATCTCACAGGCTCAACTGGTACCAAGCGCAGAACTACGCAGAAAACAGACAAACCCACACTATCCTATATCATGACTCGCTACCCCAACTGGAGAAAGGCCCTTGCCTACCTTAGGTGCATGCTACGAGTTGCCGTGTGCCGCGGAGGTCACCCCAGTCTGTTCTTACTCGTAACGGCTGATTATGCTACTGAGCGAAAGGCGCTGATTATTTCCCTCTGGCCCGAAACTCTGGTTCGGTGTGAGTTGCAGCCGCAGGATTTGGAAAAGGGTGAGCAGCTCGATCCCTCTGACTGTTTATAAGCATACTGATCTCGTAGCAGTTACTATGGCAGACGATAATGTTATGTCTGACATGGACATCCTAGCTCTCGTTCGTGTTATCTTTTTTCTTCCCTATCTATCTCATACTGGAACAGGGCGATGCTTGGTTCAGTCTTTGGATGTATGACAACAAGTGTCACGCGTCCACCTCAGTCATGACCAATCGTGCCGGCTTTGACCTGAAACATCTCTTCGGGATTACGCTACATGATAAGATCCTGTCCATCGTATCGAAGCTGATGCCCCCACAGTCAAATTGCCTTCCGTTCACCGTAAGTATTCTGAATTGGCTTTGGTACTCAGACTCTTATCTTCTCACATAGGTCAATGGTTTAGTGAAGTTCCTCCGCCATCAGGTCTCGAAAGAGTCGGTTTACCATGTAGTTTTCTGGCAGAACGCCACACCAGGTTATCGTATCTGTCTCGCTGATCTGGATCCCACAGCCTTTAGGGAGGCAGCACACCCGCCTGTGGCCACGTTGGCCTTAGTCGTAACTACTGTCAGTTGCCTCATTAAACATACTGTTTTCATTCACTCATTTCATTAGTGTTACGACGTCTTTCTGGACACCTTTGATGAAGAATTCAAAGACACTCATGTGTTTATGTCTCCAAGCGAGATGCATAAACACGTATGCGAGACGCTTCCTATGCTATTCGAGCAATCTGACGACCCAGATTATACGTCATTCATGGCCGCTATGAGCGCGTTATGTACCATCAAGTGAGTTTACATTTGTGCGGTGTCTACACTCCGAACTGATCAGAATGCAATGTGTAGGAAGGGCGATGTCCAACGGGTTAGCCGGCCTAAGCACCCAACAAAACGAAAAGCGGTTGCTTAAATTTACGTTTCCGTCCATATCATTTACAAAGAGAGCTTTTTGAAATGTACAGTGTGTTCCGCTTCGAGTCCTTCGTGTATTATTGGAGCTAAGATACGATGTGATCCATTACATGAGTTTCTATATAAGTAAACAATAATACCCACACTGATATCTACGCTCGCTTAGAGGCTTTCGGAAGGATCCAAAACACACGGGTCTTTTTCTAGTTTCATCAATGGCGCACCTAAACCTGCAATATAATTTTGTGTAAGCGAGAAACTAGACTTCAAAACGTGTGTGAATTAAGTCATTCATTATCGTCATTATATTAACTAACGTTTTTATAGTTTGATGGCCATCATGCGCCATAACTGGGCCATTACTCCCAATTCAAACGTATAGGTTAGCATCAGCATTTCACCATCGTGTGAACACCCCCGACCTCATTCTTCTCTGCCCACCATTTTCAACATGTCAAATATTATTCTTTCTACATGCGACACACCTTTGGACCTCAAGTTGCTTGGACACAATGAGAACGACCTGGTATACTGGCTCCAGACGAAGGGGCATGAAACCGTCAGTACCCCTATATATATTTATATCGTTCCCTCATAACTTCATATCCAGCTTCCAGAATCTCTCTTTACCGCAGCTTCCGTGCTTTTTGGATTGGTCGATCCTCTTGATATTAAGACTCTCATTGAAGTGAGCCTCAAGGAGGATGCGACGCAGACAGGCCTCCACCATGAAGAGGAAAGTTGCTTGGAATACCTCAAGCGAGGAGGGCGTTTGTTGATGGAGGAGCGAATGGATCGGGCTCAGATAGAAGTATCATTGTTCAGTAGCGCTATTGCGAACTTATGTGAAGAGTTAAACGCTAGATGTCACCCAAGTAAGCCATGTTGTTCGAAGTATCTTGTCCGACCCTTAAAATTTATTTCTAGCTCCATGTCGTACTGATCCAAAGAAGGTGGCCACGCCCAAAGCTGTTGGATCTGTGGGAGCACACCAATCATCCATCTCAGTCAGTTGTTTCCAACCTACAAAGGCCGTTCAAGACAAATGCCATGCATGGCTTCGCACGTCGTCGCAATCTCAAGATATCACGCGAGATTCCAATGCTGGCCGAATACTTCGTGATTTCCCCTCAACTTTACAATGCCCCTGTCTTCACGACCATGTCCTAAGGGTGAGTGCTATTCATATTATGAAGGTTAGTGTTCTTATAATGTACAGCCCGACGATCAATTCATCCCCCTCCCTCATGTGATGAAAACTTGGGTCGATAACTTCACATATGGTGCATACATGAGCGCATCATTAGCAGAATCTAACGAACCCCTATGCCTCGACCACAGCAACAGTTTCACAACAAAGGAGTTCAAATCAGTGGGTATGCTCAAGTCTGATTTCCACATTCTGGACTTGAAGAAGCAACGCGCCCAGTCCGAAGTTGACATGTTGTCTGAAGCCATTGCACGTATCGCCGAGTTCCATCACAATGATGACGGTGAGCATGTAGCTTTTTCGAGTTTTCTCTTACTTAAGTGATATGCAGGCACCACTGAGACGGATGAATCAGATTCATCCGATGATTGGTCCGATGATTGGATGTCAACCTCGTATACATCTTCCCCTTCCTTGTCACTCTCTTGACCCTCTTGCAGATGTACCACCTAGGTCCGAGTTCACCACCTATAGTTCCACAGTTATATTATTACACAAGTCAGTTGTACGATGGACTTCGTTTATGTTATTCATCTTCCCATTATTATGATCACCAATTTATATCTGTTTGTATGCGCTTGCTCACCCACCCTACGTCCATGTCTAAATGTGGGCCAAACACATTTTTGTACTGAGGTAAGGTTTCATGGTTACTTCCATTCAAATTTGAACTTCGTGCTCGATTAAAATCTCAATCTGAGCAACTGACTTGGGTCCAGGATGTCTGGTCTGCTTGCATTTCATCGGACTTTTGGTAATATCTTTTAACTATGATTTTTATCTCGAATCAATTACTAACTTCACACTAACCCCTATGTGACAGTGTTTGTCTTCGCCACCTGCATATCATGTTGTCCCATTTCAAATACATATCAATATTATATCTCCGTGTGGTCAAACATTATTTCATACATGTGCGACAGCATGATAATATTTAAAAGCTGAACATGTAATGATGTATTTCGAGGCCAGCTAAATATAAGAGTTGGAAGGTTCTATTATCATACTGCTGTCACCCTACAATATGTATATCAAAATTATACATCCCTTGGATAATCATATCTTCTGTTGTATATGTGTCGCAGTGTGATAATATTGTCCAATTTTACAGCTGAATGTCTTTCAATGCCAGCCAAATATAAGAGTTGGAAGGTTCCATTATCATGCTGCTGTCACCCTACAATATGTATATCAAAATTATACATCTCTTGGATAATCATATCTTCTGTTGTATATGTGTCACAGTGTGATAATATTGTCCAATTTGCAGCTGAATGTCTTTCAATGCCAGCCAATTATAAGAGTTGGAAGGTTCCATTATCATGCTGCTGTCACCCTACAATACACATATCAGAATTTTATCTCCCTCGTAAGATCATGTCTGATTTCATATTTGTGTGACGCCATGATAATATTGTCCAATTTTGCAGCTGAATGTCTTTCAATGCCAGCCAATTATAAGAGTTGGAAGGTTCCATTATCATGCTGCTGTCACCCTACAATACACATATCAGAATTTTATCTCCCTCGTAAGATCATGTCTGATTTCATATTTGTGTGACGCCATGATAATATTGTCCAATTTTGCAGCTGAATGTCTTTCAATGCCAGCCAATTATAAGAGTTGGAAGGTTCCATTATCATACTGCTGTCACCCTACAATACACATATCAGAATTTTATCTCCCTCATAAGATCATGTCTGATTTCATATTTGTGTGACACCATGATAATATTGTCCAATTTTGCAGCTGAATGTCTTTCAATGCCAACCAATTATAAGAGTTGGAAGGTTCCATTATCATACTGCTGTCACCCTACAATACACATATCAGAATTTTATCTCCCTCATAAGATCATATCTGATTTCATATTTGTGTGACGTCATGATAATATTGTCCAATTTTGCAGCTGAATGTCTTTCAATGCCAGCCAATTATAAGAGTTGGAAGGTTCCATTATCATACTGCTGTCACCCTACAATACACATATCAGAATTTTATCTCCCTCATAAGATCATATCTGATTTCATATTTGTGTGACATCATGATAAGAATATTCAAATGTAAAACTAGATGTATAATAATGAGTTTTGTTTGTCATATATATCTGGTCATAACAGTTTCGGGTCAATTTTCTGATGTATGAGGCCAACGACCTGTGAGTTCTGACTTCTGATGCACGGGCCTCCCAAGTTGTGGATTGCCCTCTTTCCAACTGAACATGCACATTGCAGACAGGACAAGCGGCGCGAGGATCTTGTTGCGATGGTCCAGCGCCAGCACAAACGCTGGCCATTCAAAGAGGGCAAGAGGCGCTTCACCTCGAAGACGAACATGGTGCACATGCGTGCTGTCCTCCTCAACCCAGCATATGGCTTTACCAGGCCTCGAGCCGCTGCTTCCAAACAGGTTGCAGCTCAGCGCAGCAATGCTGTGTCTGCGGATGGGCCGATTCCACCACCACCACCACCAGTGCTATCATCGGCACCTTCTCCACCTCCACCACCAGTGCTGTCATCGGCACCTTCTTCACCTCCAACTCTGCCGCCGCCTTCACCTCTGGCACTGCCATCTCTGCAACCTACCGCTATTGAAACTGAGGATCCGGTGGGGACCGAGCTCGAACATGGTACCGAGATGGACTTTGGTAGCTGCGCCCTGCCAGGTTCGTCTCCATCTCAAGCCATTTGCTACTACTGCTGACTCCTTCCCCAGACTCCATGGACTCATCTGGCCAGGCTGCAGGCAGAGCGACTGGTGAGAATGAGATGGCCATGCAGGTATGGCCTTTGTCATTGCCGAGGAGAACCAATGACCTCCGTTCACAGGACATGGATCTCTATGTGGACTTTATGCATCCTAGTGCTGACCTTGAGCGCTTTGCGTACTCGGTCGCTCTTGAGCAGGTTGGTGCACTGAATGACCTGACGGGTGAGTGGCAAGGAAGCATGATGCAGCTCATCGAACGGCTGCATGAGAAAGCACCTGGTATTGAAGGTAAGCCCTTTTGACTGCTCCAGCTGGTATTATAACTGTGCTTGCCAGATGCCTTGGAGATCACGTACCCAGATCCAGCTCACCCTGAGTATTTGCGGTGGCTTGTGTCTGCTGCTGCAGGTGGACTGCTGCATTCGACCCCAGATGCTCCCAGCATCCATATCCCAGCGGACAATGTTCTGACACTGCACGTCAGGTTTGGGCAGGTGAGGTCTTTTCATTCTCGCATTGGGTCATCCACCAGTTCACAGCTAAGTTTGGATCATTCAGATGAGGGCAGCTGCCACTGCTCCAGGCGCTGCTCCCGCTCCCGCTCCAGGTGCTGCTCATGGCCAGCACTGCGCCACTGCATCTGGCTCCCGTGCATCTCAGTCCCGCACTGCCACAGCATGGCTTGCTGAGAAGGCGCAGGAGGAGCCTGGGTATGCTGCCTTCAAGGCTGGCCAGCACCGCATCCAACCCAACGCAGCCGTTGTGGCGTCATGGCAGTTTGCTGTGCAATTCTGTGAAAGGTACAGCCAGAAGCCATGTCCCGTCAGCGTGAGTACTGCATTGTCTCTTCAGTCCCTTACTGAGGGTATCCACTAGGAACCAAGTGACAGCTGCCAGTCTTGGAGCCTTGCGAGAGGACTGCGCATCAAGAAAAAAGATGTGCAGGATGCCCTTGGGGTGGGATCAACGTGGATGGCTGAAGCGCAGCAGGCAGTGCACATCTTGCGGCAATATGGTGAAGGGGGAAGCTCACCCAGGCAGGCTGTGATAGCCAAGTGTGCTTCGACCAGTGAGAAGGCTGGTGCACGAGATCTTCTGGGCTATCTGCGCATGCAATGATAGGCAATTCATTATAGTGTAACTTACTCACAATGATAATGACAACGGTGATGGCTTGACTGCATCTGCCTGTGCATCCTCACCTGCGGCGAGTCAATCATGTTTGAGCAGCACATCCTCACCTGCAGTGAGTCGCTCGCGTTTATGTTGTGCCATTCTTATGCGTGTGCGACGCGTTCCGTCTCGATTCCGGCTCCCGTTTATTGTGAGTGATATCTATTTATCTACAGTGCATGTGTCTGACACATTCTTTTTCTCGCCCAAAGACACCGATGCAAGTATCCCATCCCATTCCTGTCATGCCCAGCATCCACAACTAACTATAACCATTCAACAGATCGTCTGCGTGCGTGGCGCGTTCCATTTCAACCACGCCATGGGTTTCAATGCTGCTACCATCTCTAGCCATGACGACGCTTTCGATCTTGAACGCTGGAGGAAAATTTCAAACCATGGGTTTTGACGCTGCTACCATCTCTAGCCATGACGAAGCATCCACAACTAACTATAACCATTCAACAGATTGTCTGCGCACATGGCACGTTCCATTTCAACCACGCCATGGGTTTCGACGCTGCTACCATCTCTAGCCATGACAATGCTTTCGACCTTGAACACTGGAGGAAAAATTTCAAACCATGGGTTTCGACGCTGCTACCATCTCTAACCATGGGTTTCGACGCTGCTACCCTCTCTAGCCATGACAATGGCTAATTTGGCTAAGAAGATGCATTTCATGTGAAAGGATTTGGAAGTACAATTTGCGTAACGCTTTTGATGAATGACTCAGTTGGATGTGTGTAGGATATAGCACCGCAGTTTTTGTTTGAACGAAAATAATGAATTTGTGGTCTTACAGACCTGGACTCGGACTGAATCAAAGGTTAGCACACCCCTCAACTCGCTGCTGCCTCCCATACCGCGCACCCCTCAACTCGCTGCTGCCTCCCACACCTGTACCCACCAATCAAGGATAATGCAAAGCAGCTGCAAGGACAGCCTGAAAGCCAGCCCCACGATCCTTCTGTAGATAGTCACAGAAGGCTCGTACCTTGCCCATGAATGCAGAAGTGTTCTCATACTTCTCAACCAGGAATCTCAGCGCAAGGGAGACATTCCAGTTCGGCTTTGCTGACAGCTGCTCTACAAGGGAGACAACCTTGGAGTGCCTTGCAGCCTCAGTTTTGAGGCCACCTTCATTGCGTCGCCACTTTGCACCCCACCGGTCCTTTAGCTCTCGTGTCGAAAGATGGCCATTCAGGCCATCGACATACTCAGTCCAGATGTCTGTGATGGCATCCACAGGCTGGTAACGGTACCTTGGGAGCCAGTCTCCGTTCTTCCACTCCCACTCATGAGCGTCGAGCTTGGCCCGCCCATACTTGGCAAGAAGGGCTGCCCATTTCTCTGACTGTGGATCGGAGGGTGAGGTGTCAACGGCCGATGGCTGGTCAGCGCCAAAGGAGGGGAGTGCCAAGTTGGGACGGCTGACTGTGGGAACCAAAGTGCTGGTGCTCATGTTTGTGGTGGGTGCGCCTGAGATGTTGATGGTAAAATTAGGCATGGTAGTGTGGGGAAAAGAGGGGACGGTCTGAAGGCAGAGGGAGGGGAGTGAAGGCGGTCCAGTGATTTGGTGAGTGGGTGCTGGGATGGCTGTGGCAGCTACAAATTTTTCCCGAGTCATGAGCGCATCATTCAAGGAAGAATAGCTTACCTGTCTGCACAGCTGCCTTGTGGCTCCTTCTCCGCCGCCCATGAGAGCTGCCTGCAGTGAGCTCTGCGAGCAGGGCACTCTGGGTTTCCATGTGCTGCCGAACCTCTGCCCGCAGGGCTTCATTCTCTGCATGCTGAGCTTGCTGATCCAGTGTCATGTTTGTGACAAGGCCCTTGAGGCTGCACACAAGATGCTGAGGCAGGTTATGAAAGGCCATCCTGGCCTGCTCCTCTGCCTGCGCGACTGCCTGGATAGCTTCGTGGGCATAGTCCCGGAAGCACTGCGTGTTGAAGGGCTTGAATCGAAACATCTGAATTTCAGGGTGTTTGGTGTAGAGGAGCGCAGCATCCTGAAGAAGGACCAGTCGGAACCACAGCAACACAGAGAGGAACTGGCGGAGGGCAATGTCCATGGCAAGCGGTGAGCGTTGACTGCGGTCTTTGAGGTCTTGCTGTGCCCGCTCAACAAATGGAAAAATCTCCTCCATCAGTGCAAGCGGTGGAACTGCAAGTAAGTCATGCATTAGAGGATGCGCTGCAGGCCTTGTGGGTGCTCTCACCAATACTGTTCCTGGGCAGGGTGTAATCCTCTGGGCGCCGTGCATTAAACATGCCTGCACCAAGCAGTGCATCCAAAGGGAATGCACGGTCATAGACTGGATTGAATGAGCCGTTGTCACTCCAGCCACTGAGTGCCTTGGTGCCATTCACACTGGCACCGTGTGCACGTGCTGTCTGCGCAGCATAGTGACGGCCAGCGTGAGTCTTCTTTGTGATGTCAACGTTGTTCTTCATGTGCATGGTCGTGATGCGATCGCGATGGTCTGATACAATGATTTTCATGTCAGCTGGGATCTGAGTTAGTCAAGGGTGCACCCACTGCAACTCACTTTCATAGGTCATTTCCTTGGTCGGGCTGCCTGTGTAAAAGACATGGTATTCATACCACTCCCGGCAGCCATACTCGCCATAGTTCTTGTTGGCAAAGTCAGGGGCAAAGTCAGGAGGGGCGCAGTTGAGGATGTGGAAGTGTGCGAAAAAAAGGAATGCAAGCGCGCCGACGGGGCAGAGCTCAGCATGGACATGTCGTATGGCCCCATGCTCATCAACACGGCCTGTTTGGTTGTGTTTCGCATTGTCCGCCAGTGCAGCGAGGACCTGCACAAGAGAGTGAGGAAGGAGCAGGCATCGATATTGAAACTGAGCGCACGCACCTGGATCTCATTGTTTTGGTCCAGTGGAACGGTCGCTGGGAAGAGGTCTGACCACTCCAGCATACGGCAGCCCTCCCCTCAAAAGGCTGTTGCAGCTGATACCAGCAGCATCGCACGATCACGGATCCCAACAAAGACATATTGTGGCCCTGAGAAGTCTGTGAGGCACCAGAGAGAGCAGCGGATGAGCTTGGCCTTGGTGTATGTGTCTGATCAATGGTTACTGTCAGCGGCAGGCAGGGATGCAGCGACCGACACTCACCAGAACTTGTGCCAGCAGCCTTCACTGTCTGTGACTTCTCAACTCTCTTCGGCTCATGGTGCCTTGATGCTGACTCGAATGCACGTATACGTGGATCCCTGCGCAGGCTGACGTGTGTCTCATGCTCGCGTGGGTAAGAGTGTGAGTGGTTGAGGCGGTACTTCTCAAGAGCATTGATGACCTGTGCAACGTGAGATTTCCCGAGGGATGAGCCTTGGATTAAGTCTTTGCTCCCGCGCTTATACTGAGCATTAGAAAGAGGCGTCAGAAGAGAATTTGAACTGATATGAATCAGACGGTTACCTTCTCGCGTGTGGTCTCATGGTGGAGAAACATCGACGCCTTCGCAGCAGTCACAGGAAAGGCAGGAATCGGAACTCATGTGCTGTCCACAGCAGCAGTGCGTGCTTGGTCTGCATCAAACCACACCTGATAGTTCTGAACTTGCCGTGGGTAGCTCTTCGCTGTGCCCTTCCCCTCAAGCTCCTTTTCTCCAATCCTCAGCCACAGCTCATGGGATTCCCGCTCAAGCATGCTGAGCGAACGTTCCATGCGTGGGGAAACCGCCAGAGTGTTGAATGGCTCCATGCGCAGCCGCTTTGGACTTGGTGGAGGGAGGCAGGGGGGCGAAGATGCGCGGTGGATGCCATGAGTCGATGACATGGGTAAGCGCTGGTATGAATGATGGCAAAGGCTGGTAATGAAGTGCTTTTAAAGCAGTGGGCAGATTTGATTCAGCTCGGGTCCGTTAATTGCAATGTGGCAGCACAGAGTAATTGACAGCGGTGCTGAGACAGGCAATAACCTGAAAGCCGCCAATGGAAAGCCACGCACGTAAGCATCGACACTCGGAACTAATGAAAAGGCAGGACCTACAGCCTAGTGTGTTAGTGCCGTTCCTTCTGTTCTTTTCCCATGTTGGATCGCTCGCATGACTGTCCAACGGGTAACAAACACTGTGGGTGGATTCACCTGCCAAGTACACTAGCAATCGCTCAGTTGAGTGCAGGACCATCAGCAATAAAAAATCTTAAACATTACCTTGAGAGTCGGACGTGCAGCAAAGTAGCACAAGAGAGGACAGAACGTGAGTCTTGCAACCGTGCATGGTGAAAGTCCATGGACGGAGAGGCTGAAGATGTTAAAACTATGAGAAATGTCAGAACGGAAAGAATGCAAGGTCTGGACAGATTGAAAGACACTTACTGGAGCGCGTTTGGGTGCCAGGGACAGAACTTCAAGAAAGAAGAATAGGGCAGATGAAGAGAACACGAGCCTTGGGACTGTCCGACCGTGGATGGTGAAAGTTGAAAGTCCATGGTATCAGTGCACTTGAGACTCTAAAAAAAGGTCAGAATGCAAGGAATGCAAGGACTGGAAGACACTTACCAAAGCATAGTATGCGATGCCCTTGCGCCCCAGGACAGAACCAAAAGAGTGAAGAATGTAACACTGTGAAGAATGGTCAAAGCGGAAAGGACAGCCAAAGTGAAAGGCGCGTACCGGATTGAATGAAAGTAGACATTTCGGACCGCATGTAACACTGTGAAGAATGGTCAAAATGGAAGGGGCGGCCAAAGTGAAAGATGCGTACCGGATTGAATGGAAAGTAGATAGGTAGAAAAGAACAGACTGAAAAGAGCAAAAGATGGTGCTGACAACGCTAGCGTTCGGAATGAAAGCATCGAACATTGGTTTGCATGGCGGACGTGGCACAACACACACCTGCACTGATTCCACCCCCCCAATGGCAACGGGGCACGCCCAGATCTCACGTAGACCTTGGTACCTACCTTGGCGGTAGTGAGCGCGCCCGGGTCTCACGTAGACCCACCCTGCAAAGGGCCAAGAGCCAGGAGCATCGTCAGCCGCCCATCAGTGCTTGCCACCACGCCAAACCAAGCAGTGTCCAAAGGGACGGAGGACCGAAAGGAACACAAAAAGAAAGGAATGGCACGAACGGACTGGCTGGGACGACGACAATGGTGGTGGCAGCGGCGCACACAAACGAGAGAGGGGCGAGATCGATCGGAGTTTGAAAAAATAAATTGGCTGCCGTTGATCGACTTGGCGCCGGCGACGAGCCGTGTACACAGTTGGTGACTCCGCTTAGGTTTGGCAGGGGTCACCAGCGAGGTCACCACGCCCAGGTGGTACCCGGGGGTATACTCTATATATTACTAGTATACGATGTCAGACGTTTGTTGCGGCGGCGTTCGGTACATCTTTGTTGGGCTTCTGAATCGTCGGCGCCTCAAGCTAAGCTTGCAAGGCTCCCGAGTAATTCCTCGTCGTGGTATGCTGCCAGGTCCGCGTCATGGTTTCCAAATTTCAGCACTTGGCAGTTTTTTTGTGCCAAATCACGTCCAAAATAACCTGAAGCAGACGAAATTCTCGCCAAAAAATCAAATTGAATATTCTGGTTCGAATTACTCCGAACCGATCAGTATCCGCCCCAGCTGGCTATCTCCCTAATACACTTGCACTAATCATGATTGACATTATGGTCTTGGAAGTTCATTATCTGGGAGACTGAATTCCGTCAGGTAAGAAGGTTCAACGACATCAGAGAAAACCTCCTTCACAAAATGGCTCAAAAAAGAAGGAATTTCAGGGAATCTGTTAAACTACATGTATTTCGAGAGTATTTCAACGAATCTGTTAAATTACATGTATTTCGAGAGTATTTCAACGAATCTCGTTATATTCCTCAAACAATAGTTAAATAAGCGTGTCGGTCACTAAACGAGTTTACAAAGAAGCTGGGACAGAGCTCCAGAACGGTACTGCTCGTCCATTCACGAGGTACTACTGCGCCGAAATTTGGAAAAAGATGAACACTCCTGCGGATGTCCGATACATCGATAATGCTTGCAAGACGCTCTCCATGACGCATCAGACGGCAAATTTTGTACAGCCCATGGTGGGATTCAGGTTGCTGGAAGGGTGTGAACCATTCCACATACGCAAGGTGGGCGGGTGGTTTTAGAGGTCCAGCAGGGAATAACAAATTTGTAGCTTGACTTGTCAGCGTGAAGACGACGCGAACTTGCGCAACACGGTATCCTTTTTGGAATAAAGTCAGATTAATTCTGACAGTAGAGAAACAGGCGAGAAACAGGCGTAGATAAAGAGACGAAGGTATCCGAACAGCATGCGTAAAGAGACAAAGGTATCCAAATAGGTGAATGTAAGGCTTATGGAAACTCTAGGTCTAGTCTACGTAGAGTCTACGTAGAGTCCACTCTGGGTCCTGTCTGGGTCCTGTCTGGGGGTGTGCCAGCCGCCCGGCCAGATTAAAGCGGAGTTTAATTCCAAATCAGGACGATGTGACTGAGCTTCAAGTTGTAATTTAGCTCACCCCGCCCTCATCTTGATGACGCCCGCCGCCCCACCCTCTTGCCCGCCGCCCAGGGATCCGCATGGGTATAGAGATAAAGGCCTTAGAGCGGAAAGGTTAGCACTTGCACAGTTAGAAAGCAGTTACTAAAACGCACCTGATTTCAGTTTGGAATGAGACAACGGCCAACAGTCGTAAGCGCGCACCCACAGTAACTGGACTGCAATCAGCACCTGCAGCCAAATTAGCACGGAAGATACCTGCAAAAAAGAACTATGGTAGGCACCGGCTGTGATACTGTTTCAAACTCTGTATACTGACTACATAACATTCTCCACAGATTTATGCGATATTGAAGGATTGGAGTAGCGGCAACCCGCCTTCAAATGCGCAAGTCAAATCATTCAATGCCTCCCACGTCGGTGTTTACAAGGCTCACCAAGCGACTCTCAACCGCATCTTCAATGGTAGTATAAAGAAGTACCATGCACTGATGGCACGGCTTTACAAGGCAGTCAGGTGCGTCTTGCTTGCGCCATTCTTCATTGTTGGGCACTCTGACTAACTCAACACCAGTGCAATCGAGAACTCGGCGTCCACTGCCTCATCAAGCACTTGCGACTATCAGGTGCATCTTGCTTGCACCATTCTTCATTGTTGGGCACTCTGACTAACTCAACACCAGTGCAATCGAGAACTCAGCGTCCACTGCCTCATCAAGCACTTGCGACTATCTCGATCTCGATGCAATGGTCGAAGAATAAATCAAGCTATGAATATGGCACCGAGTCAGTTGTTTCTCAGTTTGCTGATATTTTCTTTTCTTTTCACATCTTTTGATTGTGATATTTCGTTTTAATCAATGTTCATGTATGTCGACTTCAACCGAATTCAAAATAATTTGATGGTATTCGAGGAATAATGACTGAAAACTCAAAGAAATTCGAAGAAATTCGAAGTAATTCGAAGTAACTACGACCGAGCTTGAGAAATCTGGTCGTACTCGATTTCACTGGATTTCACTGAAATTACGAGGAATTCTCCAAAAAATTCTGAAATTACCTTGTTTTTGTGAAGGAGCTTTTTCCCGATGGAAGGTACCACCTCGGGAGAGGGTGGAGCAATGGAAGGAACAATGGAAAAAAAATTAGAACAGACAAGATTGGATAGATACGGGATCTCACCGAGGAAAGCTGTGTGCTGAACTCAGAAGGAGAACTCCTCCATTTGTAGAGAACGGCAGGTTTGCAGAAGATCGCTGCGGGCAGATCACGAGGCTAGAGAGTTTGCGGAGCGTGCGTTCCTGGACAGTTGACTTTGGAGTCGGATCTGCCGTGTTCTCTCGTAAGGCATAAATTAGTGTACAGCAACTTGTCACGGACACGGCAGATCCGACTTCGACGATCCAAAGTCAACTGTCCAGGAATGCACGCTCCGCAAACTCTCTAGCCTCTTGATCTATAGTACATAATAGGCTGCGGAGAAGCAGTCACTGACGCGGACTCACCGGAGTGAAGTGGTCCCCGCGTCAGCTACTAGTTACTAGTATAAGGCTACGTGTATTAATTGAAAGCATTATATACTATGTGCTAATATATAATTATCGTCTCTGTCTGCCCATGTAGTAGAAATATTTTGGTGTCAAAGCATTTTTTTAAAATCCAATTTTTTGTCTTTCAGAGTAGTAGTACTACTCTATGTAAGACAGTAAGGTGTCAAAGCTTCTCAATGATACTGCTCAGTGCTGGCGCTCACCTCCTAGTAACATAGCCGTTCAAATCACCATCATGTGGACAGTTTCAAGAATAATACGCCCTCGGCGCTAGCAGTTGCTACATAGTACATAGCCCCTGCACTCAAAGTCATCGTGCCTGCAGGACGATGCAACAAGAATCAAATAAAACTGCACGTGTAAGCGGAGAAGTTAGAACCCAACTACATCCAAAAGTAGTAGAATTAATCAGGCCTCAGGGTTAAGCACCCTGGGGAATTTCCGAATCCTCCGAGTCAGAGACTCAGACAACTTTTGGAGTCATAGTTGACCTGTTACTGTTCCGGAATTGATCGGTTCCCAAACTCAAGAAGAACAAGGTACGTGCAAGGTGACGTTACTTAGTCATGCCTGACCCCCAGGACCTCCTCGCTTAGAAATACTCATCCGAAATTCCGAATAGCTGGGTTTCTAACCCCGAACACCTGGCTTTGAATGTTCCTCTTTACCTTCATCCTTCCGACTCGTGCTCGTAGCGCTACCTTACTCACTCAGTAACTGCCTTTGGTGTACCGGGTGGCGAACGGTGTAATTTGGTGGTGCTCGCACTTGACAGATCCACATTTTGCAATATCTGTTCAGTTGGTGAGTGTCATTTTTGATTTGTTTAAACTGTCCTCCCTATGAAGTCCGGTATGGCCCGTCCCCGCCCCGAGACTGAGTAGTGGAGTGTCACCTCCCCTTCCACCACATCTTTGTATTTCAACCTTTTCTTCGCTTACTGTCTACCTAGATTCTTTCGCATTTACACAGGCTGTGTTACTTTCAATCCTCAATCGTGCGAACACAATCATCTCATGGCCTTCACCGCACCAAATTGCACTCCTTTGTAACTTTCACTGTGCTCGTCCTCCAGCACTTGACAACATCTCTAGCACTTGACGGCATGCTCGTCCTTCTCCAATGCTTGACGACGCTCTTCAACCTGATAATTATATTTATTGCTATCTTGCTACTGTATGGTTAGTTATAATGATTTTTCTCATATTTTCTGTGTAACTAAATACTAGACTCCGAGCGCGCTTGCCAGTGTGCTATATGTGCTAAGCGGCAGCATGATGGACTCGAAGTGCAATACGAGTGAGTGATCTTCACTAATTGCAGTTAAAGATGGCTGAGGTATAGTACTAGGTGACTGCGCTTGGAATGTTGTGTTGCTTGTGGAGAGCGCAGGGGCAGGTACGTCGTACGATGATGTTTCAGCTGCATGTTGATAATCGAGTGCCCCAGCCAGAGAACTATATGACGAGACTCTGATGCAGCATTCTGAGTTGTCTGCGATCGTGAGTGGTGGCGGGGACTGAATTCTTGTGGGTTGATAGTCTATGATGCGAGCACCCGATACTAATGCAAATGACAGGGCACTGAATTTGCTGATTTGCGCTGGAGATGGTGATTTGTGGAGTGAGAACAACGGCAGTTCAATCACTGGCTCTTTGACACTCGCATGTTGCACTGTTGGCATCGCTGTATCAGGGTGCAGAGGTGCTGCACGTTGTACTGTCATGACAGTAGGTATCGTGATGGCACGCATTGTAGCAGGGTGTGGAGCTGTGCTCTGCGTTGCACTCACTATATATGAGGAGTGGCGTTTCTGTTGCACTCGAGCTAATGAAAATGAGCTAGTGTTTAGAGTTGCAATATAAGTTCGTACTTTGTCGCATAATGCACTGTTTTGCACGTTGAATATAAGTTGCGCCTTGATCTCTAGTCGATACACCAAATGTGGTGTGAACGTCCATACTGTTTGTTGCTCCCTGGTCATATCTCATGCCTTTCATGAGGCCAGCTAATAGAGTCAAGTGAATGCCTTCACGATACGCATTACGATGAGATTGCTCATTGCCGTTGGTTGTTGCGGGTGATGCTTTCCAAAAAGCGAGAGGTATCAGGCTTGCTGGTTGGTATATTGCCGGAAACGCAAATTTCGTGCCTTCAAGCTTATCTTTCAACCATGCTGATGATGTGTCAATTTTTACGAAGTGTTTTATTGATGATAAATCACCTGCAGCTTTTGGACCGCCATTGCGAATGATATCCAATGTCTTCTGAATGTCTGGATGAGGCTCGGACGTTGCCAAGCTCAGCATTGCTGTATATACTTTGTCTGAAACGTGGGTGTAAAGGCCGTGGACATTTCTCTTATAATGTGCCACACAAAGCCGATAGAATCGACGGAGATGGTCGTACGGCCCCAGATCGCAGAGACGACGTTGCGACTCGTATGGACATGGCATTGTGAGGGAGCGAGACAATTGCATGCAGTACATTCCCAAACCTACAACATTTAGTTATTTACAAAAACTGTCTGGATGGCTGCTACACGCACCTAACCCTTGACCTTTGTGGCTATCAGCAATCACTGTCTCGAACCCGCAGCCGTGGATATGGTTGAATGACACAGGCAACCCAGTGTCAGTGGATGCGATCTCAAAAATTCGTTCGAAGAGAATGAGGTGAGCTTTAGCACTTTGTGACGTTGTAAATGCTCTGCTGCTGACGACAGCTAGAAAACAAGACATGAATGCACAAAAGTATAAACAGTGTGGTGAGATTTACATCGTTGGTGCTCAACATTCCATGACTCAATTTCAAACTCTTGCCATCCTTGTGCACGCTTAAACGATGTGTCGATGGACAGGCGCGTAGCTTGCATGAGGTGCAGTGACATACGTGGTGTCATGCAGATGACGAGTTTGAGTGTTGCTCCCCGCTCGATGATGTGTGTCTCTGCACAGCGCACGTAGCGTTGTTCCAGAGGTAGCTTTGCATGCTCCTCAGCAAGGAGACGTGCACCTAGTAATTCCATGTCAGTATAAGCAGCAGAAATCTGGTAGTGATACCTGCCTTCGAATCCTGTTCCACTGGGATACTTCACAGACCTCAGAATATTGATGAGACGCCGCACATGATCGAGATTGGCCAGTGATGGGTGAAGATCTTGCAGTGTTGCGTCGCGGCCATCTGGGAAGTCCCAGCCAAGTACTTCATGAAGGCCCTGGATGAATGCTGTGTCCAAATAAATCCGACGTGGTGTCGCATCTGCTAGTTTCCATTTCATGAGCAAGAGAAGCTCATGAAATATGTCAACAAGTGGTGTTGGTGTTTTGACAGGTGCAGGAGGTGGATGTGAGTGCGGGTTGCTGCAGAGGACGACTATGCGTGGGCAAGTTACGAGATCATGGGGGACATAGATGTTGAAATTTGCGGTGCAATTATGCGTCCACTTCCGCAGGACACCTTGTTTGAGCTTGCCGTCTGCTTGACGGTGGAGGTGTGCTAGTGCATGGAGATGAATTCGACGATGTAAACACTAAGGGAAGCAAAAACTCACGACAAACTTGCCTTTGGGAGGATGGGCTTGTAACATAACTGCATGGTAGGAGTGGACCATATCCTTGTGACTTCGCTAATTGCTCGCATTCTGAAATAATGATGTGGTCATCGTCGAGGAGAGCTTGCAGGTAGCGTGTGTCACATTCCTGCAGATTTCGTATGAACAGGTGGGTACGGCGAGTGTGGGAGCGCAATTTGCATCTGTTGCATATCAGTCAGACTATTGCAAAAAGGAATCCATGAATAAACTTACCGGACAAATGGCTGATTGTAGGCATCAAGCTGCATGATAAGTTTTCCGCTACACCTGGGCTTCTTGACTTGACGACTTGACGGCAAGCAATCCACACCATCCAAATCACCATCAAAGGTAACACTGTTGAAATATTCATCAGCCGAGATACCATCCAAGTCGTCTATCACACTCTCAGCAAGGTGATCATCAATGCCATCAATGGCAGAGCAGCCACGTTCATACAAGGCCATGTACAATGCCAGTGTTCGTTCGAAGATTTCCCTGTCAGCAGCGCTGGCAGGACTGTTCGAGTCTGTCCGAGACACAGTCTGACAATGAGATGAAACCTCAAAAATATTAGTAGAGTGATGCGTTGACATGTCGCGCTTACGCGCTGAGCAAATCTTAAGGCCTCTACCTGAATAGATGTGTGAGAGGTATCAACTAACAAAGAAAAAAGACTCGTACAAGATGTTTTAAGGCTGGTGCATGAAACAGGATGTCCTTCAGCATCACGAAGCATAAGACATCGACTGATTGTCTTTCCCCCATGCCCATCACCCAAGGAGTACTGAAAACTTGATTGAGGGCGGAGAGAAGACTTGGAAGTAGTTGGATCAATGTGGAAGATGTGAGCAACAGATTCATTCGCATATTGTCCAGTTTGTGGATATTCAACAATGGCACCAACTGGATGTTCGACGAGAGAATGTGCGGAGGTCCTGCGCGTGACACGATGAAATTCCCGTACACGATCTTCATCTGTAAAAGGTCGTGCAGGAGGTGGGATATAGTATGTGCTGATAGTAGGATGTGAGCAGGCATGTTGGATAGCTGGGGCAGTCACAGTAGAGAGATGAAGTGGTGTTGAAGCAATATGAACAGGACTCAGAGGTGTCGGTGATGGTGATGGTGAGACTGAATCCAAGTCACGAGGCGACAGTCCAGCACTTTCAAGGAGAGCTTGCGCATTCTGAACAGCAGAGCGCTGAAGTTCAGTAAGGTGTGACATATCATTAGATCCACCAGTTCTACGCACCTCTTAATATATGGTCAACGGTGTTTGGACTTCAATTGTGCTGGCTAATATTTAGACTTGAGAGCACCTGCAGGGTCCGCAACTCCTGAAGAATTTCCTTGTTCAGAAATCAATATCATTTGGCACTTACATCATAAGCGCTCAGCAACCATCACTACGACATTGGTCTTTTGACCGTTGTGTTCTCGAACTCAAAGTTTCCAACCCTGATGCTCTGTTATGACAGTCACTCACTTTGTCGTGTTCTCGAACTCAAAGTTTCCTGCCTTGATGCTTTGTTATGACAGTCACTCACTTTATCGTGTTCTCGAACTCAAAGTTTTCCAGCCCTGATGCTCTGTTATGATGGTCACTTACTTTGTCGTGTTCTCGAACTCAAAGTTTCCAGCATTGACCATCACTGTGCAACAGTCACCCACTGTCCCTGATGCTCTGTTATGACAGTCACTCACTTTATCATGTTCTCGAACTCAAAGTTTTCAGCATTGGCTACCACTGTGCAACAGTCACCCACTATCCCTGATGCTCTGTTATGACGGTCACTCACTTGCCGAAACTTACCCTGCTTCAAAGCACATATTGTCCCTCACTGCTACATCACTCATCATCTGTTGCACTCGACAAACATCGCCGTGACACCACCCAAGCCTCCAGTCAAGGCAACAGATTTAGCTACCAGGGAATCTGGGCAGGTTCGTGGAATTGTGTGCCGCTTGACTCTTGTGCAAGCCACTAATGGCGTCTTTCCAGGGTCTTCAATTGAGACTCTCAGATGGGCTGTACTGTGGCCACCGGTGGGGGACTTGCAGTTTTTTTGTTTCAAAAGGTCAGCCGGGTAGTACTATATAAGAGCAATGAATACCACTCATCCACTATCTGCTCCTATATTCTGCTTAGCCTTCATCATGCCAACCTATCCAGAAATTTTCCGTGTATCCCGAGCCCTCCAGTGTGCCAACACAGAGCTTAGTATTTTCTCCCGTGAGCTTGGTGAAACGGTTTCAATAGCATAGTGCGTCACAATTTTATTGTTTTGCTCCTCATTAGCTGACTCGTAGTTAGCCCAATTAACAGAGTCACTGGGGATCGTATTGTCGCTCGCCAACTCAAGGACTGGGTTCTTCGTCGCAAGGTTATCTGGGAGTGCTTTTGTGCTCTTGTGACGGAGCAACGCACTCCAGTGCGCTTTGAAACTAATCATTGGGGCCATTCAATGGCATATTGCCATCAATATCCTAGCCACTGTGGCTTTTCCTGTATGTGTTCCCTCCGTCTCCTAGTATATACTGTATTTTAACACATTTCTCAAGTAAATCTTAGTGAGGCTCGAGAAACTGCTCTTCTCGAGTCTAGATATACACACGTTCTTACACGGGGTATGTCATTTCCCGCAGCATGCTCTGATGTCTTTCTGCTCACCCTTATTACTTGCAACTAGTGTATCATAACCATCATCAGCTGATGGATCTGCATGGTTTGGTAGTGCGAGTGCACCACGACCGAGTTGCAGCAACGCCCAATGGACACGCAGAACTTTTTCCATACTTCGAGGATTATTGCGGCACCCCAACAAGCTCAGCATTAATACAGCCTCGGCGAGGCGGCGCTGTTCGTACTCGTCGTCAGTTCTCAGGTAAATAAAGTTACATTCAAATAATAAAACACTTTGACATTGATTCTACTACCACAGCTGCACGTAATATATCACTACAGCATCAAATCCACCGCCCATCCGCCCCACTCAGATTCCCCAGTGTTGCTGATGATACACACATCGAGCTTGCAAGTCCAACGTCTTCGACAGAGCAGGGTGTATTGCATTCACTTGCAGAGGGCAGAGGGATTACATCCTACGAGCATATTGGGCTATTAGAGTTGTGTGGAAACTGTCAACGAATGTTTGCAGCGAGTGCGTTGCGGGTGCACATCTTACTGTGCTCAAAAGATTGAATGTTATATAGTGCCTCGGTCTGGCTTATTAGATTTTTCATGTTACGTGTAGGCGAGGAGGTCCTGGGGGTCAGGCATGACTAAGTAACGTCACCTTGCACGTACCTTGTTCTTCTTGAGTTTGGGAACCGATCAATTCCGGAACAGTAACAGGTCACTCATTACTCCTGCAAGTTGTAGTACGTACACTTTCTAGCCAACTCAGGACACGAGTGGCGGTGGAGCAGGGCGCTCTGGGAAGACAGGTTTTGGAGTGGCAGGGTTCTGGCGCGGTGGCAGGAGTCCTGGCTCGTAGTCGGTAGTCCTCGCGCGCGTCGTAGTCTGTCCTCGATAGAGAGAGCCGTAGCCTCCCGCAATAGAGGTCTGGCCTTGGTTTCCTTGCGGTCCGTGCCCGTTCCAGTGGAGATTTTACATATACCTTCGCTCGGTGGAGCTGAATGAGCTAGTCGGAATTAATATTGAGCGCCAGCTTTGAAAACTGATGCTGTGGCCAATCGTAGGCTTTAAGACGTCTTTAGATGGCGTCCTAAGTAAAACTAACGCCGTTAACCTGAATAAATGGAAGACACATTAGCACAAATACCTAGTGAGCTAATATGATTCTGAGCAAAAGTTGGAGTAATGAGTGACCTGTTACTGTTCCGGAATTGATCGGTTCCCAAACTCAAGAAGAACAAGGTACGTGCAAGGTGACGTTACTTAGTCATGCCTGACCCCCAGGACCTCCTCGCCTACACGTAACATGAAAAATCTAATAAGCCAGACCGAGGCACTATATAACATTCAATCTTTTGAGCACAGTAAGATGTGCACCCGCAACGCACTCGCTGCAAACATTCGTTGACAGTTTCCACACAACTCTAATAGCCCAATATGCTCGTAGGATGTAATCCCTCTGCCCTCTGCAAGTGAATGCAATACACCCTGCTCTGTCGAAGACGTTGGACTTGCAAGCTCGATGTGTGTATCATCAGCAACACTGGGGAATCTGAGTGGGGCGGATGGGCGGTGGATTTGATGCTGTAGTGATATATTACGTGCAGCTGTGGTAGTAGAATCAATGTCAAAGTGTTTTATTATTTGAATGTAACTTTATTTACCTGAGAACTGACGACGAGTACGAACAGCGCCGCCTCGCCGAGGCTGTATTAATGCTGAGCTTGTTGGGGTGCCGCAATAATCCTCGAAGTATGGAAAAAGTTCTGCGTGTCCATTGGGCGTTGCTGCAACTCGGTCGTGGTGCACTCGCACTACCAAACCATGCAGATCCATCAGCTGATGATGGTTATGATACACTAGTTGCAAGTAATAAGGGTGAGCAGAAAGACATCAGAGCATGCTGCGGGAAATGACATACCCCGTGTAAGAACGTGTGTATATCTAGACTCGAGAAGAGCAGTTTCTCGAGCCTCACTAAGATTTACTTGAGAAATGTGTTAAAATACAGTATATACTAGGAGACGGAGGGAACACATACAGGAAAAGCCACAGTGGCTAGGATATTGATGGCAATATGCCATTGAATGGCCCCAATGATTAGTTTCAAAGCGCACTGGAGTGCGTTGCTCCGTCACAAGAGCACAAAAGCACTCCCAGATAACCTTGCGACGAAGAACCCAGTCCTTGAGTTGGCGAGCGACAATACGATCCCCAGTGACTCTGTTAATTGGGCTAACTACGAGTCAGCTAATGAGGAGCAAAACAATAAAATTGTGACGCACTATGCTATTGAAACCGTTTCACCAAGCTCACGGGAGAAAATACTAAGCTCTGTGTTGGCGCACTGGAGGGCTCGGGATACACGGAAAATTTCTGGATAGGTTGGCATGATGAAGGCTAAGCAGAATATAGGAGCAGATAGTGGATGAGTGGTATTCATTGCTCTTATATAGTACTACCCGGCTGACCTTTTGAAACAAAAAAACTGCAAGTCCCCCACCGGTGGCCACAGTACAGCCCATCTGAGAGTCTCAATTGAAGACCCTGGAAAGACGCCGTTAGTGGCTTGCACAAGAGTCAAGCGGCACACAATTCCACGAACCTGCCCAGATTCCCTGGTAGCTAAATCTGTTGCCTTGATGGAGGCTTGGGTGGTGTCACGGCGATGTTTGTCGAGTGCAACAGATGATGAGTGATGTAGCAGTGAGGGACAATATGTGCTTTGAAGCAGGGTAAGTTTCGGCAAGTGAGTGACCGTCATAACAGAGCATCAGGGATAGTGGGTGACTGTTGCACAGTGGTAGCCAATGCTGAAAACTTTGAGTTCGAGAACATGATAAAGTGAGTGACTGTCGTAACAGAGCATCAGGGACAGTGGGTGACTGTTGCACAGTGATGGTCAATGCTGGAAACTTTGAGTTCGAGAACACGACAAAGTAAGTGACCATCATAACAGAGCATCAGGGCTGAAAACTTTGAGTTCGAGAACACGATAAAGTGAGTGACTGTCATAACAAAGCATCAAGGCAGGAAACTTTGAGTTCGAGAACACGACAAAGTGAGTGACTGTCATAACAGAGCATCAGGGTTGGAAACTTTGAGTTCGAGAACACAACGGTCAAAAGACCAATGTCGTAGTGATGGTTGCTGAGCGCTTATGATGTAAGTGCCAAATGATATTGATTTCTGAACAAGGAAATTCTTCAGGAGTTGCGGACCCTGCAGTGCTCTCAAGTCTAAATATTAGCCAGCACAATTGAAGTCCAAACACCGTTGACCATATATTAAGAGGTGCGTAGAACTGGTGGATCTAATGATATGTCACACCTTACTGAACTTCAGCGCTCTGCTGTTCAGAATGCGCAAGCTCTCCTTGAAAGTGCTGGACTGTCGCCTCGTGACTTGGATTCAGTCTCACCATCACCATCACCGACACCTCTGAGTCCTGTTCATATTGCTTCAACACCACTTCATCTCTCTACTGTGACTGCCCCAGCTATCCAACATGCCTGCTCACATCCTACTATCAGCACATACTATATCCCACCTCCTGCACGACCTTTTACAGATGAAGATCGTGTACGGGAATTTCATCGTGTCACGCGCAGGACCTCCGCACATTCTCTCGTCGAACATCCAGTTGGTGCCATTGTTGAATATCCACAAACTGGACAATATGCGAATGAATCTGTTGCTCACATCTTCCACATTGATCCAACTACTTCCAAGTCTTCTCTCCGCCCTCAATCAAGTTTTCAGTACTCCTTGGGTGATGGGCATGGGGGAAAGACAATCAGTCGATGTCTTATGCTTCGTGATGCTGAAGGACATCCTGTTTCATGCACCAGCCTTAAAACATCTTGTACGAGTCTTTTTTCTTTGTTAGTTGATACCTCTCACACATCTATTCAGGTAGAGGCCTTAAGATTTGCTCAGCGCGTAAGCGCGACATGTCAACGCATCACTCTACTAATATTTTTGAGGTTTCATCTCATTGTCAGACTGTGTCTCGGACAGACTCGAACAGTCCTGCCAGCGCTGCTGACAGGGAAATCTTCGAACGAACACTGGCATTGTACATGGCCTTGTATGAACGTGGCTGCTCTGCCATTGATGGCATTGATGATCACCTTGCTGAGAGTGTGATAGACGACTTGGATGGTATCTCGGCTGATGAATATTTCAACAGTGTTACCTTTGATGGTGATTTGGATGGTGTGGATTGCTTGCCGTCAAGTCGTCAAGTCAAGAAGCCCAGGTGTAGCGGAAAACTTATCATGCAGCTTGATGCCTACAATCAGCCATTTGTCCGGTAAGTTTATTCATGGATTCCTTTTTGCAATAGTCTGACTGATATGCAACAGATGCAAATTGCGCTCCCACACTCGCCGTACCCACCTGTTCATACGAAATCTGCAGGAATGTGACACACGCTACCTGCAAGCTCTCCTCGACGATGACCACATCATTATTTCAGAATGCGAGCAATTAGCGAAGTCACAAGGATATGGTCCACTCCTACCATGCAGTTATGTTACAAGCCCATCCTCCCAAAGGCAAGTTTGTCGTGAGTTTTTGCTTCCCTTAGTGTTTACATCGTCGAATTCATCTCCATGCACTAGCACACCTCCACCGTCAAGCAGACGGCAAGCTCAAACAAGGTGTCCTGCGGAAGTGGACGCATAATTGCACCGCAAATTTCAACATCTATGTCCCCCATGATCTCGTAACTTGCCCACGCATAGTCGTCCTCTGCAGCAACCCGCACTCACATCCACCTCCTGCACCTGTCAAAACACCAACACCACTTGTTGACATATTTCATGAGCTTCTCTTGCTCATGAAATGGAAACTAGCAGATGCGACACCACGTCGGATTTATTTGGACACAGCATTCATCCAGGGCCTTCATGAAGTACTTGGCTGGGACTTCCCAGATGGCCGCGACGCAACACTGCAAGATCTTCACCCATCACTGGCCAATCTCGATCATGTGCGGCGTCTCATCAATATTCTGAGGTCTGTGAAGTATCCCAGTGGAACAGGATTCGAAGGCAGGTATCACTACCAGATTTCTGCTGCTTATACTGACATGGAATTACTAGGTGCACGTCTCCTTGCTGAGGAGCATGCAAAGCTACCTCTGGAACAACGCTACGTGCGCTGTGCAGAGACACACATCATCGAGCGGGGAGCAACACTCAAACTCGTCATCTGCATGACACCACGTATGTCACTGCACCTCATGCAAGCTACGCGCCTGTCCATCGACACATCGTTTAAGCGTGCACAAGGATGGCAAGAGTTTGAAATTGAGTCATGGAATGTTGAGCACCAACGATGTAAATCTCACCACACTGTTTATACTTTTGTGCATTCATGTCTTGTTTTCTAGCTGTCGTCAGCAGCAGAGCATTTACAACGTCACAAAGTGCTAAAGCTCACCTCATTCTCTTCGAACGAATTTTTGAGATCGCATCCACTGACACTGGGTTGCCTGTGTCATTCAACCATATCCACGGCTGCGGGTTCGAGACAGTGATTGCTGATAGCCACAAAGGTCAAGGGTTAGGTGCGTGTAGCAGCCATCCAGACAGTTTTTGTAAATAACTAAATGTTGTAGGTTTGGGAATGTACTGCATGCAATTGTCTCGCTCCCTCACAATGCCATGTCCATACGAGTCGCAACGTCGTCTCTGCGATCTGGGGCCGTACGACCATCTCCGTCGATTCTATCGGCTTTGTGTGGCACATTATAAGAGAAATGTCCACGGCCTTTACACCCACGTTTCAGACAAAGTATATACAGCAATGCTGAGCTTGGCAACGTCCGAGCCTCATCCAGACATTCAGAAGACATTGGATATCATTCGCAATGGCGGTCCAAAAGCTGCAGGTGATTTATCATCAATAAAACACTTCGTAAAAATTGACACATCATCAGCATGGTTGAAAGATAAGCTTGAAGGCACGAAATTTGCGTTTCCGGCAATATACCAACCAGCAAGCCTGATACCTCTCGCTTTTTGGAAAGCATCACCCGCAACAACCAACGGCAATGAGCAATCTCATCGTAATGCGTATCGTGAAGGCATTCACTTGACTCTATTAGCTGGCCTCATGAAAGGCATGAGATATGACCAGGGAGCAACAAACAGTATGGACGTTCACACCACATTTGGTGTATCGACTAGAGATCAAGGCGCAACTTATATTCAACGTGCAAAACAGTGCATTATGCGACAAAGTACGAACTTATATTGCAACTCTAAACACTAGCTCATTTTCATTAGCTCGAGTGCAACAGAAACGCCACTCCTCATATATAGTGAGTGCAACGCAGAGCACAGCTCCACACCCTGCTACAATGCGTGCCATCACGATACCTACTGTCATGACAGTACAACGTGCAGCACCTCTGCACCCTGATACAGCGATGCCAACAGTGCAACATGCGAGTGTCAAAGAGCCAGTGATTGAACTGCCGTTGTTCTCACTCCACAAATCACCATCTCCAGCGCAAATCAGCAAATTCAGTGCCCTGTCATTTGCATTAGTATCGGGTGCTCGCATCATAGACTATCAACCCACAAGAATTCAGTCCCCGCCACCACTCACGATCGCAGACAACTCAGAATGCTGCATCAGAGTCTCGTCATATAGTTCTCTGGCTGGGGCACTCGATTATCAACATGCAGCTGAAACATCATCGTACGACGTACCTGCCCCTGCGCTCTCCACAAGCAACACAACATTCCAAGCGCAGTCACCTAGTACTATACCTCAGCCATCTTTAACTGCAATTAGTGAAGATCACTCACTCGTATTGCACTTCGAGTCCATCATGCTGCCGCTTAGCACATATAGCACACTGGCAAGCGCGCTCGGAGTCTAGTATTTAGTTACACAGAAAATATGAGAAAAATCATTATAACTAACCATACAGTAGCAAGATAGCAATAAATATAATTATCAGGTTGAAGAGCGTCGTCAAGCATTGGAGAAGGACGAGCATGCCGTCAAGTGCTAGAGATGTTGTCAAGTGCTGGAGGACGAGCACAGTGAAAGTTACAAAGGAGTGCAATTTGGTGCGGTGAAGGCCATGAGATGATTGTGTTCGCACGATTGAGGATTGAAAGTAACACAGCCTGTGTAAATGCGAAAGAATCTAGGTAGACAGTAAGCGAAGAAAAGGTTGAAATACAAAGATGTGGTGGAAGGGGAGGTGACACTCCACTACTCAGTCTCGGGGCGGGGACGGGCCATACCGGACTTCATAGGGAGGACAGTTTAAACAAATCAAAAATGACACTCACCAACTGAACAGATATTGCAAAATGTGGATCTGTCAAGTGCGAGCACCACCAAATTACACCGTTCGCCACCCGGTACACCAAAGGCAGTTACTGAGTGAGTAAGGTAGCGCTACGAGCACGAGTCGGAAGGATGAAGGTAAAGAGGAACATTCAAAGCCAGGTGTTCGGGGTTAGAAACCCAGCTATTCGGAATTTCGGATGAGTATTTCTAAGCGAGGAGGTCCTGGGGGTCAGGCATGACTAAGTAACGTCACCTTGCACGTACCTTGTTCTTCTTGAGTTTGGGAACCGATCAATTCCGGAACAGTAACAGGTCAACTATGACTCACTTGCAGCGCATGGATCTAAGCCGATTAACCCACAGATCTCAGATCCTAAACTGAGATCGTCTGGTAACCCAGTTTTCGAACGACTCAACGGTCACTCCGGTCAATATGGGTTTTGACCTCTCTCACGCGAAACTCAGCTTGTGAAGGACCTGTCGACATAAACCTTGAGATATAAGCGCACTCCAGCCGTATTTAAGCTCGACTGACTCGTCACGAACTCCATAACCGGCCACTCTTTTATCTGACCTTCTACGGATTCATCTTGAGCTTATTTTAAATTTTCCTGTCCCACTCGTTAATTATCCTTGCGGGTGTGCTGCAAGCTCACTTCGATGTGGTGCAGCTGCTGTCAACCCGCATGGTATTGCACTTACGAACACCTTCAAAGCGTAAATCTTTTGCGACGGTCTCATGCAGGTGAATCTCAACGCATTGTCTCATTACAGCAATACTCATGACTCGCAGGGCGCCTGAATATCATTACGGTCAAGTGCCGTCCGTCGAAATCCCCGTTGCAGGGTATGCACTCCCAACCTCTCCTCAGTGGACATTTTTCAGATGGCCAAGCGGAAAGCATTGTCTTGACGCAGGATTTTAATGGAGAACCGCTCAGATTTCCTCTTCATTTGTGGTACCTCCCGACTGCACTATTGCCTTGCGCATCCATTCACTGTGCCACCTTACACCACCTCTCGACTAGCAATGAGGAGGATCCGACCATACCACAGCAGGACAGTGAACCCTCATGCAGGACAGGTCATACTAGCGACATCAATACCATCGCCATTTATCCTACTGACACACCCGTCGTTTCCGCATCTGAGGACACCCATGTCTGCTTCTGGCAGCTCTCAGATCGACGGACTATCGCCATTTCCCAACACCCACACTTGACGGACCCCGTCACTTTCTTCACGGATGACAAGCACAGCCTCAGCGACGGTATTGATATGATGATATCAGAGTGGGCAGTACCCAAGGATGCTTTACCAGAGGAAGCTATCAATGTATCAACATCAAAGGTATTTTCCCGTCGTTTTCTCGCCTATGCTCCATCTCATACCTGGTCTTTTTAATTTTAAGGCTCAAGACGCTTGTTTAAAGGCACGTCTGCATATTTTACTCTGAAAACGTAACTTGAGCATGCCTCATGTCGCAGATCCTTGCAATCGACACACCCGCCCGCAATGCATGCATCGCGGGGGATCTGTCTACTGCTGAAGAGCTTCTTACGCAAGATATCAATGCTAATACCAACAAGTACACCTCGTATGCCAATCGCTCGTTTGTTATGGCGCGCAAGCGCCACTGGGACCACGCGCTCCAGGACGCGATCAAGGTAAGATATACTGACCTACCACATGCCATTATGAGAGGTTAACTTTCATCACCACATAGTCCGTTAGCATTCAGCCCTCCTTGACAGGTTGTATCTCCAAGGGCATCGCCCTCGGCGGAAAGGGAAACCTCCGGGATTCAATGCAAGCATTTGATCTCGCATTCACGTTCGCGAACGAAGATTCAAAAATTATTATCTTTCTTCTTTTGATCAAGGCACGTTAAATTTTTCTGACATATTCCTGTCTTCATTGTAGTTTTCAGGCTATCGCGATCTTCAATGCGGGTCAGCATGAGGAAGCAATTATGCGTGTACAAGAGCTCGCTGCCACTTCCCGGAATGATATCCATGCATGTCGGATCGTAGAAGTGAGACTCTATTATGTCTAGGCTCGTGTATTGATACTGATCATCTGGATTCTGGACATCAGGCGTATTTACGAGTCCAACTGGTGATCAGTGCCTTAGATGGCGGGCGTCACAATGAAGCTGCTGACCACTTCACTGCGGTTGTCAAGATGAACATTTTCTCATCTCGATCGGCCATTCATTCTAGATATGACGACTTTGTGGTGGTACGTTGATATGCAGTCTAAAATATGTTTTTTGTTCAACTGGGTGCTTTGTTGTAGCTGTTTGGGTGGGACCTTGCGTCGTTGTGGATGACTGCAAACCAGAAACGTTGCCATGCACTCCTTCAGGCAGGTAGACTCTGGGAAGCCATCGAATTGTATCAACATATGATGGATGTAGGACATATAACTACAAAGTATCACACAGGTGGGAAGGGAAGGAGCCACTGCTGCAGGATATCCAGGACAAGGTCTTGTACGAGCTGAATCCAGTTGGCAGCATGGCGAAGTTGCAATCATTTTGCAAAATCGCTCGCCGTGCGGGGTATCGTTGGGCGTGGAGCGATACGTGCTGCATCGACAAGAGCAATAGTGTCGAGCATCAAGAAGCAATCAACTCCATGTTTGATTTGTATCAACACTCGGCGCTCACGATCGTCTACCTGTCGGATGTCCCACCCTTGTCGAAGTCCGGCGCATTGGCAGATAGTGATTGGAACACACGCGGATGGACAGCTCAAGAACTCCTTGCTTCTAAAGTCATCCTCTTTTATCAGGAGGATTGGTCTCTTTACCTCGACGATCGTTCTTCCAACCACAAGGAGTCCGTCACGATCATGCAGGAGTTGGAGTATGCAACAGGCATAGATCGACGAGCCATTGTTGCCTTCCGTCCCGGGATGAAATGCGCTAGAGAGATACTCCAGTGGGCATCCACACGTGTCACAACATTGCCGGAAGATATTGCTTACTCGTTATCCGGCGTCTTCGGCGTCCGCTTACGCGTGGATTACGGCGAGAAGAAGCAGTGCGCGCTTGGGCGACTTCTGCGGAAGGTCATAGCTCAGTCGAACGATATCACTGCCTTAGACTGGGTCGGGAAACCATCAGAGTTCAATAGCTGTTTACCAGCCGACATCACTTCGTACAAAGCTCCCACATGCAAGCTTCCATCTCTATCAGAAGAAGACATTCAGTCATCGGTCTCTTCTCTGCGAGGCACAGTGGCTCTGGAGCCGGCTTCGAGGTTGTATCAGACACTCGACTACCTGAGCGCTCCACGGTTCGTGCACCGCCGGTTGCATCTACCTTGCATCGTGTTCCCTGTGACAGGAGTCAGGCGGAAGCCTGGCCAGAATAAGGGGATACATTTCACGTACGGAATCAAGGCAGATGGGCTTCGTGACCTGGATATTACCACGGAAGACAAGCTACCTCAATTCCCACGGGTAATACCGTTGCCAGCTTGGCAGACGTTCTTGCTTGTTCGCACATGGAGCCGTCATCTCCTTGAGCTGCCTGACGCTGCAGACGATACAGAGAGCGTGGAAGACTGGTCCGTGTCCGAATCCACGTCATCCCCTTCAGAAAATGAGCCGGTTTATTCGGAATCTCACTCGCGGGCATTGCGATTGATTGTTCGCCTTGGACAGCCGTTTAGCGCATTTCTTTTAGCACGGCAGCGCGACGGAGAATACAAGAGAATCGCGTCAGATCGTAATATCATCGCACAAGTTAATGACATGGCGTCTGTTGGCGACATGATGGATATCAGGACGCTGGAGATAATATAACTGTATGTATTTTTGTTGAACGGAGATCTTTAAGAAACAGTACTTGTATACATAAATCTTCATACCACTATTTGCATTGTACACTAGCTAGCTCACAACAGAACCACAATCCATCATCACCCATAATTCATCTGCACTAACCAATTGCTATATTATTTGATTTGCGACATACAGAGTAGTCTATTTGTTTACCGCATTCGCGTCGTTGCCATTCACCGCCGATTCCAAATCCAAGTCAACAAGCTACGGTCAACCACTCCTGCGGCCGAGAACGTATCCTGAAGATCCTCACCTACTTAGTTATATCATTGCGCATATATCTCAAAGTCGCCTTTCCTTTGATAGATTGCATGGGAACAACGGCCCAGTGGAGGCTTGCCTCACATCGAGGCGTATAGACCTAAGGTGCCCCATGACTAGATCGACAGTAGTAACAGTGCTGTCTTATACTGTTAAAGACAAAAATTTGGATGTTTTTAGAAAATAAAAAGGTCTATGGCGATCCGTTAAGCAGAAGGCTTCCACTCAGCAAGCCACTCCTTCATGTACATCAATCCCGCTTCCTGCACGGCCGCAACTGTCGGATCTGCAACGGCATTCTGTACTAGTAAATCCGTACAGTGGAATCCATCGCCCTCATAGATCGGCCTACTGGTAGTGTTGGGCTTATTCAGCCCATCAGCAGAGACAGTTGCCTCGCGCCAAGGGTCACGCAAGCCATTCGCGAAGAAGAGACGCGGGATACTCACGTCCCAACCACCGTACATTGCGTTCGTCTCTTCTGTGGTAGGCTCAGGTGGGCAGGTGAATGCTTCAGGGAACATGTTGACGCATTGACGCTGACGATGATATCGACGAATGGTCATCTTCCAAGTTATACTGTACATACCTGCTGATAAACGGGTTGGAGGATGCGGCTCACAATGGCAGGCTCGCACTCGGGAGGGCCAACCTGATACCATCCGACTTGGTTACACCTGGAATGGCTGTCAGGGTGGGCATTGAAGCGAATGAGAACACGTACACGATCCAGAACCACGACCTGTTTGCATTATTTACGGTGGCATTAGTCCAATAGGACTGGCTCGTGTCATACGTCCCAAGACAAGTTCTAGTTTCACAGTCAGCCAATCCGGACGACTAGGTCCCAAGGATACGCACTCAGCATCCTCGGATCCACAAACTTTACTATCAAGTTTAGCCATGGCAATCAGAAATCAGAGGGACTGCCTACCATAGTCGTAGTATGTAGTATTCCAAAAGTTTCCCCAAGAGTATATGGCATTTTCAAGTCCCCATCCCTCAGGTCCGGCACTGACACCGTTCTTGACCTCGAGTGCATCACAGAACTGGAAAAACATTGATCCTGGGCCGACAGTAGGCTGCAGATCTTGCCAATCGAACAGGTTGTCTTGAACTGTTGGTCCGAGTAGGGTCAGTAAGGTAATAAATCCGTATTCTCTGTCAAAGAGGACAACTCACGTGCAGTGGCAAAATCTTCTACACGAACAACATCGCCGAGGCCAAATGCTTCCTTGAGCGTCTGGATTCCGGCAGTGTCACCAACCGCGTACATGTAATCTAGGTAGAAGATCACTGCTTCTACGTCAGAAGAACAGTTCTGTGGCATGTGATTGCGAATTGGGGTGAAATAGTCATAATAGTCGCTGTTTTGGTCGAGAGCCATCAACAAGAAATGAGCAGTGATTACATCAAAGCAACGTACGTTATTGCCTCTACGACGCCAGAAGATGAATATCCAGCCCAGAAAATCCCCGGTTTGCTTTGTGTCTGTCACTATACTGAAACATTGAAGTAATTTCTTGGCTCACTTGACCATTGTCCAACTCGTGAGGGCTCCTGAATAGCTGCCTCCAATCAGGATCCACGGTGCCTGACCTGGTTTCACAGCATCACCCCCAGGCATGGGAAGGTCGGCTGTGGTCGCAAAATACACGAGATCATCGATGGCTTGCTGAATGTTGAGGAGCGCGAGAGATTGTGACGTGAGGTTGTCGTATGGGTTGGAATAGCCAAAGAAACGATGTTCGATGACGATAGCTGCACCATTCTGCTGTTGAGCAATGAGACCGTTGACGCTTTCATTGGTAGTGTAGCCTTCGAAGCCTGATGGAAAAAAGTACTTGAGAGAAAGGTGCAATTGAGTAACATGACACTCACCATCTGCGTTAGATTCTCCAGGCGTCATCAAGATAATGGGGCCACCTTCAATGAATCTCATTAACATCGAGCACACCTCGATTCTCGCGACATACCAGGCTCATAAAACTCCCAGTTCATCCAGTATCGCTGCTGGAATGTTCCAAGGTCTGGATTATTGTGGTCTATGAGCTGGTCAAAATGATAGACGGTCGTTATGGGTGGGAGCGCTGTGCCATTCGATGAAGTGAGGAAGCGTTCAGGCACTGGAATTTTTGGGAGAGAATGCATGCCACGAAGCATGGCATTAGGGATAGCTGCTTGGGCGACGCCTGCAAGTAGGAGCGACGTAAGGGCCCACATGATGCCTAACCTCAATCGCAAGGATAGGATTAGACAACACGGTCGAGCAAAGTCTTTTTATAGTCATGGGAGGATGTGTAAGTGGATATATGCACTGTTCCTCGACGCGTAAGAAAAGCTGGGAATGATATAATTGGACGTAGCTGCAAGTTTGTCAGTTGGGCTCGGTTGTTCTAAAAGGACCCGATGATGAATTGACAGCCAGGCAGCACTTTTCCACAGCCTTTCAAATAGGGTTTCTTTGCATGCGCTAACCTATTTGCCTCCTCAGAGAAGCTCCCGCCATTTTCTCAAGCCTCTTGCCAAGTTCCTCTCGAGTTACGTGGCCGCCCTATTGTGTGAACCGAAAAAGAGCTCTGTAGTTCTCACTCCTTACCTCACGAATCCACGAGGAACTTTGCGCGAGGTTTCGGAGAAACGTTTTGAGATGTTCTAGAAGAAATTTTCGGACGGTCTTCGTAAATCAGTCAAATTATGCCAACGTCCGATGCATGTCATCACGCTGCTTATAATACCAAATGTGCATTAAGCCACTCTTTCCTCCATGCATCAATGTCCGAGTGTTTAGGCCTCCGGAAAAGCGATCGCTGGAAAGAGACCTGAAATTTGACTCGCTATTGCTGGACAATGTGGTGGTTGGAGCGGGAGGGGAAAAGTGGTGAGAAGCCAAGCATGATGCGCCACAAACGTTATCGGAAACATAGATGCTGTGTAACTTGGTGTTGGTTACTGAAGGCGGACAATGATGCTCCCGCGGCACAAGAGCGACGGGACCTGATAAGAATTCATACTTGCAAAACCTACAATGGCTCCAACTCCGATTCCTCCCCCGACACTCCCGACTGTAGTCCTAACATTCGAGTTTTTCGAATTAGGTGTCGAAAGTCCTGTGTCTGAAGTAGGCATTGGAGATACTTTGCTTGGAGTAGGCGTCGAGGACCCCACGCTTGTGGTCGAAGTGGGCACGCTAGTGAATAGCAGCTTGGTTGCATTAGATTCTAGTAGATCTGCAAGAAAGCGAGCAACGAGGTTTATACCACAGAAAAATTATGCGTGAGGCTGACCTGCGTCCAGTCCTGCCGCTATGGTCTTGAACATGTTGCTAGTTACCTTGAGGTATAACAATTGGGAATTTAGGATGCCGCATCTACTCACAACATCCAGGTAAGCCCCATTCTGAATCAAGATGCCAGTTGGAATGGTCTCCATGTTTAATGGTAAAACGAAGTTTCAGGTTTAAGGATATAAGGTCGCAGACTGACGGCTGGGTAGAAGACGTGAAACGATTGAATTTCTAGGAACTCCAGCTTTGGAATACCGTGAAGTCGAGCATACTTGCAAGTCGATCCAATTCGCCTCTCGACTGTGACGCCATAACAAACGTCGGAGGCGCTCGGCAGCGAGTAGGCGACTGTATTACCGCATTGGCAAGGTTTGGCTCCGTCGAGCAGAGAGACCTATATATCGCGCACCCACAGGATAGCATCGATCCCAGGATCTGTCCAAAAAATAAAATTTTCGGGTCAAGGCACATCAAGAAATCAAAAGCCATACTCCCACCGCTGCAGCGGCTCCCAAGCACAGATCCTGAGCATGAACATTATTCATCTAATCTCACCTAAACATGCGGTTAGACCATGTATCTTTTAAAGTAAAGGAAAGAAATTACCAATCAAAGGTCCCGAGGCACGTTATAATGGCTATTATATGTGCAGATGTATTTTGGAGTCTCTCGGAGTGAAGCGACGACAGCTATTAGGGCCACTATCCATGACCATGCCTTGGTGAGTGGAGAAATGACGGATGACATAGAGAAGGAAAAAGCTGGTGCACCTACCTAGCAGAATCCCGTTATTAAGGTAGGCCTCCTCAAGGCTTCATGATGATGTAAAAGGCGGCAGCCCATGAAGAAGTTGTCAAGAAGGGTTGTAATCATGAAAGCTGGCACGGCGCTTTGAGTAAAGATATACCTGTCCGTTGCCCAGTTACCCCTACTAGACTCGCGATTGCTTTGATGAGTCTAGCCCGGTGATGCATGATGTTTCACACAGTCAGACTTGGTGGTCGATGTTGGAGTTGGCGGGCAGAAGGGAGGAGTTTAAATTTTGGGCCGGTGCCGTGTCGGACGGTCGGATATCCCAGGATCGAGGTGTCCTCCGGCTGCCGATCTTCAACTCATGTGGCATTTCGTTGGTTCAGTATGTTATTTTATGTACCGAAATATGGGTGAAAAGTACAAGCGAAATAAGTGTATTCGGAACTGAGACTCGTACTGGCAGGACAAGTACGGCCTCCGGCACGGCCCGCACAGGTCACCGTCTAATAAATTTGATAGTCCGACTTGCTCAGCGGCCACAAATGGGTTCCTTCCTCCGCAACTTGAATGCAGGCTCCCAGTACTCAGGAAAGCTTTCGTTTCTCTGGGCTCATTATCAACATCATGGTGATCTCACCAGCTCCGACAAGACCCAGTGCATAAGCTATCGGTCGACTACTTCTGAAAACTTCGTTTTTTCTCGTTCGCCACGTCGAGTCACGAAACATGGCGCATATCATTTTCATCTACATACTTCAATCAGGCTGAAGCCTTGTTACACACGTAACATCATTGCGGCTATTTGTCAGACAGCTTGCACCTGTACTCACCTGTGCACCGCGCTATAATAGCTGGGCATAATGTCTAGCATATGCGAACGAGTATTGCACACCCGCTTCTCTGCTAACTTGAATTCAAATGCCCTGCTGCAGTGCCCCTTGTCGCTCATGCTTAAAATCAAAGTCCCCAATTCAGTCTCTGTTCGATGTTGGGAGGCGTATGGAATGGCCCAATTCTGATCACTTCACGAGCCAAGGACGTGGCTCCTGATGGGACGTTCAATTTGACGCCAGATGACAGTAAAGATACTGCAGCTTATTCTGTACATACGTCTTTGTTGGGGGGAGAGTGGATATATCATCTAAGCGGTGCTCGTGACGTAGTTGACAGATATACAGTACTGCATCTAAAAAAACTCAAGTTGGTCGACACAAGTTCTGAACTTGTTCTGAACAAGCCTATTTGGTGTAGCTCAGGGTGGTGTTCGTAAACACTCGTCTTGGTTTAATTGAACATTTGCCTCGAGCCCGATGTGCTTAAGTAATAGATATAATGCATTTCGCGAGGTAAAAGAGCCGTATTTTCAATGTATATACAATAGATCTACTAATAATACAAGTATCGTGATTAATAATATGAGTATCGTGATTAATAATACATGTCACGCGATATCCGAGTCTGAGTTTGAGTCCAAGTCGAAATCGGAGAGCTCATTCCTGCGCTGTTGAGACGTCCCACAAATGACCATATGGTCTTTCCACCCGTCCAAGTCAGCTTTCTCCTCATCAGTGAGATCATCCATGCCCGAACAGATCATTTCGAAGGTAAAAGCATCTGCGTCTGGGGACGACTTAGGTGCAGTGAGTATCAGGTGTGCTTGTTCCGCCAGCACACGTTTTGTTATTGCGCCGGCCAGTCCCATTGCGAAGTGCAGCTGTCTGCGTGGCGAGACGAGCAAAACGTCGAGTTGAAAGCGCATATTCCATACCATTCGTGTGACAAGGTGAAGAATGAAGTGATTTTTGAACTTCGAGTGAATTGTCAGCGTCCCGTCCTGTTGACAACTCAACATGTGATTGGTGATTGAAAGTGCAATGAAGACCATACCACATTAAATGAGTAATCGTGCATGAACACGTTGTTTCGAATGAGGTGTCTCACACGATCCATGCGGAAGGTCTCGGGGGAGATTGGACTACCCTGCGGAGGGAAAAGTCCATAGGCCATTACGACACCTTCTCGAGTGAGGGTCGTAACCGCCGTGCGCATGACAATTACTGCTCGCCAGATTGTTGCAAGGTCCTTGGTTTGATTCTCCCAGCGCGGTATTCCTGTTGGTCTGTTAGTTAGAAAAGTATTGAAAAAATTAACATACCATTAAGCCCTGGAATCTTGGGTGTCGCCTTTCGAATGATAGACTTGATAATACGTTTCTTGTCGGCCGTAGACGAGGCCATCGCGTCCTTTGTGAGGGCGATGCCCACGACAAGTTCTTTGGAGCATTTGAAGATTTGATCACGGATGGGTCCTGTAACCTGGAAATAATGGTTGTCGCCCGAGGCTCCTGCATGGCTCGGAGTTGCGTGCATTGTTGCAGTGACATCAGCCTGTGTTGTTGCAGGAACAACAGGGCTCTCGTGAGTAAATTGTGGTGTTCCAGGTAATTGTCGAGTACGTCGTCGTCTGTTGGACGATCGCGCGGGTCCCGTTGTCTATAATAGAGTTTGAGAGAAATAAACAAAATATACTTGAAACTTACGTGTATAACTTGTGAACGCGGTATCTCACCCGTTGCGACGGGGACAAGAGCATCTCGAGGCTCCAATGGTTCCTCTTCATTGTGGTCGAATAGTTGAGGAATTTGTATGTGGTGTGGGTTAGGTGCTTGCATGTTGTCGAAATCGGAAAGATGCTCAAGACGCCTGGGACTGTATGAGCCTGTGAAAACGATCAGTGACGATGTCTCATCGATGATCAAATGACTTACCATCAAACGATCTATAACTCTCATAATCGAACACCGGCGGCTCATACGGTGGAATGTCGTTATTGGGGTTTGATTGATAGGCAGGGTCAGTTCTAGGTACTGAATCGTTGTACATGTTATAATCGGGGTTAGGGAATGTGTAATCCATGTCAGTGCCCGATGATGGATGAGTGTGAGCGCTTGATGATGGATGAGTGTGAGCGCTTGATAATGGATTAGTATGAGCGCTCGATGACTCAGCGGGAGCGCTTAAAGATGCATCAGCCTGAGGGCGAGTACTTGATGATGCAACGTGAGCGCCTGACGGACCCATGTGAGTGTCGTAGGTGTGAGCAGGGTGGAATGACGGCACATAACCACTGGGAGCATGTGCACTGAAGGAATTGTAGTTGTCGTAACGAGTGCTAGTAGGTGCATAAATCAGTAGTAGCTGTCAAGACAGAAAAGTACGCACCTTGAGCTGAACCCGTCGTGTGGATTGAAAACGTTTGCCATTGGTTCATGGGGTTGTTCGTCGCTGAGACACATCTGAGTGTCCGCTGGGACGTGTGAGGGATTCAGACCAGACCCGCGAGTGGGTTTTGGTATCGTTGTTTTACCTTTAGCATGTTTTACAGGCATACACAGGGAGGACTCCAGTAGTAAGGGCGCAATAAGGGCGCAGGGTACAGGTAAATATCCGCATAGCATTCTACTACAAACCATACTTAAACAAGATGTGTCAATCAGAAGACGCTGAAGAAGGGTAAGATGAAGGGGTACGATGTAAAAGTAAAGCATGCAAGTGACAAACCAATACAATCTGGGGGGTCGCCATCATAATTAAACAGTAACACGAGCAGCGTGTAATATTACATGTTCTCTTATCGATTGATCAGTGTCGTACATTGAAATACAATAATCTGTTTCACATACCGCGATTGGAAGGGCATGCAGCTGAATAGCCACTGATCAAGTTCACATGGTGGTACTACTAGTCACATCATCAGGCGCTTCACCAGCCCCCACTGGTGCCCCAAGACACTCTTCTTCGGAATCCAGGTCCGAAGAATCGTCTAGAACAATATCATCATCGTCATGAATCTCAAGACTGGGGAACCGGGATTGCGAGTCCGCAGGTCCGGATTGTAAGAATGCGTCTTTGGTTCGTGAACCTAAGATCTTTGAGATCTGTTCAGCTTGGGCTGAGGTAACATGAAGGATTTCGCATTCATCTTCATAGATGGCTTGAAGGTAATCTCTATCATCGTCAACTTCTGTGCGGTCACGCTCAGAAAAAATCCTCCTAAAGTTCTGCAACTCCTCGTCTGCAAATCCAAGTCGTTCTTCATTCTCGCTATGCAGGGCATCAAGGAATGCAGTGAAGCGCTCTGATTCTTCAATTTCCCATGCAGTCACCACAAGGCGTTGGCGTGCCGTCTCGCGAGCAGCAAGCTTGGCTTTATAGCCTTTGTACAAGGTTGAAGAACGCAGTTGTGCAAGGCCATTTTCCAAGTATCCGATATGCTTTGTCAATATAAAAATCAGTCCCTGTAATCCAGTAGAAAAAATATATTGTACCTGAAGAAATGTTTCCAATGATACATATGGCTTGCGCTCTTGCCCCATGACACGAGCTGCATAACGAACCTCTATTGGAGCTGGATATACGGGATATGGATGCTGCTTCCTCATCATTCTGTTGTGTATGAACTGCCGTCGTGCAGCACATCGAGGGTTCGGAGATTTAGACGGATCAAAAAATATGCTATCCGTCTCCTTAGCCGAAATCCCAAGTGTCTTTTCTGGCCTTGTGCTTAGTGGGGAAGTGCACAAGTCAGAATTCATAGTGTTGGGAGAGCTCCCTGACTTGGAGCTAGAATAAAAAAGAGATGTTTCAGGAGTGGTGGCGCGTCCACTGGATAGAGGAGAAGATGTGGGGCTGTTTAACGGACTTGGTGGGCCAGGCGAACTGCTAGGGGGAGGAGGAGATGAGACTCGGGGGGGACTACTGGGCTGAGAACGAGATGGAGAAGACATCTGTAAGCACTTTGAACTTGACGATGGAAGAAACCTACTGATATATAGAAGAAACCTGCTAATAGTATAAGCTGTTATCAGTACAATACCCTGTGAATGCACAGTCTGCGGAGTCTCAAAGACGTTACTGCCAGCAAGCGTCAGCAAAGCTCACAAGGAAAGGCCTAGTCAAGACTTGGCAGTCCGGTTAACTATCTGATGCAAGTATCTTTTTATCACTTTATTATTACATAGACTAACATATACCAGGCTGTGTCCCAACTGCAGTGAGGAGTTCCTTTCCATCGAGGCAGTCATTCTGCATCTTGATTCTCCGTCTACCTGTTGGCCACATGAATCACATCCACATCAATTTCCAATTCCACCTGCATTGCGAGGTTCTCATTCATCGACATCCTCCACTACTGGACATCATCATCCTCGATCTGGGTATGTCTTTGGTGTCGGCAAAAACTTATTCAACAGGTTGCAAGAGGATCAATATGATTATCGGAGGAAAATGAATACATATTACCCTTTTCATGATGAAGGGGAGTGGGAATTGGCGAGGTTTCTAGTTGAAAACCTGACTCAGACTCAGATCGACAAATTTTTGAAGCTGAAATGGGTAGGAGACTTGGAGCCCTATTTGACAGGTCTAACTCTATGTTTACAGTTTCACACCCGCCCAAGACCATCTTTCACCTCAAAAGATCAACTTCTCGACTGGATTGACGCACTCCCCTCTTTTGTGCCTTGGAAAGTCTCGACCATGGAGTTTACAGGCTACAAGACAACCTATCCTTTGCAACTCATCTGGCGTGATGCTCTCGAAGTTGTCAAACAGCTCTTTGGCGATCCCGTTTTCGCCAATCACATTACTTTTCAGCCACATGTTGTCGACATTGGGGGTCAGCGTGAATATGGGGATTATATGAGCGCCAATATGGCATGGAAAATTCAGGTCAGTTTTATCCGTCAGTCTACTATTCAAAGATTGATGCCATGTTCCTAGGACCATCTCCCAGTAGGTGCTACACAAGTACCGATCATCCTGGGATCAGATAAAACACCTGTGACACGCACTACTGGAGGGCTTGAGATGCACCCACTCTTCATTACGATTGGCAACCTCGATTCAGAAGTTCGCTCCAAGGCTACACTACGAGCTTGGCGGTGTATTGCTTACATGCCCATCGCCAAGTTTCGTGTGCATCCTGATTATCAGAGCATTCTGCAAGCACGGCTGTGGCATAAATGTGTCGATCTTGTCTGCGCCAATCTCAAGATTGCAGCAAAAAATGGTTGTTTTATGCCCGATCCTTCCTGATACATTCATTACGTCTTTACACCTCTCATCGCTCACGTATGTGACCTCCCAGAGGCTACCATGATCGCTACTGTCAGTAAAAACGCATCTCCCATAACTATGGCGACACAGGCAAATTTTGGTGATGGAGTCCTCTACCCTCCTCATACTGGGCAACACACGCTGCGACTCATCTATGAGATCTCCCAGGAGGCTGATCCTTGGGATCTCGATAAATTCCAGAAGGCAGCAAAAGCAGTCCATCTGTCAGGAGTTCACATGCCGTATTGGCGCGATTGGATGTTCGCATGCCCGTCTGTCTTTCTCACTGGTGAAGTTTTACATACCTGCATCAAGTTTTTTGCAGATCATCCGCTCAATTGGATCAAGGAGACAGTAGGGAAACCTGAGCTCGATGCTCGCTTCATGGTTCAGCATAAGCGGGTGGGAACACGTCACTTCACCAAAGGTGTCACCCATGTCAACCAAATGACAGGACGGGAGCACTGAGATATCCAACGCACCATTGTCGCTTCAATTGCAGGTGTTGCTCCACCCAGATTCATTCGTGCCATTCGCGCCCTTGTGGAGTTCATCTATCTTTCGCAGAATCCAGTTCATTCTCCTGATTCCCTACAGTCGATGGCGCAAGCACTTTCAGATTTTCACATGTTCAAGGATGCTATTGTCGATGCTGAGGCAAGGAGGGGAAAGAAAGGTGTTAAAGAAGATTTCTTTATCCCGAAACTCGAGCTATTGCAAAGCTTTGGAGGCACAGTCGAGAGACTGGGCACTTTGATGCAGTTTTCGGCTGATATGACAGAGCGCTTACTCATTACACACTGCAAGCATCTCTTTGGGCGCACAAACCGGCGATCCACTGATTTTACAGAGCAGTGCGTACGGATCCTCAACCGCCAAGAGTCAATGGAATTATTCAACTTGTATGTGTTATTCTATTCTCGTGGCGCGTCACTCGTCAATGCCATATGTATGGAAGATGAGGAAGTGACAACCGTTAATCCAGCACTTTCCTGGGTTTCTCGTGTTCTCCCTGATGAAGCACATTCCGTTCATGGACCTCGGCCAGTTCGGAATCATTTTCTTAAGGGCATTCTTTCTGGAGATGCTCACACTGCCTTCCATCTGACTTCGACACCAGATTTCAAGGCTCTGACACCCATTGCTATTGAAACCAAATATTCACTTGTTAATTTCAATCGCGCGCTCTCTCAGTTTATCAATCAGCTATCCCTCCTCACTGGCGAGCATACCCGCTGGGACCACAAATACGGACGCTTTTGCGTGTGGAACAAATTTCGACTACAGCTTCACTCTGCTTTCCAGCCACGAGTCATCATGCCAAGCAGAGTGATACAAGCGTACCCACCGAGTGATGCATTCCCCCTTGGAAACTGTGACACTGTCCTAATCAATGTCATGGATGATGATGGCCAAAGTAGTAAGTTTATTCTTGCAGTCGTGTTTCAGATCTAATTCAAGATGTTTTTCAGCCAGTCGTGTTGCACAAGTCCGACTTATTTTTCAGCCGAAGATTCCAGGGACTTCTGACTTGGTGTTGCCAACGTTCCTCTCCGGTCCACTCCTCTACGTCCAATTCTTTCACTTCGTCGCTAATCCCAGTGACCGTCCTGAACTTGCAATGTGGACAGTAGAGCGCACATACACGATGGACCAACATGGCAGACGTTGTAGGTGTGGTGGCGTGATATCATTGACGGATGTAACACATGCTGTCGAATTGATACCAGAATATGGTAACAAGGTAGACGCAAAGATTTCTTCGGCCACTTGTTTGGAGAGCTATGACCGGTTTTTTCTTAACAGTTTCGCAGATAAGGAGAGCTATCATACATTCAGCACGGAGTTCGCATAGACGCAGTATCAGTACCTCATACTAGTAGTAGTAGTCACAACACAGACAATGATCTCAAATACATGCACAATTGTTACAAAGTTTTACAATGGCCATCACTGCTGCCTATAAATGGCCCTAGTCTAGGGTTCCAAATAGTAATCTCAATATAATATCGTTATTTCCAACCCATTTTACCCACTTAACGCTACCGCAATATTCGATTTACATTTTACTACGGATAAGTTTGTTCCACCAATCGCGTTGCTCCATCACCAGCGCCGTAAGCTCACCGTAAGCATCAAACTTCTTTCTGACAAGCGAAATTTCAAGGTCTTTTGCTGATGTGGCAGCTGGAACCTTGGTAGACTAGCATGTACGCAGACTGAAATTTCTTTTTTGCCTGAACAGTGAGAATACTAGCCATTTTGTGTGCTCTTTCTCGATATCCTATAAGTGGGGATGGACGAACTTGAAGACGCGTACCTCTCATAGACGCCACTCGAGATAAAAAGGAACACTCAGGTTGGCAGCGGCAAATGGAAGTGTGAGAGGGTTTGACAAACTTAGATCTGATAAGTCATATATTGCCTCGTCATTGAGGTCCACTGTATTCGTCTTGTATAATTCGTGTTGTACATTGCAAGCCACCAGCTGATAGTCCATCTTCTAATGATAAAAGTGACTCTAGAAGGTACTCCCCTCTGGAGGCTGGAGAAGCTTCCGATTGTTGGCTGTCGCCATCTCCCTGCGCAGAAGGATGTCAGTAACATGACAACAAATTCTTGATAAGATAAAAAAAGAATGGATGGATACCTTCTGATACCGACGAGGATGGTCTCGATACTGCTATCCCGACCCCACTGAGAGAGCACATTGAGCCTCATAGGGTCAATCTTGCCATCGATTGGAGATACAAAAGGAAGGTTTACACGAGAGAGGAAGTGAACGGCGGGTGGCTTTTCGGGGTAATCGTCACCACAATGGATCTTCAGACTGTAAATTCGGTTCTCGTGGACAGTCTGCAGCGTGTTGTATAAATAAATCAGCGCATTTTACAATGGGGAATAATAGAGGCAGAAGAGCGTTTCAGAAGAGATCCAGAGAAGCGTTAAGAGAAGACATGCGATACAGTGGCAGATCGAAGAATCCAGTACCATGTGCATCGATCAGCAAGCGATATAATACTAATTGAAAGCACATACGTGTCCTGGGCCAAGAATCGTTCCATTCCAGTTGCTCATCATTATATCGTCGCTATCCATGAGGCCATACGAACAACTGCCATCTCCTATGCCTTTCTCTCCTTTCTCCAGTTCTTCTAGGAGGCGAAAGTTGCGGGGGACTATAAGAAAGAGGTTAACCACAACTTGTGTTATAATCGATTATCAGACTTACCTCTGGCCGCCATTCTCCTTTGTAGAATGGAAAATGAGTGATTGTATACGGTGGTATAAGTATGACAAGATAGTGTGTTTGGGAGCAACGGGTATTTGCGGCACAGCACTGCCTCCGCAGCGGCCGCGCAGTCTGTAACTCGTTGTCACTAGCAATCATATTCGTCATCTTGTTCAACGACCAGGTAGCTTCAAGCAACCATGTTTAGAGCAAATCAAGCAAACCCTTATGATGACATAGTAGGTGCGTAGGCGCGATGCTCACCGTATCAACCATTGTATTCTGATACAATGTCTTGAATCCTTCAGCCAAGGCTACCGACGAGAATTTGACGGGCGAGAACTGGGAGGTCATTCTCAATCTGTGTGATAAAGTGCAGGAAGAGGGCGAACAAGGGTGAGCTTTTCACTGCATCACGATCTCAAACTAGTCAAGTTGTTGGTATTCAATAACCGATTTTGACGGGAATTGCGTTTGGTAGTGCCCGTAACGTGATCGCAGCACTCTTGAAGCGGCTGGCCCACCGTAGTCCCAATGTACAACTCTACGCACTCTCGCTAGGAGAGTCTCTCTCAAAAAACTGTGGTATCGACCTTCATCGCGAGCTTGCTAGCCGAGCATTTACTGGGGCATTGGAGAAGCTTGTTCTTGATCGGGTGCGTGCATACTCCTGCTTTGATATCGTCTTTGAGTTCCAACTTGACATTACACCACGTTATGCTTCTGATTAAACTGACTCGGATGCATGACAGACAACACACGAAAAAGTTCGTCGGAGGGCTCTCGGCCTCGTCGCGATGTGGACGGCAGAGTTTGAACACGACGCTACTCTAGGAATCATGGAGACTTGCTACAATAATCTGAAAGCAAAGAGTACGTTCGTCTCCTTTCACCTTGACCCACCCCCTTCTACACCAACCCTGATTCCTATCGTTTTCTCCTTTCATGCATCACCATACGGTATCCCTTCTTATCCATTGGCTCACAGACTATCAATTTGAAACTCCCTCCGAGCCAGCCCCTCCCAGCGTCGACGACGAGGCACGGCGACGTGAGGAAGAGGAACTTCAACGGGCCCTCGAAATCAGCATGCGTGACAAGGGCGGGCGGTCTACTTACGCACCTGCTACCTCAGCTGGTTCCTCTGGTGCAGCTGCAAAGCATGCATCCGGGTATGTCCCAGCGCAGTCACCAAGTCCAAAGGATCCCGCGTATGCTGCAAATAATAGTAAACATCCAAATGCCAGGACAACGTCAGGATATTCTGCCACAAGTGGCGGAGTTCCAGCCATGGCTGCCTCTTCGACATCGTCACTGCCGTCCCAAGTCTCTACACCAGTAGTCACCCGCGTCCGCGCTATGCACACCTTTGAGCCTACGGAACCGGGCGAACTCGCGTTTGAAAAAGGTGATGTGATCAAGGTGGTGGATCGAGGCTACAAAGACTGGTGGCGAGGACAATTGAAGGGACGCACAGGAATATTCCCTGTGAATTATGTTGTACGTTTCTTTACTTCCACTTAATCATGATAATCGGCTCACTTGTCCCTAATCGTTACTGTTTCCCTGTTCTGGTCTATGTGTTTGTCACTCCATTATTTATTCCGCTATGTGTAGGAACCTCTCCCTGAGCCAACTGCTGCTGAGATTGCGCGCGAGGCAGAGCAGGAGGCAGCTGTCTTCGCTCAAGCTGCGAATGTCGATCGACTGTTGACAATGCTGAGGAGTCTGGATGCTTCGAGAGAGAACCTAGCGGATAACGAGGAGATTCAGGAATTATACCGCTCATGCATGAGCCTCCGTCCCAGGATTGTCAAGCTCATTGACAAGTACAATCAGAAGCGAGGTGCGGGTTCTTTTCCTTGTCTTACCCAAATCGTATTGATGAATGACGCAGCTGATTTGGTGTCAATGAACGAGTCCTTTGTGAAAGCACGCACGATATTTGATCGAATAATGGAAGACAGCCTTGCGCGTCACACCGCAAGTGAGCAAAACAGCTTTCTGTTATTACCAAATCTCCTCATCTTCTGCAGTGTATGATTCAGGTCCACAACCCTACGGATACGGTTACGAACAACCCCAGCCATATGGGTATGGTCCCAATAATGCTTATCAGCATCAGGTCGAGCATCAACCACAATCCCAGCCTCAACCTGGACCACCGCAACAACCCGACCCCGCATATGCATACCAGCAAGGGCAAGTTTACGGTGCGCCCGTCGGTGGGGCACCGTACCCTCAGTCCGCACAGATACCGTACCCACAGACTTCGCAAACGCATTATCCTCAGCAACAGCCTCAACAGCAACCGCAACCACAACCGCAACCGCAACTTCATCCCCAACCACAACAACCACAGACACAACAATCTGCTGAGTATTCTCCCGGAGTACATGTCCAACAGTCGCAGTCGCAGCCGCAGCCGCAGCCACAAACTCAGCAACAACCACCTCAGAGTGCTGGCCCGCCCTACGTTTTCGATCCCAATGCAACATACCCAGATCCCAACGCTCAAGCATGGGCGCAATACTATGCGCAGGGTGGGACAGATCCCGCTGGGGCGGTGTACTTTATTTCAGTGCCAGGCGTAAGTGATACACCGTCACCGCCAGAGCAAACCCCTCAATCGCACCAACCATCACTGGATCCATACCAAGCTCAGGCTCAGCAACTGCCTGCACACCAGGAACTCACGCGCCAATCGTCGACCTCCCAGCGCGCAACGTACACGGACCCCAACCCCCAACAAAGCCAATATCCCTCGCAGCCATACTACCAAGACCCTGCATCTGCCCCGCAGGTGTCACCGACCAGTGCAACTGGTGGTATATCTTCGCTGCAACGGGCGTCATCTGCGACTGCAGGTGTCCCAGTCACGTATAGCTATCATCCTCCATCGCATCAGCAACAGCTCGCTCCAATTGGACAGAGTGGATATGCTGGACCGGGGTCTGAGGGACATGGGTATGCGCAGCCGGCAAGCGATGGTTACGAGGCGCCCACACCAGGTGGCTACGCTCAGAGTCCACCGTCAGGGCCAGGGTATGAGAGTTCTCCGTCGGGCGAGTACCCTCAAGGCCCCGGAGCACGTGGTAATGTGCATACTTTACAAAACCAATTTTTGGACATGTCAATTGGAGGTCCGCAGGCTGCGACTTCGTGAGTAAAAGATGCATGGATGGATGGACAAGTGTTTGTAAACGTTTCTAGGTGACCCTAAATTATTGTCTCAAATCTGTGATATGCGAATTATTATCGAATTTTGCGGTGAGGGTATGAACGTTGTAGGGTCTAATCATCGCACGTCCTTGAGACTGTTGGGTCATCTACAGCTGTGGCCGGTCACGTTGTACTCTGTACGACTCAACAAACGAGCAATCGGTAAACGCCTTCGCATTTCTTTTGATCTCCTGCGTTCAGAGGACATTGAAAGCGTGTTAGCGGCACCATCTTAGGTAAATCGCCACACATCATCCCACTCCTCGCTTTGTGGAACCGACTTATGGCTGAGAGATTGCCATCGGCAGATGTGAGGTCCTCCAGAAATTGCTGTCCTCCGCGACTGGCAAACGACCAATCAATTCCCCCACTTGAAAGAGTTTAGCGAAGGCCTGACATCATCATGGACTCGGTTTCGCAACATCACCGTTGAAGTGCCTGATCTCCTCCACCTCGTTAAGGTTAAGTCTGTTAGAACACTACCAAACTCATCCCGTGCTGCAGCCTCCTTGTCGCCTCAAGTCTCACATCTCTGGATCCAGGTCGATTAATTTCGAAGACAAGGAGCAGGGACGGTAGGCATGGTCAATCAAGTTCATTCACAGACCTGGCCGCGTGCTCTCGAGAAGGTGGCGCAGCAGTTGATGGTCTCTACCTCTGCAGCGCTCTCTGCGATACATGCGTCTTCAGAATCCACCTGCGGTCGCCTTAAAGAGAGGATGATTCGGTATCGGAAGACCCTTGAGAACAAACCATCCTCTGCTCAGTGAACAAGGCTCGACTCTCGTCTATCAGAAATCGAACACGAACACGGCCGAGTGGAAAAGGAAAGGGATAATGTTGCTCAGCGGGTATCTGCTTTGCGGTTTGCCCGGGGCGCACACTGGTTCCTTGATCAATCAGTCTGAGATTCTTAAGCGAGCTGCGAGTCTACCATAGGATCGCTGCGTTAGTGATGTCAGGACGACTGGTGGTCAGCATGAACTTCTCCGTTGCATCAGGTACAAGCTTAAGTGAATTGTCAATGTCAGGACCTAAAGTAAATGATTCAAATAGATACTATGACGAAAATATTGCCAAAACCTACTCATTGAAATCTACTTTAGGACACCAAAGGATTATACGAGTACCATGACAAGGCTTGGAGAAAACACAAATTTTCCTACTTCCTGCAGAGCACCAGACAACCATTAACAACTCGTATGTTATACACCACTGCCAGTCGATATATGCACACGCTCCTGGAAAGCGATTGAGGTCATGCCGGTTGCTGCGTCAGAGTTGGCCACGAGGTTAGCGTGGTATTCACGAACGCCAAGGATTAGGCGTGGTCCTAGCACAGACATCTCCACGACCTCCAAAATGTGAACCAAGCCAAAAAAGGTCTGAAATTCTAGAGAATTTAAGTCCTATAGAAATGATGAATCATGGTCGCATGCAGAGGTAAGTGAGGGATTGACGTACCCTTATGAGTGTTGGAGAAAAAGTAACAATGAGCTGGAAGCAAGAAACAGCAAGAACGCTACCACGTCCGACCCTTTAGCGGAAAAAAAGGAACAATAAGCACAATATGAGCTTACCCCGCAGAGTAAACCACGTGAGTTTTCATCAACATCATGAAACAGTCCCCGATGATTCCTCCTGCCGAATGTTGTTGCAATTCACGGGAGTGTTTTACTGCAATCCAGACTGCGAGACACAGTACGATGACCTCCCACACAATGCTGAGTATCCAAACAATAGAAACCAGAGGTGGGGTAACTTTTGCAAAGTCAATTGAGCACTGAAAGCCGTCAAGGAGAATGAATTCCTCTGGTATTCATCAATGAGCCCCATACACGTTTGCTTTCATCCACAATCAAACGTACTATGCATCGTTGCAATCACAGTAGATACTCCATCGAAGGTATTGATAGCCAGGAAGGTGACAATGAGAAATATCAGGATCTTTCTGGATCTCTGATACATGGCATGCAACCGAGTGATGATGATGACTTGAAGCATGTGTCAGTCAAGTCGATATCACTGAGGTCTCACAAGTGCCAAGCTCACCCCACAGCATCACAAATATTAGACCGCCAGTCCAAGTACATATGACGTACACGATCCAGCCTAACGAATCCAGTCAGTGATCGGCCTTGGGTTACGGTAGCACACACACCAAAGACTCACATCTGTGGCATCATAGCGTGACAGTCATTAGTGAACCAACAAGTTAGCAAAGAATTGCACGCACTCCTACAGGGCACCACAATTAATCGGAGAGGAATAGCGGGCATCTACTATGCAGAAGACTCACTGCATCTGTCAGCGAGATGGTCGGAACACCCGCTGTATGCCGTTGGTGAGAAGAAGTGAAGACAGTGTATGTACTGAGGAGACATACACAGCGTGCTCAGGCTAATTATGACAGATGGACGATTAGCACAACACCGATTGCTTAGCCTTCCAACATACGCAGTATATAAGATTCCAAGGTAGCGCACCTAGTAGGATGCTTTCAATTCGACAACCGTGACAAGCAGGCTACATACACCGAGATACAGAACCGTCATCAGGGACCAATGTTGCCCCTGTAATTAAGTTTATTATCATGGTTGTTCTTTTGACATAGTAGGACTCTACTTACCCAGACCAATTCGACCTATAAGAGGATTCTTAGCGAAATGGCTGCTCCGGTCATAGCATCGACATACCTCTTGCCCGAATGTAAGTGCTGAAAATACTTTTAAGATATCAGCAGTCATTTAATACTTTCATGCTCACCCCAATCATATGTCACTCCAACAAATGCAGCAACTATGAAACCGCCGTCAAGTTTAGATTGAGACATTAGCTTCCAGCTTCCACATCCGACTGTTCTCCATGAACCTACAAAATAGCTGGAAAAACGATATGCATTGATGGTCGGCCACCAAGTGGGATCATTTGGGACCATGGTCATAGTATTGGTGGAGAATGGGTGTGGATGAGAGGCGAACGCGGTAGATGCATGACAATAACATTCACACTATATGATGTGCGTATACCACTAGATCCAGTGCTTGCTAGACTCCGCTTCCAAGGAATTCGTCAACGTTCTCTTCGAGTTCTCTCCTCGCGCGCGAGTCCTCGGTCATTGACGTAAATGTGAAAGTCGCGACGACCGGCTGCAACGTTTACTTGATTGTGAACGTGTCGGGTGCCACGACTCGGACACTCGGAGTTCCTGTATAAATTAATATTAGGGTTGAGCACGGGTGAACCCGCGGGTCGCTGAGGCCACACCGCACCCGCCACGGTACGGGTGTACACCGACCCGCCAGTTCTGCAGGTATTCACGGTATACCGCAGTTTTTTCACAGACCCGCGGGTCATATAGTATTTTGAGGTATACATGGCAAGTAACTTGAGTAGAACTACTGCGCGTCCTCTTCATCATCACCCTGAGGAAGTCCTTCGTATCTAGCAAGACAGTTTTCACTGTCCTATTCGTGCATGATACAACTAGGATTGTCTAGTATTGTAGTCATGCATGATGTCATACATGATACAGCTGACGGGTGTGTGCCAACATCCCCGACTCCCACGTTAGTGGGGGAAGGGTTTTGTCGGACGCAATCGCGCCATCTATCTGTAAAATCTTCGCCCATTACGTCACAGTGATGACGTGAACGTGAAACCTCGTCGCTTACGTTGCATCCTTCTTTCAGAGTGAGACATGCGATGCCTATATATCCCTTTTTTTTTGGTCCTCTGCTCTCGTTTTCTCTTCATCATCGATCCTCCGCAGTATCGGTTAGCACCTGTTTCTGAGTGTCCTGATTGTTTTTGGCTGACTCTCTTCTTTGCAGCTCAGAATTTTTGTGCAAAAGCCGTCCGTTATGGCATGCGCTCTTGATAATGATGATTGTCCACCTGATTATACTGTTCATGATAACGAAACCTATCCTGCATATTTTGATGACCCGTCTTTTCGTCGATCACATGCTTCTGTATATGAACCTACGTCTGCGAACTTAGCTGGGATCATGCAACGCGACAATCCATCCTGGTTTCTATACACCGAAGCTTGTTATCGGGACAGTTTGCAAAATTTGCCTGCATCTGTTCTGACCTTTAGTGCACGACCGTTTGTTCGCAGAAGAGATGATGCCAACACCAAGGAGATTGCCACCTCAGGCAGTACTTTTCGGTGCCAATAAAGGGTCTTTCAGATCCGGTTTCTATGTTATGGGAAACCGGGCTGAAAGACCCCTCATCCGGGAGGATTCTCCATTTGTAAATATAGCTACAATCTAAAAATAGCAGCTGCCTTGTTGCCATCCTGTTCTGCACTGCTCCGGTGCAGCGCGTTCCTCTTGTGCGCCCGAATCCTCCATTTGTAAATATAGCTACAATCTAAAAATATCAGTCTGCCTCGTTGCCCTCCTGCTTTGCGCTGCTCCAGTGCAGCGTGCTCCTCCTGCGCGTCCCATTGACAATCAAATACCTTGGGTTGCTCGGCGCCTCGTACTACGTTTTGTCACAGAGCATCCGATGCCACCTCAATCCCTCATCACTTGGCTGTCTTTCTCAACTCTCCTGCTCCAGCCTCCAAGACATCATGGCCCCACACGCGGGTACCCGCGCTGCTCAACCGGGCACGTCATCTGGGCTTGGTATGCACTTTTCCAGCCCGCGGAAACTCAGAGACAAGCAAAAAACTCAGGTACTTGTTGAAGTGCCAGGTCAGGAGGCTAAACAGCGCCAGTTGCTCGCAAAGATGGCCAGTTTACTCGCAGGTTCAGCGAAGCCTAAAGAAACTTCACCTGTCCTGGCAGAGACGGAAGCGGACACGGCAGTCCTCGAGGAAAATGCTAACGAGGCTTGGGAAGACATCCTTGAGCCTCACGACAATTGTTCTCCCCAACCTGCCTCACAATCCACACCGAGTCGTCGTACCCAGCCTGATCTCACATCTACTCGCTTGTATGACGGCTGGAAAACACTTATTCCTACCCTGGTCGAGACCCAACTAGACTACACTGCAAGGACGCTAGGAGCACCTCTCGAACGAACACCCAAAGTTTTGTCTTTGTGCAGCTCGCACACATGTGCACAAAAACGCACACCTATTACCTGTCTCTTTTTTGACTGTCAGTATTCGGTCGCATACATGGAGTCTTGGACTTGAACAGCTAATTTCTTTTAGATTTCATCTCCATCGATGCGATGAGCTGTAGATGTGCTAACTTAGCACAAACACTTGTTTTCTACGGCTTATTCCCTACTGCTCCCTCCCAGCCCCGAATGGCCATATCAGTTGAGCTGCTCGCCTTCTATCGCTCTCTCTTTGAGCGTTCCTGTGACGCCGTCAATGCACTTGCATCAGCACTTAATACTCACTACATCTGACGAGGATACTGAATAACAAACGCAAAGGTATGTGTCAGTCGACTTCATATGCTTGTTCAGCTACTCACATGAACCAGGGAGAAATTATTCAAGAACCTTTCCGGCGGAGTCTAGGTCACGCCATTCAATGGTTCGATGTCCTGCAGATAAAGGTCGAGCGCCGGTTAGAACTAGTCATACAGACTTGTCGTGATCGCGTGGAAGCTTTTCGGGCGACTCCCACACATCCTCAACCATCCAGTACAGCAGGGTCTGAATCACCTGGAGCCAGAGAAGAGAAGGGACTGCGGGAGCGCTGTGCTTCGATCCTCATCCAACGTTGTCCAGCTTGTTTCGCGGGTGTTAGATTTGGCTGAGACCTGGACAAAGGGGGTGACATCCACGTTGCTACTGACGGTAACTTCCACCACCGACACCGGCGTTCAGCAGGAGATTCACCACATTTTTACGACCCTTCTTATTTCCTCTTGAAGGTGCAGGTCGACGCTATTGGTCATCACATCAGTCGAAGTCACAAGTCCCCGCCTAAGCTGCATATATCACATGTGCCAAATGAGGCGATTGATCTGTGTGAAAACTCCTACGAGGCAGCGGATGGCAAGAAGCAGAAGGCCGCCATGGATAGCTTCAATGACACAGGACTCATGGTGCTGATTTGCCGCCACGACATTCCCTTATTTTTTGCCAATATCGACAATCCTGGCGAGCAACAAAAGTATTCAGTTGCGTTAATCAACCATCTCTTTTCATTATTGCCACGGAGTGCCACCGTCATCACCCTCTATGATGTGGGATGTGTCTTATCACGGTCGTTAAATCAGGTCAGTCTCACTTCCTTCGCCTGTCGTAGTAAACTGACATTAATTAGTATGACATCTTGCCAAACTCTATCCTACAGCACTTACGGTTTGCAACTACGGCCATGCATGCCTATGGTCATGAATGGGCTTGTCAGCTCGTTTATAACCCGTGGATGATCATTGGTCTAGGCCTGTCCGATGGAGAGGGGATGGAGAGACTCTGGTCGAGGTTCGTTCGATTGATAGGCATACAGCGGTCATCTTCTGTATGTACTTATGTTCTCTTTTGAATTCTACTCACGTTCACACAACAGAGGCAACGTCGTCTGTGGCTGATTGATCGACATGCTAGAGCCATTGGACTTGAGATGCGTGCTGACCTTGGGGAATGGATCAGGCGCCGACTCAGGCGTGGCGTGGAGGATCAAGGCACAGATGCCTGAAACATTCTCGAAGAGTGTGAAGTTCCTGTGAGTGATTTGCGAAAAGAATGGGTGATGCAGAAGGAGTCACAGCTTTCAATCCGTGCTCGTGTGTAATGTTCCTCGCGATCATCGTGGCCCTCCTGATGTTCCGCAATAGATGCTCCGGCTCGTCTCAAGAAAGAGTTAGACACCATCCTTGCTCTACAGGCAGACCTTGATGCTTCGGACAAAGCTCTACAGACAACAAGGGACACAATTGCAAAAGGTGAGATGTCAGAAGACACCCTTGATGCAATCGAAAGTCTCGAACGAGCACACGAGCGTCTTGTGCGCAAAGTAGAAGTGTTATATGCTTCGCTCAATGTTCAGGACAGGTTCCCAGAACTAGAAGGCTTGAACCTCGAGTTCGTTCGAACCTTGCTATTAACGCGCGATCTCAAGATTAACATTCGCAAGCGTGCCATTGGCAGCTTCTTCGAGTGGGATAAACTTGATTGTGCAGTAGGAGGATCACAGCAAGCTCTAGGTAAGGCACAATCTGATTTCGAGCAGCTCGACCTGATGTTTGCTACTAGGCACAAAACTCCACCAGCAGACTCGAAAAGCAATTGCCAAACACCAACCAGCATTGATGGCTGCTCTATGTTACAAGTAACATCGGCTACATGGCCCCCCTATCATTTTTCCCCTTCGTCCTCGCCCTCGTATGCCTCCAGCTTGTACTTCTCTACCGACTATCTGTTGACCGGATCCTCGGGACCGTTCCCATCCCTCGTCCCCCTCTCATCGCACCAACGTGCGCACGTGCCTTCGGGCTATGACTCGTTCTGACTCGTGCCACCAATGTGGCTTTCCTTATCTTGTCTTATCTTTCCTTTGACTCGTGCATGCTGCACATTGTATCATTTACCGTTGGCTCGTTCCAACGTTTCTCGGTCTCATTCCGCATTCGACCTTACATCACTAATCAGGCTCTGCTACCAGCGTACCTATACCCTTTCCGTTTCCCCTTTGCCCTTACCTACAGTACGGTAGCCTTGCCCTTAACCCTTTCCACTTAGTATAAGTAGTCGGTCACTCTGTACTAGATTCCCTAACTTGAATCTACTCAATCTTCCCTCGAACATACTTCCCTCTGAAGCCCCCTCAGCTTCAGTCTCTAGTATCTTTTCTTAGGTGCTCATTGCGCCTAAGTCTACCTCGATCGACTACTCATCGTTCGGACAAGACTGTCCTTACTTTGAGAACGTCAGTGACTTTGAAGACCTCCGTCTTAGAAGTCACGTGACACGCGCGTCTCTGATATCTGCCGACTCGACGTCGCCAGTCTCAGTCGCTACACCGGACCCTTCCGGTTACGTCACGAACATTAGCGGACAACGCCCCTCTTAGGGCTCCGCATAACAGATCTATTTGAGTGCGTAACACTCTACGTAAATTCAACGCCTATTGTGAACGATTGGAAGCCCTTTATGATCCGCACTGCGGCATTCCTCTTCCCACACCTCTCCTGACAAAACTAACCGACCTACGCAACAATCAGAGTTTGATGGAAAACATATGGATTACACCTTCAACTGGGAAGGTTCCCCGCTGGTTGGATGATCAAGACGTTCGCGATGGCATTCGTGCAATGTTGAAGAGAGATAGATGTGTTGAAGAGCAGCAACATCTTGGGCTGGAGGCGGACAATCTCTGCAGATGGTTCGGCGATGAGCTCTCAGCACTAGAACTCGCCCTTTTGACACCAGGTTGTAAGTATCATACCTTCCGTTGTTCTTGTCTGATCTCACAGTGCATTTGCAGATGAAAAATTCCTTGTCCCGCTTCGCCAGCAACAGGAGCACCTTCAGTACATCCAGACTCGTTGGACAACCTCACTTGCATCTGCGGCACGATTCGCATCTCGCGCAACTGATGCTGTATCTTTGGCCCACAAACTCTCGGGTGTCTCGGAGGAGCGTCCGCTTCAATGGATCAACACATATGCTGTCTCATATGTTGTGCCTACCGAAGACGAAGAGCCTGGACCAGAAATATTTTCTGACATCGATCACACAGCTTTGCAACCTGAAGATGCTGCCCTTGTAGATATTCTGACTGCCGGAGTCCCTGGTGGTGAGGATGATGATATCGACATGATTGTGAATGATCCCGGAGCCGACCTTTGTTGGCGAATCCCTGAAGTAGCATGGTTTTTCTACTGTTCACACTATAGTCCATGCTTACGAGTCTTCTAGGACATCACATTCGACCGAACACCTCTACCAGAAGCGGGAATCATCATTCCAGGCACCATCAAAGAACAAGTATCTGCACCTCGCTTTGGATGTCCTTGTCAAGTATTTGAGCCGAAGGATATCGCGCTTCTTGCTTCTCGGACTGCACTACTCAACGACAGTTGCATTAATGGGTGTGCAGTGCTTCTTTACTTAGAGGCGGTGCAATTGTCTCCAATGGTTGAACAGTATGCCATCCTTTCAACCCACGACCTCCCACGCATCCGATACAATGCCCCTGATGATGTTCTATGGCGCAATATGTCTTGGACATCTTACTGGATGAAAGAGGTGTGGATTCTTCCCATCCATAGGCCTTCAGATATCGGCCACTGGGTTCTATGTGTTGTACACCTTCGAAGCAAGGAACTCCATCTCTTTGACAGCTTCGCTGAGCGGAAGCCATGGAAAAGTGACATCAAGGTTCGTGAGCTTCCTCTAATAGATTTTTGCATGACTAAATTCATCCAGGACATCATGAAATTGATTGCTCGTCTTCTGAGTATCGCTCGACAACATGATCATGTTTTTAATGTCAACAACAATTTCGATGGATGGCTCGCACGTCCTCTAGTGGTAAGTATGGTCACAACCTTGATGGTGCGAAACACGGCCTCAGCTTATATGTTTTAGACTGATGCACTTCAGACAAACGGCTTTGACTGCGGTGTCTGGGTGCTTGCCGTGATTGCGGTGACACTGCAAGGGTACCACTGCACGGCTCTCGGAGAGGGAGACATGCACATGTTTCGATATTATCTCAGAACACTCGTGCTTCAAATTCCTGTACTCTAACTAGTTAATACTACTGTCCAATGCATACAGATTTGATCCCATCGTCATTGCATGCACTTCGTTATGATAACAATAGATTCTTCGAGCACGCCACTGTAGGAGGCACTGAGCCATCACGCAGTGTCTGTCGCAATATTGCATACCATCAACATACTTGTGCAACGTTGCCCACTGCCTCAAGAGTACATCAATACCTTCCCTCAACTCGGCACAAAGATGCAGCGCTCCCCCTGAACTATGCCTCTTAGCACGCTCATAGACTTCCTCCTTCTCCATTCGAAATTGTCGACCATGGATCACCTGGACAAGGTTTTCTGTCCAGCGAGCTTCTGCTGGGGTGTCCAAAGGTCGAGGAGTGTGGTATGGCGGATCAACATCCCATTGCGCAAGATCTGATTCGTCAAGGTTGTCAGCACTTTGTGATGCTTGTTGAAACAGGTAGGTGTCTGGAAGATCTGCTCTTGCGAGGTTGATTAAATTGGATGGAAGGGATGACAGCTCAACATTGGGATCAAGAGTGAGGGACTTTGTTGAACCCTTTCGACTGTGGGCTTTGGCATATGTGCGCGAATTCCAAAGTCGACGAGTGTCTCTACCTCTGTACGTGCAGTGTTAGTACTTAGATAAGAAGGCGCAAAGCAAGAGTTCTCTGGACCTATCGGATCGACTATACTTTGCTGTGTGTTGACATGTTGCAGCAGTTGTATCAGCGAGAGTGAGGTGTTTTGCTCTCCGCCCCATAGGTAAAGAGGTAAAGAAGTCTAAAGCAATTGAAACGAATGAGTGGGCAACGTTCGAGAGTTGGTTTATTTGACCAGATACCATTCAAATTAAAAAATGCGTCAATACCATTAGAACCGGCATGTCATGGAGCATCTTAATATGTGGACTAGATCGTTTTTTGGGTACATTGGAGGTATTGGGACATGTTTTTTATGTGTGAACATCGTTATCCATACGCTGATTGGCTGATCAGATTTGGCTGTACAGAACAGTCATCCTCAATGTGCTGCCGCAGTGCCTTGGGTGCAACGTGAACCTCACATAGTCCTGATACCCTCTTGTCCCTCTCCCGTCCCTTTGTAAGTTGTCCTATTGACTGTAACGGCGTTTTGACTTTTGACCTCTCTTCTTTTACATGGCTTACACTGGGCTGCATTCCAATTGACGGACTCACGCAGTAGCTAGTTAGCTTCAAGCTGAGGTGAGATCCTGAGTCCTCGCACAGGCACTGAGGCAGGAACAGCCGCTTTAGATCATATGGCATTGATAGAACCCTACAGAACGACTAGACTAAGACGATGCCCACGGTTCCACCATCTCGATCCTGCCTTGATCGATTGCCTCCCTAACCAGTTGCTCCCCAAGTGCGACAGATTCAACTTCACGATAATCGGGATTTGCAATGCCCAGAACACAGTTCAAAGCATTTTCCCTAGTTGCATTGATAAATAAATGTGACAAACATTGAAATATTACTTACCAGCCTGCCATGACGCCAATATGGGAACCACAAATGACATAGAAGAGTAACTGCCTGGATTTCACTTGCACTAAAATAGTGTTAGCGATAAGGCAAAATCAAAGTATTATTGTTGACACACCTGGTATATTGTAATAGACGCCCTTGTAGCAATGAAGAAGGCATTCATCTGCCAGCGATCAGACTACATCATGGAAATTTGGGCTACCTGCATGGATGGTGGTGAGCTCTGGTGACGCCGTGGAGACTGCATGATTGACGTCGATGGACATCAAAGGGTACACGCATTCGATTATGAATGGTATCTCGAATGGCATGGTCGTTAGTGTAGGAATGAAGAGGGAAAGTGTGCTACATACACATTTCCTCTATACCTCTATATAGACCTACAAGCAATGCATCTGTGAGATTGTAAGATTCAGACAACAAGGAAAAGGGAAAGACTCCACTTAAACGAAACATCGCGCCAGCAAGAAACTCGAAAATTGCGTAGTTGACTTGCTAAAAAAAAGGGGGTACCATGCTGCCAGGCCTGAAGAACTGAAACTTGCATGAAAACGTGTATCTGACTTACTAAAAAAAGGGGGCATTGTGCTGGCCAGCAAGCCCGAAGAACTGAAACTTGCATTTGACTTGCTGGAAGTGGGAGGATTGGAGTCAAGTGGCTATGGTGGATCTTTAGTGATGGTTCGATTTGGCGTGCATTTTTCACAGTCCGCTATATTTATCGTTGTATATCTTATATTTATTATTGTATATCCTAATAGTAGCATGTCACAGGTGCGATAACACTCGGCAACTCCTCTCGAACAAGCTTGCCAGATTTCACAGTCCAACATTTATCGTTTTGTTTCGCTGCGCTGGTCTTCTGTGATGTTGAATGGACTATCGATGAGGGCGAAAGCTGGGCTGTAATAGGGACATGCTCGAAGCAAAAGACAGCCCTTTTGCAGGTCCATCATGCTGATATTGCGAAGCGTTTGCATTGACATTGCTGTAGATGCTCCTAGGTCACCTACGTTCCTTACCTGGTGGTCTGTTTTCTTTCCTCTCAGACTCTCCTTGCAACCCACACCTTGTGGCTCTTGTATCGTTCGCGCATCGGCCCCGCGCAGCAGGTGGTACCTTCTATGACTACACTTCTCGATATCGCGCAGTTAGAGAAGAAGACTGTACCATAGGGAAAGTATGTTCTGAGAATACGACTTTCTGGACATTCAGCCAAAAGGTGGAAAGGTGAGTTGACAAAGTAAAGAAGGGCATATTTGAGGACCTAACTTTGAGACTATCTGCACGAGTGCTTCCTTCATCAATCGAAGACTCGTTGTTTGGATCCAAATAGTGTAAGGGACTATTTAAATGCTTCGTTGTTGCTCCTCTCCTCACTATACGACATTACCTGATAGTCACCCCATTTTTTCACTATGGTACGCCCAACAATATACAAAACTCATCAAGCTAGAGTACAAGCTACAAGAGAAGAGCGCCGTCGCCATTATCAAAAGTAAGTGATGAAGTGACGGTATCTAGGAATCGAGTTGACCAAAAGACTCCCCAGGTGTCGAGAGGTTATCCTAGCCAAGCGGCATCAGTCGCGCAAAGAAAAAAAATCCTGTCAAGACAATGAACCTTCGGACGATGAAGACGAACCAATGTGCGTACTGCATGAACTTACTCGTATCAAATGATCTGACATTTGCGTCAGGGAAACCTTACAAGATTGCATTGCCGCAGTTAAATATGCCAAAGATGACTTCATGACCTATGTGAAGGCTCCACGAAGATTCTTCGACCTCCTCGTGGACGAGTACTCCAAAACAATGCCTGACCCTGAGGTATGCCCTACCGGGAATGGAGACAAGTCTGTATTTGAACGCGCCATCACAAGCTTGGAAGACTTTCTCGACTGAGCTAACCGCGGGCTTGATGGTATCCTTCAGATGTGTGGTGTGAGTGACGAGTGGCGTGCTGCAGATGGCGTATGCAGATTCATGAGCGAGATGATAGGAATGGTTGAAGACATCTTGCTGCGTCTGGCAGAGGGTGGAGACGGTGAACTATCGATTGCTTTCATGGGGAATGAGTTATGGTATCAAGAATACAAATTCCCCGTCTAGGTAGCACCTGCCCTGTAGAGTGAGAGCTTCCATATTTATTTGCGAGACCTCCAGAATACAATTACCGACGACAGTTTGAAGTGTAATGTGGCTACGCGCAGATCTATTTATGAAGACGTGTAGGCTCGGTTCTGTGATTCACGTTGCTATCGCGCAGCCTCTTCTCACTGTACGCGCCTTCAATTCGCTGGATTCTGCTCAAATTACACCAGCAATCCGAGCCGAATGCTACAAAGTGTTCCAAGTGGCTTTCATGAGGCTCGCGAGGATGAAACGGAGGCTCCTGTAGGTCATATTACTTTGGTGAAGATGAGAGAGAGGCTTGAGAGGCTCACAGTTCACAACTGCAGGCTGCGAACTGACAAGCTCGTCAACTTCTTGTTCTTCGTCCTCGGCGGCACTCATAACGGCGATATGTGGGATGAGCTGGCTGCGACTGGGTCCAATGGGGGGACGTTGCCGAGTCGGACAACTGGGTCCAATGGTGGGACGTTGCCGAGTCGCCTTCAACTTCCAGGTGGGAGGCACCGGTGGGAGTTCTACGAAGACTCGGAGTCTGCGCGGCTTAGGTGACGTGGCGTTAGAACTTGAAGCAGAAGTATTGCCCAGATGGATCAGCCCATGCCTATCTATCCGGCCATTGGCAAACACTCGTCGACCATGAGTGTGAGGTGAATTTGCAGTGGGCACTTCTCCTACAATGACAGGGGCACGTGATTTTGCAAGACTTTTGCGGGCGTCTGTTGGAATAGATTTGACAGTGAGGACGTTGTTTTTGAGGGCATCCGCAAGTTTGAAGCGCTCAAGGGTGGTGAGGTCGTGTATGCCCTTGCTCCTCACAACTGTTGGACGTCTTTCGCCGGGCATGAGAATGTCCTCGGGGTAGTTTTTGAGGATGCACCCACGATGGGCTAGAACCTGAGGTAGAGTCTTCCACAGGATGGTTCCCCCTTGTCCTTCCAAAGTCCCTGTATAATATTTAGCTGTTCTCCACTATGATCTGACTGTGAGACTTACCGAGAAGCGCTGTGAGCCCACCAGCAATGCAAGGTATACCCTCAAGGAGCCTCCATCCCTCAGGATCCCGGACCTCTCGCTTCTCCATCCATTTATCCAACACTTCCTGCTCGTCGACCTTGTAGCGCGATGACACACATTGGAGAATTAAGTCGAGCTGCGTGAAATCCATGAGTCCAATTAACGTAAGCTTAAGAGGGAGTAGCACGGAGGATTGACATTGACAACACATCGATAAGATGCTGTGCTTCCATCGATAATCTATGACTTCGTGAATTCTGGATGAAGTAATTATTGGTGAGGTGATTGATGCGTACATTTCAGCCCTCCAAAGCCTCCCATGGGCTGTCCCGCCCCCCAACTCTCAACGGCGTCTTGTCATTCCTCCCCTCCCATCAAAAGTTCTCTCTGCAGCATTTCTTGCATGACAGCCAACGCCAGGCAAAGCGAAATAAAGACTCACATGCTTATTGGGTGATTAAGGTGCATGCAGGAACCTCTTGTCCAACCATTGTCTAACCTCCTGCGCCCTCAGATGCTCCAGTGCCTCGGAGGATCCCTCATCATTTGGCCATTTTCATGGTTTTTCGAGCCTTCCTGGAGGAGTACTTGCGCTCATTCTATGGCACAAAGGTACGCAGTGAATTGCCGTCAATCTTCTGTTCTAGTAACTTTTGGTCAGTGAATCCCTATGGAATGCGAGCAAATATTCTGGTACTCTTTCAGAAATATGAAAGGCACTGTTGCATCCTGCCCTCCTCGTCTGCCGTCCCTCCTCGTCTGCCGTCAGAAAATTTTCAACTCCATCAATTATCCTTGCGACCCACTTTGCACAATGTGAGTTATCGCATATCTATGCTGAATTAAGCTTACACTGGTGACAGTCTGGTGTTCAAGTGTTTCAGTGTATCCGTCTCCCAACAGAACAGGTGCGTTGTTTCTACTCAGTAATCGTGCTCACACCTAGTGTAGCACACCTTCAGCCAAGTGAGTACTTCTATCCCTCACTAGATGCATCTGAGCCGGTTTTCATCTTCTTTCAATAGAAACAAAGCACATGTCAGAGTCAAGCTTAGACACTCGCGAGGCTCCCTCTGAGCAAATTGGGGGTGGCCGCCGCCATACATCACCTCCATTTGTACCAACACCAACAAAGTTGCGGACCTGTATCAAGGCTACGGCACGCGATTCGGGTGTCGTCAAAAGTGCCCAGGACAGGAGAGCTAAACTACTTGCTGACAATGCGCATGAGGATAGCCATGCTGATCCTTTGGGTCAATCGCACTCTGTTGATCCACAGCAACTTACTCAGACAGCTCCTGGACAGTGGGAGCCCCATGTATCGCAGCAAGAGCTTACCAACATCCCTATGCAAGGTAGCCGACGGTTCTATGGTGATTTGCGGCAACGAAGCATGTCGCGTGAGCCGCATCGACACCCTTCAGGGCCACGCGAGCCTCCCATCTCTCCAAATCTTCAGCTTGATGTTCCCCTTCCACTCCTTCCGCTCCCTCCGCTCCCTCCCACACCATCTGATTCCCAACCCAATCATGTCCTTCCACTCCTTCCGCAACCGCCTAGCATACACAATGCGCTTCCTTTGCAGCCGGAGTTTGGTTCCTTGATCGAATTTGGTCAAGGTCATCCCTCATCATCCTCGGGAGGCATGTCACAGCCAATCGCTCCTGACACCTACAACTTCTCAGGGCTAGACGCTTCATGGGTGCCTGTAGATGGTGGGGACTTCAGTCCTCACTATGAAGTTGGTGATCTACGTGACTTGGGTTTGCCCAAGACCCGGATTATTCCCCCCACGCCTCAGGCTGCTAAGGCCATACCCCAGCCGTCACTTGGTGCTCCCGCTACTGCACAAGACGTGTTCCAGGACACGCCTCAGGCTGCTAATGCCATACCCCAACCGTCACTTGGTGCTCCCGCTACTGCACAAGACGTGTTCCAGGACAACGGCAACGAGGATGGATCCTCAGGAACTGCGCTGGTCGGACGCCGAACGGATGAGGTAAATGGATTGTTAGACGAGCAGTTCAAGGTCATCAATGACATCTTCAACAACCTTGTTGCGAAAACTGGCTTACCTCTACAGCAAATATCTCACGTGTATTACAAGGCTCGTGGTCGAATTCATTCCGCCTTCAATCATTGGAATGTATATGGGCACTACTTGAAGGTGAATCGAATACAGGAACTACGGAGGCTCGGCAAGGATGTCGGCACTGATAACGCCCAAATTACACCAACAATCCGAGGTGAATGCTATAAGGCGTTCCAACTTGCTTACCCAGATACATGGCAAGACATCCTCGAGACATTTGAGGAGGCTGAGATGACAATGGGCGGGCCTCAAACAGTCTCTCAGTGAACGCAAGACTTTAATAAGGTTTGGAAGAAAGTGACAAGCACCGTGCGTCTCACGTTTATATCTGATCCATTGTGCAGAGTACTGACATTGTGACATTTAATTGTATCTAGATGGACTCAGCCTCTGCCAAACATGGCTTTGAAGGAGTGTTCATCATCTGCGGTAAGGTGGTCAATCAAGATGCGTCACTTGGGCACATACACACGACTCCAGGCGCAGAAGATGTAAGTTGTTCCTCTGCTCTTGTATATTAGGCCCTTACTCCATGCCCTCAGTTTTGGGCCACGTGCTGCCTTGCAGATGAAGATATAATGATCAGGCATCTAAAGGCACATGTTTAGTAAGTCTACATCCATGTACCAGGCTCGTTGGATTCTAACTCTACTTCCAGCAACCTTGCGTCACTCTCAGTAGCCAAGGGCACGCAGGCTGACAACGCATCAAGCGCGAAGGAGATTGAGCCGTCACGTAGACATACACCCTTCCAAGCATCCAGACAGCCCACCAAAGATGGACCGGAGGTTCTAGAGGTCCCTGACTCGGATGTTGACAACTGGCGACTCCAAGCTGACCATCTTCAATGTATCAAGGGCGGGATCGTTGCGTTAGTCAGTGAGTATATGTCTCCTCAATATCGTTGCTTGTCATTTTATTGACCATTCTCAAGAGGAGCTAGGTGGGAAACTCACCATTCGCTCTGGCCATTTCCCTTGGAAGAAGCTCCGTAGTGACTTCGATCGTCAAGGGTTTGTTATGGAAGGCTATCCAGAGGACGTTCTGATTCCAGGAGAGATGCGCTCTACCATTAGGAGCAAGGGTATCAATGATCTCGACAAAAGGGAACAAGTGATCCTTGCAGAGGCATTGAAGGCGGGCACGTTAGTTATCAAGCATCATGGAAATGGGACCACAGGTATGTATTCATCAATCTATTATCATTATATACTGATCTCGTTACTAGATCATAAGGACAAATCTCAGAGCCACGTCGTCATCATGGGGGAGGCTCCCCCTCCAAACTCTATTCACTCCCAGGGCCGGCGGCTGCTTGCCAATGGGGTTGTGGATCGTGAAGGGCTGCCTGGCCTCCGGCCAAGTACAGCAACGACAAAAGTCAAGAAGTTCAAGCCATTGACGGGACAGAAGCCTGCACCCACTCAAACCTCCATTGTCATTGATGTCACTCCCCCTTCCGCCGCCGTACCTCGGAAGAAACTCGTCTCAGTTGACATCCCCCCTTCACGCCCTTTCAAGGTTGTCAGATACCCCAAATCGAAGGTGATGCCAGCACCTACCAACACCATCGCTCATGACGATTCGGTCAAGGCGTCATCTGGATCTGAGGAAGACGACTCCGAAGGTGACGGCTCTGACTACGAGGAGAAAGCCGAATCTCACAAACGCAAGGCAAAAGCATCTGGGGGCGCTAACTATAAGCGCCGTGCTCCATCAAGTGAAATCGAGCTGGCTAACTCACCGAAAGGGAAGAGTCGCGCAAAGGGAAAGGGGAGAGCACCTGGGCCCGCACACTTTTCAGACAAGGCAACGACTAGCACGCAGAAGGGTGCATCCGAACGCTCTCATCGACCTCGTTATCGCACCGCCACGTCGGATTCTGAAGGAGAGGGAGAAAAAGATGAAGTCATGGAAGAACCAAGTACGTGAACCTGACCTGCATACAATGTGCTGCCATTGACTATAATTTCATAGCTCACAAGCCTTTGCGATTCCAAGGTGGTCCAGTAAATTTGGAGAAGATATCGGAGGAGGTGAAAGAGCATCCAAAGCCGAAGAAGGTCCTTCCAGGTTCCACAGTGGCTGCAAGGCAGGTTGCATTTTATGAAGGTGGGATGATTGATGCGCACGAAAGAGGCACAGATGCCTCCAAGGAGCCAGTTCCAAGGACGGCGTATGAGGGACCTCAGACTGGCGGAGGCTCTGGAGCTACCAGTGGTGCCAGGGAGCTACCATCAAGGCCAATGCAAGAGCCACTTCGTAACAGCTCTGCTATGAGGGAGCAATCTCAGGAGGTCATGACATCTGCCCCCTCCTCTCCATCGCCCATGTTTCGGCAACCTCCACGCCCAGATCAGCGAGGTCCTGCCTTGCAAACCAACTCACAGCAGTACATGCAAGCCCTCCCTGTGCCGTCACCATATGGGCAACATCTCAAGGTGCCACAACGTCAGAGTTACCCTGATCAGCGCCGTAGCCAGATCGACTATCAACAGTCTGCTCAACCCTTCCAGGCGCATTCAGGTGTCGCCGCTTATAGCCATGCCCAGCGCCATGGTATGCATCCCAACCCCACACCCCACGCTTACAACATGCATGCACCTCCTTATCAGCAGCGCATCCAAACTTACGATGCTCGCCCACCAGCTCGGCAGCAGCAGGACATGGAAACTAACGACACTCTCACACGTGTTCCTCCACAGCACACTGAAATGTATGATCGTGTACCTGCCCCTCAGCAAGGAGCTGCATACACAGTGGAGTACCGTGATAACAGGGTGACATACCCAAGTGGAGACCAGCAGGGCATGCACCCCATGCCTTACCTTCACCAAGACCTAGCACCAGGTCATGATGGACGTGGCATGCATGAAGGTTGGCAGCCTCAGTATGGGTCCACGGCATATCAGGCTGCAGATAACGTACGCACACCCCGTTCTAGTCCTAGGATGAGCCCTCTGCCTTCTCTGATGGAGTATTCCTCTTCTCCGGCCCAGTCTGAAGGTAACTAGATGTCACCCTCTTACTTCTTGCGTGCATCCGAGTCCTCCCGGGGTCCATTTTGTCACAGTCTGTCCATAATCGAGCCTCGTCTTCTTGCCCTTGATAGCCTGCATGTTTGTGATATTGTTTATGTCCATATGTCGCTCATTCTTGCTTTCGTTCTTACTTTTGAATGGTAGTACATGGTCGCGTTCAATGATAGACTATGCATGTACTTTTATATTCTGATGAATCACAAGTCCTACCAGTTGAACAAAATGAAGTCTTGGAGGTTCGCGCAGCGAGAACTTTGGTGGAACAAGAGGCATTTGAGGTTCGAGAACACTCGGAAAGACCCTCTGATAAATTAAAAGTCTTGCCGAATATGATGTATGCGAGGCTCGCAAGCTACCTGACATAACACGCTTGTTGAATGAAATGCATTTGAGGCTCACAATGTACCTGACATGAGCATCGATAACACTTGAAAAAGATTGATTCAAAGCTAATCATTTTCGAAGCTAGTAATAAACGAAGCTATTTAGAACCCTCAATTGAATCTTTTTCCCCAAGCTCAGAGAGGGTACTAGCGGATGCATAGCGCACTGTGTGACATGCATGGCAGTGAGCCAAAGGCAATGAACAGCGCTGTATGATGAGAGAGGTGAGGGGGAATGTAAGGAGCGAGAGCATTTGACAGTGCTGTATGACGACGAGGAAGGTAGTGAACACACCTTAGATCGTCCAGAGCCCCCACCATAGCCTCCAAGCAAACCCGATGAGGGAGCGAGAGCATTTGACAGTGCTGTATGGCATGAGAGGTGAGGTTAGGAGGAAGGTAGCGAACACACCTTAGAACCTCCGGAGCTCCTGCCAGAACTTCTGAGCGAACCTACTAACATGCACAGCAGCGGAGCGAGAGCATTGTATGATGAGAGGCGATGAGGAAGTACAGCACTACAAGGAGGAATGTAAAATGTACTTAGAACCTCCAGAGCCCCTGCCTGAACCTCCGAGCAAACCTGAGAAAATTATCCTCCGGAGGGCAGGATCCTATTGTAGAATTGAGGGAGAACCCTCCGAGGGATGATAGGCTTTCAGCCTAGTTTCCCATAACAAAGAAACCAGGCTGATAGACCGTGTGAACCTCTTTAAAGTGATGCCAAGGGTGGAGATTGCCATTAGGGTCATCTTAGCTCATTTCTTCCAATGGCGTGCCGAGCTTTCACAGATGTCGGACGAGCTCTTGTTTGCGGAGTTGTCTGATGTCTCCTTGCCTGACCGCTGTATCAGGTCGCGAGGTGCTGTCATTGCCGCCCATCTTTGTGAAACATATGGTGATCAGGTTGCTGCTGCCATACGCACTCCACCCCCTCTCGTTGTATGCCTTGCAGAAGACGCCCTCGCTTCTGATTACTCTACCACTTTTGGTATGCCGTGGTTGTGTTACCCTTTCAATGATCTGGTCCACGCACTCCGCTGTCTGAGCCGTGATGATGTATTGTCTTGCATTCGTCTGCTACCTCGGAGTCTCCGTTCCTTGATAGACACTCGATCGCACAGGAAGTCGTGCAACGGCCTTGCGAATGCACTGCGGCAGCGTGCGGTACAGCTTTGTCATGGTGGCCCAAGGATGTTGGTCGATGTCGTCATGGCCCTTTTTCCCTTTCTCGACATATCTGCCTGGACCGATGGAGAGATCATATGTCACATTCTACACACCGAATTCGGCTCCATCATTGTTAACTGCATCACAAACGACTTGCATTCTGCCAGAGAATTGAAGAGCGATCAGGGAAAGGCCCGCCGTTCTGCTTTGAAACAAGAGACTGTTGCGGCTGCCCATGCCGTTCATTTGGAACGTGAGCAGGCATGGCCCTCCGTTGTCCCTCAGGATGTTGTGCTTCGCTGTTTGGGCGATTATCACGCAGGTTCCCAGTGGTCTGAGCCTCCAACGTGTGCTGTTTGTTCCAGGTTCGTCGAAGGCTGTTTGGTTGTTGACCTCTCGGAGGATCTGGCATGCTACAATCTGGACATACTGCAGATCTCAGATCCGTTTATCATTCAAAATTGCATTGTTCAGAGTATGTCGGCGAGTTTTTCATTTCAGAGCGATGCAATCGATGGTCTGATGTTGGACAAATCTGGTGTCCAGTTTGTTGGCTCTACAGGCAAGGCAAGGGGGTTTAACATATGTCCGGATTGCCGCTCTTCATTGTCCAGGTGCAAAATGCCTCAGTTGGCCCTTGCCAATGATCTGTATCGTGGATCCTTGCCTGAGCAATTTGCGGATCTGATGTGGGTTGAGGAAAAGGTATGTGCATTGTATTGCATCACGGCACATGTCACTCGTTTGTTCCAGTCCTCGGATCCGACGCAGCCCAGGGTTTTCCATGGCAACACTTGCACACATGAGATGAACACTGTGTCCACAGCGACTGTCCTCCCTCGCACTCCGACTGATGTCAACGGTTTTCTCAGTGTTGTGTTCATCGGCCCTGAGAAATTTGATCCGAAGTGAATGGGCACACTGTTTCGAGTGCGGAGACAGAAGATATGGTCCTTTCTCGTATGGTTGCATCATCACAACGCCCTTTATGCCGATATTCCCCTGGATTCCTCGATCGTGTCGTTATACCCTGAGGACGGTCCTATTCCAGGTCTCGTTGAACGTGTTGTGGAGGACCATGAGCTCGACGCAGACTTCGTTTTTGGTGAGGAATCAGCTGATTTCAGCGAGCACCCAGCGAGGATGTTCTCTGATGATGATTCAGATCCCCTGGTCGAGCAGACGATCATGGTGGAGAAGATGGGAGTCTCGGATCCTGAGAGCGATAAGTTGACAGGGCGAAGTTTTGTGGCGTCTGCAATTCGCAATCTCCTTCCCAAAGATGTGGTGGATCTGCAGCCTGACCTTGTTATCCACTGCAGCAGCCAGCCTGTGACTGAGTACAACAATCCGTCCTTTTTTCCTGGTCTGTATCCCACTCTTTTTCCTTATGGACTCGGGGGCTTCGAAATCAAGTCTAGACGGACTGCATTGGCATTCAAGAAACAAGCTAAGTACTTCTTATCCGTGTCTGACCGTGCCTTTCGTTACCATAACAGTTTCATATTCGTCCTGCTGAACATATTGCAGCGTCGACAAGCTCATCTCCAGACCTATTTCACCGTGGGCAAATCGAACTTTGATAGTGTTGCTCGTAAACTCACGACTGTGTCACCAATACTACTTGAACGCTTGGCGATTAAGCTGGAACACGAACGAAAATTGGTTGACCCTACCGCTGAAGAACGTAATGCTCTGCAACTTTTGCAGCAAGTGAACACAATGTCTGCTCGCATTCCAGGCTCGCAGGCCTCGAAAATATTCGTGAGGAATGAGATTCGCAACTACTATGGGTATTTTGGCCTGCCCCACATATTCTTCACCTTTAACCCCAGTCCTGCTCACAGTCCTGTTTTTCAGGTAATGTTCGGCGACAAAACAGTGGACCTCAGTGAGCATTTTCCTGCGATGCCTTGTGGGCGTGAACGAGCACTCAGACTTGCGCAGGATCCTGTAGCTGCCGCGGATTTTTTTGAGTTCTCTTTCAGGTCCCTATTCCGTCACCTTATGGGCTGGGACTTTGAGGCCAGATGTGCCACTGCTTCTGGAGGGATTCTCGGGCATGTCCGTGCTTTCTATGGTAGCTCTGAGTTTATGGAGCGTGGTTCATTGCATGGCCACTTTCTGATCTGGCTTGTTGGTGGACTCAACCCTTCTGATATACATGCCCACCTTCGTGATTCCCCTGAATATCAGCAGAAGTTTTTCGCATTTTTCGAGGACATCATTCACCATCATCTACCTGACACAGATGATGCAATCGAGCCTACCTTCGAACCACGCGTTCAATGCCCACCCTGTCCACCTGATGTTGAATCACCGTTGGAGGTGTTGCAGGAATGGGATGCTGTCTATGTTACTGAGATCAAACGGTGTGGCGAGGTGCTCCAACGGCATAGATGTCGCCCTGTCTGTCATAAATATGGTAATGATGATCGCTGTAGGTTCTTGTTTCCGCATGAAATTGTAGAAGCTTCTTCATTTGATCCTGAGACCAATTCTGTTGTAATTATGTGCCGTGATGCGAATGTTAACTACTTCAATCCATATATCTTGGTTTTTTGTAGACACAATCATGACATCAAGTGTATCTTGTCTGGCAGAGGTGCAAAAGCTGCTATGTTCTATATCTCTGACTACATCACGAAGATGGATGTGAAAACATATGAGGTTTTATCTTTACTCTCTCGTGCTGTCGCTCGTGTCCCTGCACATGGACCTGGTGTATTCCTCACTGATGGTGCGAAGATGCTATTGCACAAGTGCCTGTCGCAGTTCAACGGTCAGCAACAAGTACATGCTCAGCAAGCGGTGCGTTACATCCAAGGTTTCGGTGATGGTATCTCGTCCCATGAGACATCACCAATGCTTTCCTCACTATTGATCGGGTATGTGCGGGATTGCTACCCTTGGTTGAGGTCGGGCCACAATGTTCCTGACACCGATTGTGATTTCAGTCATGAGAATGAGGAGGCAGAAGCTGTGCACATGATGCGAATCACCACGGACGATCAGGGACAGCTCCTTGATGCTAATCAGGTGCACCACTACATCTACCGTGCTGATACACTTTCACATATGAATTTCTATGATTTCTGTCGTTGTGTGCGCTTTGAGAGTATTAGTAAGAGTGCAAAGATCAAGAACACCTTTGAGACTAGACTTGGCGTTCTCCGTAGACATACGTTGAAGCCCGGACATCCTAACTGGAAAACACACGTGTTAGTGGAACACACGAATGATGAACGGGGTGACGGAGCTGTTGAGCGTGTCCCTCGTGTCATTGGCATGACTATTCCACGCCCGACTAATGCAAAGTTGTGGGCCATATTTGCCCTTGCACATTTTAAGGCCTTCAGCGTGTCAACTGATCTCTTGTGTGTTGACGAAGATCCAGTGGCATCCTATGCATGTTTTTCATTCTGCTCAAGGAGTCTGGAGGTGATGAAGAATTGGGAGGCTGTTTATGAATGTGAGGATGAGCGTGATGCGGACAGACTTCGTAAACATGCACAGCTCACCAGTGCGAGCAAGGCACTGACTGCTTCCGTTGCTATGGGAGCTGATGATGTGGACCTTGACTTTGAATTCCAGCAAAAGTCTACTCATCGTTCTGGAAGTGATTTCCGTATTCAACAGGCCATTCTTGAGCTGCAACAATCCGGCTGGTTTGATCCCTTGACAGATAACGTATCTGGCTTACCTCATATGCCTGAACATTATCCTGATGGCACTGGAATCAGCAGGTCGATCAAGCTGTGGAAAAGTGAGGTCAAGCAGCAGGAACAGACAATTGCTATTACACGTCGAAATGCTCTAAATCCCGATCAGCAGCTTGTGCCAGTTCGGGTGGCACCAGAAACAGAACACGGCCTAGATCATCAAGTTATTACCCCCAATCCTCCTGCGGCCATAGCTGATTGCTTGCCCACAGAAGTTCAGACAAAGCCCTCTGCTGCCACTGCCAAATGGTCAGCGAGAGATATCGTCACTGAGGTTGGCACTGCATTTAAACTTAATGTAATGCAGTGGCGGGCATTCCAAATCATTACTTCTCATTTCATCATGAAGTATGTCAACAAGAAACAGGATGCAGATCCGGTCAACCAGCTCACTATGTTGATGACGGGTCCTGGAGGAACGGGGAAGACTCATGTTGTGAAAGCTGTCCAGGCTGTTATGGAGCATTATGGCTGTGCACATTTGATTAGGTTCTTGGCTCCCACTGGGTCTGCTGCAGCACTGATCGATGGTATGACTGTGCACAAGGGGCTTGGTTTGAAGATTAAGTCTATGAACAAAGGAAAGGGTAACCGTCAGCCGGGAACTTCTTCCGAAGATTATTCAGTCCTGATTAGTGTGCAGAACCGCACACAACTTCGAGAGGAATGGAAAAATGTCGAGTACTTACTTATAGATGAGGTTTCCCTTTTGAGCTTGCAGCTGTTGGCACAGATAGACCACGCCCTTTGGTATGCTAAGGAAAAATCAGATCAATGGTTTGGTGGTGTCCACATCATATTTGCTGGTGATTTCTATCAGTTCCCTCCTGTCGGGGGTAGTCCCCTGTATTCTCCAATAGCTGCGTATGCTGGACAAACCGATGCAGAAGTACAGAAAAGACTGGGGCGGCTTGCATGGAAAACGGTCAACATTGTTATCACTTTGACCGAGCAACAGAGAATGAAAGAAGACATTGAATATGGTGATGCAGTGAATCGTCTGAGAGTCAGGAAATGCACTGAGGATGATGTTGATTTGTTCAACACCAGAGTTATGAGAACATCGAGCAAACTCAATGGTGTGGACTTGACGTCTGTGAGTACAGTGGATGCCACGGCCATTGTCACAACCAATGAACTCTGTGAGGTGCTTAATGCAAGAAAGGCACAGGCTGTCTCAGGGGACACATTGGTTGTCTGTGCCGCTTTAGACCAAACAAGTGAGGAGATGTCTTCAGATATGAGAAAGAAACTATTGCAACTAAATGTAACCGGCCTGAAGGCTTCCAGGAGTTTGCTGGGTTTCACAGCTTTGTCTGTAGGTATGCCTGTCATTTTGCGACTTCGCAATGTCTCCACTGACCTCGGGATAACTAATGGCTCACAGGGTACTGTCCGGCATATCTACACTGAACAATGTTCCCATGACATCACCTATGCGACCTGTGTACTGGTTGAATTCCCACACAGCAAAGTCCATTTAACTGGTTTGCCAAAGGGTGTGTTCCCCATTCTGCCTTCCACTTGGTCATTTACAACATTACTTGACTGCGATGGTTCTCACAAGAAAGTTCATGTGACTCGCCATCAAATCCCAATTCAGCCGGCATATGCAGTCACGGGTCACTCTTCACAGGGAAAAACACTTCCCAATGTTGCCACAGTGGATGCCGATTCGGCCCCTCCTGCAGTACCTTCTGAGGATGAGGTTGAAGTGACGAAATCTCCTCTGTATATTTCCCTGCTTGGATGCGCCCTTTCACGTGGTGCTTTCGCTGTGGATGCTTGCAGCTACGAGAATATCCCTGAGGAGAACAACCCTCGCCCGCTTCGTCGGCAAATGAGGGATAAGGTGGAATATTGGGTAAATGGCGTTGGTGAACTCTTACATATGAAGTTCATGGCTCAACTTGACTACCATGGCCAGTATAGTCATCTGGGGCCGTATTTCAACTTGTTTGACTCTGGGGTGTGTAGTACTGTTCTTGGGAAATCTCTTCTAATTGTCTTCATTGGCAGATTGATGTCACCAATCTGAAGAAAACTCGGGCACAGTTCGAGCTTCATTTCCTTGCTCCTGAGGATGAAGACAGCAGTGACTATCCCCAGGAAGCTCTAGACATGTCATGCAGGGTGCTCGATACTGTTACGCACTCAAATAGATCTGTTATGCGGAGCCCTAAGAGGGGCGTTGTCCGCTAATGTTCGTGACGTAACCGGAAGGGTCCGGTGTAGCGACTGAGACTGGCGATGTCGAGTCGGCAGATATCAGAGACGCGCGTGTCACGTGACTTCTAAGACGGATGTCTTCAAAGTCACTGATGTTCTCAAAGTAAGGACAGTCTTGTCCGAACGATGAGGTAGTTGATCGAGGTAGACTTAGGCGCAATGAGCACCTAAGAAAAGATACTAGAGACTGAAGCTGAGGGGGCTTCAGAGGGAAGTATGTTCGAGGGAAGATTGAGTAGATTCAAGTTAGGGAATCTAGTACAGAGTGACCGACTACTTATACTAAGTGGAAAGGGTTAAGGGCAAGGCTACCGTACTGTAGGTAAGGGCAAAGGGGAAACGGAAAGGGTATAGGTACGCTGGTAGCAGAGCCTGATTAGTGATGTAAGGTCGAATGCGGAATGAGACCGAGAAACGTTGGAATGAGCCAACGGTAAATGATACAATGTGCAGCATGCACGAGTCAAAGGAAAGATAAGACAAGATAAGGAAAGCCACATTGGTGGCATGAGTCAGAACGAGTCATAGCCCGAAGGCACGTGTGCACATTGGTGCGATAAGAGGGGGACAAGGGACGGGAACGGTCCCGAGGATCCGGTCAACGGATAGTCGGTAGAGAAGTACGAGCCGGAGGCATACAAGGGTGAGGACAAAGGGGAAAAATGATAGGGGGGCCATGTAGCCGATGTTACTTGTAACATTACCCCCGTTTCAAGGTAGAGTTCCACGAACTCTTTAATCGTCGTCCAAGGGAACGTAGTCGTCCTGGTTGTTATACCACTCGGGGTCGAAGTCGAGGTCTTCGAGCCAAGAGGCGGCTTCGATTGCGTTCTCTTCGCATTCTTGCTCAAGGCGAGCAGCATCCTGGTCATACGTGGCTTCGAGCTGGTGCATGTCCCTGTAGAACCTGTCAGAGGAGGTTCCACGGCGAAGGATCCTTCTGCCATCGAGTCGAGGGCAGAAGGGAGTGAGATGTTTGGGGGCAAATTGCCCACAAATGCGGCAGAAGTATTGCGCGCAGTGTTTCTGTTTGTGTCCAAAGACACGACACTGGTGGCAGACAACATTGCTGCGGTAGACCTGGGTGGTCTCGGTGGCATCACGACGCGCGTCATTGATGGCGTCTTCCTGGGCTTCCTCACGAGGATAGTGCCTAGTGAAGTTCTGGGTGTGCGGGCGATGCGCATGGGAGAGGGGTAGTCCTAGGGACAGGATGGATCGTGCACGAGCACGGTGATTTCGGCATTGCGGAGTGGGAAGAGGTTCCGGAGAACCAGTAGAAAGGTGTGGGACCACTTCAGTGGGTACCCAGTCGTCGGGGTTGAGAACAGGTGGTTTGGGAGGGCACTCATCCAACTCCGGGATGGTGATAGAGATGGTGTCGACATCAAGAGTGGGGGAGGGGTTACGTGGAGCATAGAGCTTGCGTTCGTATTCTTCGTAGAGACGGTCGATCTCGGGGTTGGTCAGCTGGGTGACATTGGGGATATGCTCTGGTGATTCAGAGCGGGGTAGTTGGGGAAGGAAGGGGGTCGGAGCTCTGTCATAGACAGCACGCTCAACGACTGCAAGCGGGTTGGGAGGGGGATTAAATGCCCGCTCCTCCTCAACGGCCATGACAGCGGCATGGAAGTTCCTGAGTTCGAACAGATTTAGCAAGGCTCGCTTGATCTTGCCTTGGTTATATCTGGTCGAGACGGTGGATAGGGAAGTTTCCCTAGCCAGGTCGATCCTGGCGATATCGCCGGTGAGGGCGTCGGTGGCCCTGAAGGCCTGGACGAGGTTCATGGTTATGTCGTCGTTGGTGCGGTTGAGATAGTTGTCGAGTCGAAGTGCATACTGGGGGTCGCAGATGACTGCTTCCCAGTAGGCCCGTTGCCTATCTTGGACAACTGTGCGAAGGGATGGTCGTCGGAAGACGGTGTATCCCGGGGGGGAGGGCCTATCAAGGCCATGCGTTGGCTGGCTCGTCGGGTCGCGGTCGGAGGCAGACGCATGAGAGGTAGCAGATCGGTGCGAGGAAACAGACGACACTGAGACCGACATAGTGAAGCGTCTTTCCTTGGGTAGTGGCATAGGTGGGGTATTGGGTAACGGGTCTCTGTTTGTTGAGAGGTTTGGGTTTCGTGGGGCGGTGGTGATTGCGGATTTGTTGGCGATGGAAGGTTTTGGTGTCGGTGTGGATGGGTTCATCGGTGGGGTCAGCCCTCGTGTAGTGAGGGCGGTAGGAGAAGTTGCAGTGGTGTTTGTTGATCAACATGAGATGGCGATTGAAGCGATCTTGAGTCACTTCTTATACGCCTTCAGGAGCTCCACTGCGGACTTCAATTCTGTTTCGTGGAGCCACGTTCGTTCGGAGGCAGGATAGCCAACCCAAGACACGAGGTACCGGCGACGCGATCCGGTACCCTTGTGTTGGAGGATAGCTTCCACTTCGTAGTGTTCCTCTCCATCGATAAGATCAGGAGGAGGTTTGGTGAAATTTGGTCCATGCACGTCTGTCTCCTGATAGGAGGAAAGTTCTGAGGCATGGAACGTGGGGTGGATATGCCAGCTGGCAGGCAGCTTTAGCTGGAACGTGATGGGGGAGAGGACCTTCTGGATTGGGAAGGGTCCATATCGTTTCGGGGCGAGTTTCCTAGAAGGGAATCCGGTGATTAGGTTCGTGGCAGATAGCCATACCTTATCACCAACGTTCCATGGCTTGTAACGCTGGCCATAGGAACGATCAGCCATGCGTTGCTGCGCGAGGCTGTGGCATGCAAGGGCTTCTTCGCGGATCTTGGCGAGTGATTTGACTCGGTCTTCGGCGGTTGATAGGGTAGAGTCGGGGAAGAGATGGGGGATGCCTCGTGGTTCGTAGCCCATCATGAGATAGAAGGGGGAGGCTTTTCTGGCGGAGTGTCGTCGGGAGTTGTGAATGAATTCGGCCATAGGCAAGTGCTTTGCCCATTCGGAGGGAGTTGTCCGGCAGTAGATCCGGAGGTAGGTTTCAAGCTCTTGGTTGAGCTGTTCGGTCTGGCCATCTGTCTGAGGGTGGTAGGCAGTGGAAAGTGCGACTTGGTAGTCGAGGAGTCGTCCTAGCTCCTTTGCTAGCTTCGAGGCGAATTGGGGGCCTCGGTCCGAGATGATCTTGTCATAGAGTCCGAAGCGCAAGAACACTTTCTTGAAGAAAAGTTCGGCTACTCCTTCCACTGTGATGGTTTTTCTGCAAGGGCAGAGAATTACCCCCTTCGTAATCCCATGGTCTACCACGACCATGACAGAATCGTAGCCGGCGCTCTCGGGGAGGTCGGTGATTAAATCAACCGACACTTGAGCGAAGGGCCGGAGGGCCGAGGAGGGTATCGGGGTGAGGGGGGGTGTCGTGGGGTGGGTGTTAACCTTCATCTGCTGGCACATGGCGCAGCCATCAACGTATCTCCTAATGAAGGAGCCCATTCCGGGCCACCAGTAGGATTTCTTGATGTTCCATTCGGTACCTGAACGCCCGGGGTGCCCGGCGGTTGGGTGATCGTGATGCAGAGACAGCACGCGATGCCGGAGGTCGGGGGGAACGTAGGCACGATCTTTATAGAAGAGAACACCATCGGTGAACCTCCAATCGGAAAGTGCAGACTTCATGGGGGGTGCGCACACCCCGGAGAGAGCGTCCAAGGCTGTTTTCACAGTCTGGTCGGAGAGATCGTCAGAGAGTCGTTGGAACTCGTCTGCAAGTTCAGCGTCAATTAGACGGGTGAACAGGGTGTCGGGGAGGAGGATACGATCCTCGTTATCCTGACCAGCTATAGCGTGGTCCAGACGTCGGGATAAGGCATCCGGTGCAGCGAGCTTTGTTCCGGGAACATGGTGAAGTTCCAGATCAAAGTTGGTGAGCGTGAGGTGCCACCGGGCCTGTCGTCGGGTGAGTCGTTGTGCAGAGCGGAAATAGATCAGGTTCTTGTGATCCGTGAAGACAATGACCGGGTGAGGATTTCCTTCGAGGAAGTGCCTCCAAGCCTGAAGGGCTCGGATGATGGCAAGGAGTTCCCGGTCGTAGATCTCGTAGTTCTGTTCGGCCGCGTTGAGGGACTGGGAGAGATAGCTGCAGGGGTGGTAATCCCCATTGCTATCTGTCTGGAGCAAGACTGCACCGGTTGCGAAGAGCGAAGCGTCAGTTGCAAGTGCAAACTGTCGCGAGGAGTCGGGGTTCCGCAGAACCGGTTCGGTGGTGAATAGCTTCTTTAGATGCTGGAATGAAGCTTCGGTGGAGTCGGACCAAGAGAAGGGAACCTCCTTCTTGGTTAGGTCTAGGAGAGGGCGTGCGATGTCGGAATAGTGGGGAATGAAATGACGGTAGAAGTTGCAGAACCCAAGGAAAGACCGCATGTCCTTGACTGAGGAGGGTTGTTGCCATTCGCTGATGCCTTTCAGCTTGGCAGTGTCCATAGCGACCTGTCCAGGTCGAATGATCATACCGAGGTACTCGACTTCTTGAGTGTCGAAGGTACATTTCTCGGGTTTGAGGAAGAGAGACTCTTTGCGGAGTTTCTCCAACACTCGGCGGGTCCTCTGCCGGTGTTCGTCCAGGTTATCTGAAAAGATCAGGATGTCGTCCATATAGACGATTAACCATCCTTCGTTCAGTTCTTCTGAAAACGTCTGGTTCATGTAAGCTTGGAAGGTGGCGGGTGAATTGCACAATCCAAAAAACATTACCTTGGGCTCAAAGAGCCCGTATGAGGTGAAGAACGCGGCTTTCCACCTGTCGTCGGGATGAATGAGGATATTGTTGTATCCTGAGCGTACGTCGACCTTTGTGAACCATTGTGCCTTGTTGAGTTTCGCAAGCAAGGGTGGTATCAAAGGGAGTGGGTACGCGTTCTTGATCGTCCATTCGTTGATGTATCGGTAGTCCTGGCAGGGGCGGAGAGACCCGTCCTTCTTGCCGACAAAGAAGAATCCAGCAGCTTGAGGAGACTTCGAGGGTTGGATGAAATCTTTGGCGAGGTGTTCGTCCAAAAATGCTTTGACAGCGTCGGTTTCCTTTGGTGAGAGCGGGTAGGCTCGAGAAGACTTCGGAATGAAGCCTTCCTTCGTTTCAATCTTGTGGTCTACTCCTGGTCGTGAGGGAGGGAGTTTGTTCAGACCGTCCTTTGCAAAGATGTCAGCAAAATCATGAAGATAGGAAGGTACCAGTTCTTCAAATGATTTCTTCTTCTTCTCCTGCGCGTCCTCCATAGCAAATTCTTGAGCTTTGTTGGAGGTCTTCGTGTAGTCCTGCTGAGAAGCGAGGATCCAGAGATTCCGGAGAGGTTTTGCTCGTCTATGGAGAGCCTTCCGGATTTCTTTCTTCGAGGTCCCATCCTTGGTGAGCGGGGTGTCGAAAGAGATGTTCTTGATGATCCGGACGGATGTTCCGTCCGAAGCATATTCCACTAGAACTTCATCATCAGTGAGGGGATAAGTGGAGATCTCCTCAACTTTATCCGCAAGATGGGTCTGTCCGACCCAGACATCGTCCATGGTGTTGAAGTCGGTGTCTTCGAAGGGCACGATGATTGGCGCCGTCTTCTTCTTGTTACGCTTCTTGCGTTTCTTGATTTCTTCGAGGCAATGTTGGGTGCCCTCGGGGAGTCGTTTGAGGGGTGAAAAATCCTCGTCGTCGAGTTCTTCTAGGACAGCCTTTTCTCCACAAAAGAGATATGGCTTGGCCTTGCTTTCTCGTCGAGAAGCGTTGAGTTCCCTCTCCACCTCCTTTGACCTATTGGTCGCAGGCAGGGAGATCGTGTTGGCCTTCCAGTCGATATTGGGCATCATGGCACTAAGCCAAGGTTTTCCAAAAAGTAGATCATCATGCTTGGAAAGTTTCGTTACGTTGAACTTTCCATACATAAGTCTCCGATCGAGACGAATGAATAGCATGCAGTATTGGGTTACCTGTCCTGCTGAGGGCGGGCTCCCGTCTACTGTGGTGATCCGGAAGGGTTTCTTGAGTAGGTGGGTCCGGATCCCATTTCGCTTGACAAAGTCATAGCTAATGAAGGTCCCACCTGCCCCTGAGTCGATGATGGCGGTCGACTGAACGGTTTTGGCACTGCAAGAAGAGAAAAGTGTCACCAGGACACGAAACTCGTTGGATTTACCAACAGCTTTAGTATACAATGCGCAGATAGAGGGAATTGACCGTTCGACAAGCCCTCTCTTTAAAAATCCTTTCTTTTGACAAGGTTGACTTCCATGTCTTCCTCGTCAGAAGACTCGTCAAGCTGGCGGACGCCAGACTTGCTTGGCTTCTTGCCTTTGTTTTCTTTGTCGTTCTTGTCTCCTCGGCGCACCTTTGGGTGGAACCGGGAGTCGTTTTCTCGATGGCCCTTCTCCTTGCATTTGAAGCAAAGGCCTTTATCGAAGCACTTCTGTCGTTCCTCCTGCGTGAGGGAACGATCAACGTCCATAGCATCAGGATCGTGTTGGCAGACCTGAGGCTTGGGGACGTGCCGGTGGCCGGAGGGGCGTACCGATCTGTTGTTGGATACAACTGCTTTTGATTGCTTGTAGTTGGCTTCCAACTGTGTCACGGCAGTGTACCATTTATCGATGGTGGTGGGGACGACCTCCTTCCCGTAGATGGCGATTCGAAGTCCTGGTTTCAACCCTCGTTCGAAGAAGTGGATGAGGGCAACGTCCTGCTTGAGACTAGCAGTGGACGACAGGGTTTTGAACGTTGCGATGTAGGGCATCACGTCGCCAGTTTGGGTCAAACCATGAAGCTTGGTTAGAGCCTCAGTCATCTGGTCAATCGGGTGGAAGGATTCGATGAAAGCCTTCTTGAAGTCCTTCCAGCTACCGAAGTCGACGGCAGGTTTGTCGAAGGCTGCTCGGTAGAAGGTGTCAGCCCAGACGCGGGCGTCTCCATCGTTCATGTACTGGAGTGCAACAGTGACCTTGGTTTGGTCGGAGCTGTAGATCGTCGAGTTGATGAGGAAGTATGTCTCCACCGAGTACATCCAGCGCTCGGCATCATCGATGCTTCCATCATAGTTCTGTGGTACTCCAGCCTTTAGTTCAGGCCTGGATACGACCACTGTCGGTTGTTGGGTGGGGCCTCCGGACATTCTTGTTCCAGGGTTCGAGTTGAGGTTGCCGTACGGTTGTTCGTTGGGAAACTCGTCGGAGGACGTGTGGTCTTCTTCCGATTCTTCTTCTTCGGAGTCCGGAGTGTTGGGATCGCGTTCCCAAGGGTACTTCAGGGTCCAGGTAGTCGTGGTGTCTGTTGGTTAATGGGCCGTGCGGATGGCAGGGCGCAAAAAGGAAACTTGAATCTTTTGTTACGCACTCAAATAGATCTGTTATGCGGAGCCCTAAGAGGGGCGTTGTCCGCTAATGTTCGTGACGTAACCGGAAGGGTCCGGTGTAGCGACTGAGACTGGCGATGTCGAGTCGGCAGATATCAGAGACGCGCGTGTCACGTGACTTCTAAGACGGATGTCTTCAAAGTCACTGATGTTCTCAAAGTAAGGACAGTCTTGTCCGAACGATGAGGTAGTTGATCGAGGTAGACTTAGGCGCAATGAGCACCTAAGAAAAGATACTAGAGACTGAAGCTGAGGGGGCTTCAGAGGGAAGTATGTTCGAGGGAAGATTGAGTAGATTCAAGTTAGGGAATCTAGTACAGAGTGACCGACTACTTATACTAAGTGGAAAGGGTTAAGGGCAAGGCTACCGTACTGTAGGTAAGGGCAAAGGGGAAACGGAAAGGGTATAGGTACGCTGGTAGCAGAGCCTGATTGGTGATGTAAGGTCGAATGCGGAATGAGACCGAGAAACGTTGGAACGAGCCAACGGTAAATGATACAATGTGCAGCATGCACAATTCAAAGGAAAGATAAGACAAGATAAGGAAAGCCACATTGGTGGCATGAGTCAGAACGAGTCATAGCCCGAAGGCACGTGCGCACGTTGGTGCGATAAGAGGGGGACGAGGGATGGGAACGGTGTAGAGAATCATGCCTCTCATGGCGTGATATGGTAGTTTTCACCAAGGAGTATACAGCACGAACTCATAGCATTACTCTGTGCGCTACCCGCAGCTATCTCTATATGAGGCGCAGCTTTCCCACGCAACGCGCGCCATGCGCGCACCATTCCCGCGCTTCACGATGTATACGCGCGCGCGCGTTCCCGCGCTTGCGCGCCCTATAGCGCCAGCCATCCAGATGCATCCATCCACTGTCCACCAAGCTCCCTAGTATGTATATTTCCATTTCCTTTATTAGCATAGTTCCACCTTTATTTTTATCATAGTTTCTCACTCATATATATTTTTACATACCTACTCGGTAGCGCTTCGGCTCCGCATGAGCGTGCTTAGGCGCGCTATATAAGTGCCAGCAGTACATACTACACTGGACCTACTTTTCCTACTTTTCACTTACTAGTTACTACCCACTTACTACTTAGCAGAATATAGTAGAAAGCTATTCCTTTACATTTTGCACTCTTATATCTCTTATCTTGCTTTATATCACTACTTAAGCTTAGTTTCTCATTTCCGCATACGCGCGCGCACTTTCCCGCGCTTCGCGCTAATACGCGCGCGTGTTCCCGCGCCTTTGTACCTTGCGCGCTCCTGCGCTTTCTCGCGCTTCGCTTAAGCGCACACTTCTAGATCCTTGCTGCACTCACTTCCCCTATAGGGTCGAACGCACTTGCTTCTCAAGTAACGCAGACTAGGCAGCGCGCGACCTTACAACTTTTACAGATACAGTCAGGAGCTTCTTTTGTTCCTCATTGTATTGTTGTTTCTACAACGGTCCCGAGGATCCGGTCAACGGATAGTCGGTAGAGAAGTACGAGCCGGAGGCATACAAGGGCGAGGACGAAGGGGAAAAATGATAGGGGGGCCATGTAGCCGATGTTACTTGTAACAGATACCCTGTCTGCACTAACTACAGCTGTCGAGGACAGGCGTAATGCCAGTCAGTATCTGATCAGTCTCCATGAACTGTCGCTCAGTAGTTTGCAGGTGTTCCGGAGGCAGAACACCCTGTAGTGTCTCCCTTTGTGCACGATTACACTCGGGACTCAAAGGATTGTTTTGTTCTTGTTGTACAGTCCGAGCCACTGTTCAAAGACTTACCAAAGGAAGGGTCCGCAACCATGCCAAGAATTTCTTGTCAAGACATTGGCAGTGAGTATGTTTGAGTGCTCCTTCAACTCTGAACTGAAGCGACACGTACCAGAATCAGGTGTTCTCTTGAGTCCAAGTGAGTGGATGGTGACGACCAATGTTGATGGCTGCTGACATGGTTCGCTTGCCAAGGCAAGGCAAAACAGCTTGCTCAGGCTTCGGCAGCTGCGAGGAGTTCTCGTGCAGCAAACACTAGCAATTCTGGAGGTAACGAGGCCCTTTCAACAACTAATCTGGCTGGTGTGTTCATGCATTCAACAGAGTTTCTGCGCATCCGCGACCTGCATGACCCAGACAACCGCTATTCAGGCCTTGGCTCACTTAAAGAAACAAAAGTGGAGTGTCCGGATGTGCGTGATGGGAATGGACTGTTGATCCACCCAAGAGAGTACAGTATAAAGTTGGCCCGTTGTAGGGATTCATTTCTGGCTGGGCTTGTAGAGACTATTTTTACCTTACCTTATGTTGGCACTTTTGTAGCTTACATAATCAAGTTACCTTTTCACCAGTTTTACTATGAGTCTGAGAGATCAGCAAGTTTTTATGATATTTTCTCTACTCTGAGCCTTGAGCCTGGTCCAGAACCCTTTAGGGTCGAATAGCAGCTAGGTTCTGCAAGACCCAACACATTGTTCAGACTCACCATCTGAATTGTTGTACCTTCACCGTGCACGGTTTGTCGAAGTTGAGGTGTACTTGAAATTGTAAGGTGCATTTTCCACACAATTCCTACAATACTAACAGACATGGCACTACAGGTGGAACATCAGCAAGAGCGACAAGGATGATGCATCTGATCGTGAGAGACTTGGGTCTCGAAATTACCAACTCATCATGTGCCATATGCAGTTGCTGCCTTCCGTGGGGTATGCCAAGGCAGAAGTTCTCAAAGGCAAGAGGAAGGCTTCAGAGGATCTTGCTGATTCATTGCAAGCAAAGAAGCACGCTGCTGCATCCGGCCAAGATGACAGTATGGATGAGCTCTGATCACGGCAATACTGCCCTGCTGCCTTCAACATGGCACTGCCTGTGGCATCTGATAACAAAGTTGACTCGATAGCCCCCCTCAATGGTTGATTTGTCTTGGTTCGGTTCATTCTGTCAGTATGATATTTGCTAGAACGATGTATATGTGGTGTGAAATTACAGGAGACGTATACCCATACCCCTGCTGCTATTGTACTCCATGTGCAGTGATGTGTGACACCAGTAGGGTTTCTGAGCAAAACTAAACTGTTGTTCGAACTCGAATCAGACCTCCAGTCTGTGTGAGGGGTGGCTATCTTTAGACTGTATGCGACTCGCTGACTCAGACGTGTGACCTGTGTTACCATTCTTTACCCTCCGTTTGTGTTCATGCAGACATAACAGAGTATTGAGGTGACCAGGTTAAGGTACCGTACATTCTGCACAGAACAAATCTGCAGGATGACCAACTTCAGTTGGTATTGTAAACAAGGTTCACCAACGGATGAGGCTGTGATGGCTGACACCTGGTCATTGTGTGCTGATAATGCTGGAATTTGAAACGGTCAGGAAAATGTTTATCCAGATAAGTACTCCCCTGAACTGACAGACTGTCATGAAATCTTAGGGTGTGACTCTTGGGTCCAGGACGATCGATCAAGTACTAGAGTCTGTTCTGTGAGTCTGGCGGATTGGCAGGTGACACTGGCCTGCCAGTGAACAGAATTTCGTGCCAGTCTGAACTCCCTCTACATGTGATACTTTCGTGGCCGCACCAAGGGTATCCTTCGCAGGTTAGCGGCCTCTGCTGAAGTCCAGGTGGAACCCGTGTTCTGGCGATATGATGAACACACGTAAGTCGAGGTGTCGGTCTGCTGCAATGGCCAAGTCTAATACAACCCTATGCTTCAGTGGTACAGCTTGCACTGCAGGTTTATAACAACTTGAGTGGTGCATCGACTTTGGTTCGGGAGAGTGAGGACAGCCCTCTCGGAACCTGCAACCTCATAAGTTATGCACTCCCACAGAAGTCGCTTCCTGTGAGCCTTCAGATGTGTATGTGTCTTGCTGCTAACATGTTTCGTTCCAGTTCCGACCACACCTTGGATGGTGCAGGAAGTCTATGCATACCTGCCCATGCTGAGGGATGTCCTCGCCTGGCAGAATAGCAGTCACTGGACAAGGCCTGTTGGTCATTCATTTGTGTTGCGACACTTCAAAGGCATCCTTCGGCCATTCATCGGCTATCATGTCCCTGCCCTGTGTTCCCTGATGTATGCCTGGGGTGTAGTCATCACAGGTTCTTGCGCCCTGGAGATGTTGACAGGGGAACACCACAACACGGATAACCTAAACCTGGTTGTGCCACAGGGCAGCTTCAATGTACTGCAGGAATTTATTCTAGAGACTCTGAATTATCGCCAGATCATGGCAGTATCTCAGCCTCATCACGTGTTTCACACAGTAGTGAAAACATATGCAAAGTACTGACGTGGTAAAGTGCGCATTACTCTGTCGGAGGCCATCACAGAGGACGTCTTCAATGTGGTTACGAGCTCCCCAACAACGGGAGACATGGTCTTCATGACGCCTGGGGGTGTAGCAGCCTTCTACCCTGATCTTACCTTCGAAGGAATCGTGATACTCAACAACACCATGAAAGAGCGCCCGCCAGGTACTAAATTTGTGGGCTGCATGAAGCATGCACAATACAAGGTCTACGACAGCACCTGCTATCGCGAAGAGCCATGTGGCCATGTCTGCCCAGCTCTTTGGCGTAACATTGTGGATGGGGACCCGGGGGGTCTTGTGCTTGAGTGGGACTCAAGGTATTCCATCAGGTTGACCATGGCACAGTCGCACACCAGCTGGCGGCTGGCTGAGCACTGCAACAATGTCCTTTGTCCTCTGAATCCTGTGATCAATACGAGGCTGCCGCTGTTACCTAAAGTACCTTCGCCTGCCGATCAAAGTGCCATGCGAGAGCAGGAGGCTCGTATGCACCACCACCATTGTGTCAGTTCCTCTGCAGACTATCACATGGAGATCTGCTCACCTCGAATTTCACAGGGCGGTATGAGCTCATTCATGGGTGTACTATATGCTACACGGGCCTATGGTCCTGAGCTTGTGCCCATCCCTCTACGGAATGGACTCACACGACTCGGACACATCAACAACCTCGAAGTGTTGCACTGGGTCGACTGTCTAGGTGACAACAAGTTCAACGTTGACATGGCTCGCATGCACAAGACTTACAACATCATCACACTGTCTTCTTCTCCTGCTTACGGGTACGGGTACACCTTCTGTTTGCACCTCCAAATGCTTTGATTGCAGACATCATCGCCGACGTCCACATGGGGAATGCAGTGATGGGAAACGTGTTGGTCGTTAAGCACATCAGCGGTAACAAGCATGCAATTGTTGACCTCACCATAGCCGACTTGGATTGTATCAACGAGGTGCTGAGATGGTGCGTTTTGATGTACGACTAAGAGCTGTGGCTGATTTTGGTAAAGTAACGTTGGGCATGCTGAATTTTGGACATGATCTACGTTGTCACCGTGCATCAGTCAATCTCATATACTGCAATTAGTTATGGCGTGCAAGCCTCGCATGTACCATTGCTACCTATCTAGATATCAAATATGTTCGACTGTGTCACTACCATCAGTAGTCCATCATCCAATGGCGATATAATGTATGATTCCTTGAGCAACCAGCGCACTCCAACCCTGTATCAACCACATGGTAAGCGGGATAGCGACTTGACAATTTCACACTCACTTGTATTCTGCTTCGCTGATATAATCATTTGGAGTACTCGTTCTTGCACTTCAGATGGTATAGCCCCATAGGCAGTGCTCCTTTGGAGTTGCTGGATGACTGACATAATGACCAAGTGCATGGTTGTCAACTGAACTTCATTATGAATCTGTTGTACAATCAGATGTGTGATCAGTAAAATCTTCAGACAGGCAACTGCTACCTCCTGATCGTGACACAAACATCCACAGGGGCGCGGATAGGGTGCTGACACCGAGGGGGGTGGTTGTGGTACAAGAGGTCTGGTCATCACGTGGCCAGTCTCGGAGGGTGCGGGGCAAGCGCAAACATCCAAACCACACGAACAAAGCGGTGGGGGATCATCGGCATGCAATACCTCTGGCAGGTTTAGGAAAATTGGGGTGGGGTGCGATGGACCACCTCTGGCTACTTCGGTCGCCCACGCTGAGATGCTCATGTGATGGAGCTCATACTGAATAATGTGTAAGTCGTTGTCGTGGTCCTGGCAGTCTTTGTTCATGGTTGGCATTGACAGTCCTAAGTGTTATGATTAAATACCTTCTTGAGATGGTTCAGCTCTCAGCTGTGTATTCATATTAGGGACAGGATCGGGGTGATATTCATGTGAAATACTGAGACAAATCAAGACAGCCAAAGGGAACAGTTGAATTGCGAGACATCTGACAACATCTGGTCTGTCTGTGTTCAAGCTCGGGCATTCTTGATGCCTCCGGTACCACTTTCTCTCTCCAACCTGGCTTCATGCAACTTAGTGGCCTCCAATGCAAGGTGATCTGCCAACCGCACATTTCCGGCATACACAGCACTAATGTTCCTGTCGTTCGCAATTGTTCGGATTGTACCTGTGCCCTTTAAGAAACCAATTGTGCCTGAGATGTGTAGAGGTACGCACGAGTGAGTTGAGACTCGTTGTTGTATGGGTCGTCCATGGCAAACAACACAGTACAATGATGACGTCTCACATGCACACATCCAGAATCTCTTATGTCTCTTGCAGCCACCACTTCAAAAGCAGGGCAGGGCCGACCTTGACGGTGTGCTGGAAATTATGAGTGTTGGTACATATACACAGAGAACGTGGCCTCACCAAATATAAATGCCCCTTCTCCATCAAATAGCTCCACTAACTCTGTTATTGCATCAGTCATTGTGCTCAGTCTGACATGACAACCTTGGAGAAGCAAGTCAAAAGATGTCCTGGTGCTTGGGTGAGTGGTTCACATCATGTTTAGCCACGGCAATATTGTTCATACTCCACTGTACTTGAAGAAAAAATGTTCGTCAGTTGTTACCACATGGAAGAGCCTTCACCCTTCCAGGTCCACACGTTGGCACAGGTGACAGCTCAGAGTCTCGCAATTTTTGCTCCCCTTGTACAACTGTCTACAGGCAAGGACATCTTGGTGGTTGGATAATCATTATCATGTGCTGGTGAGCTGTCATCATCATGGATCGAGAATCTGACAGGGCTCAGTTACATCACATCAGGTTTCAGCCTGTGAACGAATCAGCACAGATGTTGACAATGAAAATAGGGGCACAGATAATGACCAATCCTTGTTCATGTGCCGGAGTGCTTTTGTGGACGTAGATCGAGACTTCACCCTTCTGGGTCTGTGCATTGGCACAGGCGACAGCTCGGAGTCTTACAATACATCTGTCCACAGGCAAGGACTTCTTTGTGAGCAGATAACCTTTTATCATGTGCCAGCAAGCTGTCGTCGTCATGGATCAAGAACCCGACTGGGCTTGGTTACATTGCCACTGATCAGGTTTCATCCTGTAAATGAATTAGTATGACCTTGACAATGAAAATAGGGGCATAGATAACAACCGATCCTTAATCATGTGCCAGAGTGCTCTGGTGGACGTAGACACCAGGTCTCAGATATGCCACTTCGGGTTTCAGCAGGTTACTGACTCAGTACAGACATTGATGGTCAGAATATGGGCACAGGATACAGGACGAGTCAGGTAACAGGGGCTGTGGATGGCAACTTCAACTGTCAGCAAGAGTGACAGAGTAGGCAGTGCGCAAAAGATTTTTTTGGTGAGCGGACTTGGACTACACATACCATACCAGTAGGTGTACAAGAATGAATCTAGAAAGCAGACGGTGTGCTAACAGAGGGCATTTCGAGGGGTAACAAGTCAGGCGGAAGGCGATTGACGCATCACGCTGTCCATCATCCTTCCACTGGTAGAAATATAGGGAGCATAAGCCATTTTCCCAGCCTCCCCGACGAGATAGTGGGCAAGATCATCACTTTCGGCATAAATGACTGACACGGTAACATCATTGGCAATGGTTGTGATCATACCTGTGAGCTGCGTGAGTAAATAGGTGCATGGAAGGACACAACGAACCTCGCAGCATGTCAGGCTTCTCACGCAACAGTGAGCCGGCATACAGAACAGAGGGATCTGCTTTGGTAGGAAAATGGGATTTCGCCGCAGAAATCTCATTGCAGGTCTGAATATGAAAGGTGGGCCTGTCCTCATTGCTGCGCTCAACTGATATATCATCAGAACAAGTGAGAGAAGTTAGGGACATCGGCGTACCAAAGATAAAAGATCCTACACCATCAAAAATCTCAATAAAATCAACCACAGCGGGGGCAAGCATCGTTAGATGAGAGGTGATCGGCGACACAGAGAGTAACAAGGCCTAAAACAGCCTGCGATAATATAACGAATGAGTGTGACATGAGCATGACAAATAGACGGACCAACACTTGATCACTAAACACTGGAATCCAAGACCGATGGTCATGTCCCTCACCACTGCGAGATAGTCAGCAGGAGTCCATCTTCAAGCCATTCTGGATGGCAAGGATGACGTTAGAAATTATGCAGGAGATGTGCAGCTGCTCGACAACGTCAAGTGGATAAAGATGGGTGAGAGACATCGCGTGGCATGTAAGGAGACGCCTTGAGAGCCTGCCATGCTCTGCACAGTCAGAGTGGTCTCTGCGAGAGTTTACCACCTGGCATGTGATGGAGATTGGTGAAGATCTGTCCTGAATGTGTTTGAGGATGTCCGGTCCAACATTCAGCTGAGCAACTTCATGTATCGCCTCAAGTCCCGGGCAGAAGAAGTCATGTGTTCAAAAGTTTGAACGTTCGAACATACAAATGAGAACACATGCAGTGCATGACATAACAAAGGTATCGACATTCTAATTGACTTGCACTGGCAACAGACACTCGAAAGAGTTTAGAGCAAGCGGGGTGAGGGAAAGGCTAACATACAAGCCACCAAAGCGACTGTTGACTGAAATTCACACATTCAAGCGGCTGTGGTGAGGGGGGTTAGGGTTATTCCGTATAAGGAGATCCGTTCCAGAACGGATTCCCATATGCGGCCCATGGTGAGGGGGTTAGGGTTATTCCGTATAAGGCGATCCGTTCCAGAACGGATTCCCATACACGGCCCATGGTGAGGGGGTTAGGGTTATTCCGTAGAAGGAGATCCGTTCCAGAACGGATTCCCAAATGCGGCCACAGTGAAGCTGACGTAGCTAAGGCCTGGTCACAGGTATATGTCAGACGTGACGAATGCACGCACAGACCAGTGGACACGGCCTGGGCCGAGTGCGATCGTTGATTCAACTCCCTTAAACCTAATAAAACTTGATTAAGGAATTAGCCGGACAACGGAGTCGGGGACTGGCGCTCGCCGCCGCTACGATTTGTAACACATTACATAATCCGAACAGTGCTGCCGCACAGCTATAGTGCGTCGTTCGGCATAACGCTGGCGCTGGCATCCCGCAACCGCCCACCCCCGATTTCGTTTTCATGCACAGCATCTCACCATCTCTTTCAGTGTTTATTCCTGCATTCTGTTTGCCGTTAAGTGGGTGACTATCCGTAGGCCAAAATAATGCGGAATCGAATATAATAGAATAAAAAATGCCATTTAAGGAAGTCGTGCCGCGATGCCGCAGTTCATTTACGTCGGATGTTCAAAACATATTTTTTTGAGGCTCTTACAAACTCTAAATCTGTAAGGGGGGGGGGGCCCCCCCCCCCCCTTACAGAATATTCAGATGGATTATATCCAGTTTTGGGCCACTAACGCCCCTGCGATCCGCTGACTAATCTACAACGGAGGTCGGCGCCTCACTTGTCTTGAGCTTAGTGACAATCGTTGCTTCATCACAACATCTTCGAATATACGGATTTTAACTGCGGTCCAATACCTACGCTGCCTGGAGAAAATTGTACTGAAGTTTTAAGATTTATAACAGCCGAACTGCACAATCACGTATCTCTGCAACCGGCCAAGGGACAACTTGAGCAATGCCGACCCCAATCAACCTCTATCTGTCCAGTAACAAGGACTGTCCATCCTTTGAGGTTAGGTGTGTGTTTTTTTCTATTAAATGCTTTGATCCATGTGTGTATGCGCTAACGTATTACTGCAACCACTACAGGGTGAACTTCACTATCTATCAACTTCAAGACACGCCTGTGCATCTGACGACCAAAATTTTTGGGACTTTGGGGACTTATAAAAGCTTGGGGACAACAAGGTAAGCTTTATCTCAATTCAAACGTTACTACAATTACAATGTCTGACATTCCCCCTCCACAATCTATGATTCCCCCTCGTAGTAGCCCATCCTACCCAGAATTACGCTACAACGACGCCAGAAATGCCTATGCACACAACGAAGACGGTGCTTGGGTTCCTCACCCAGGAATATGCAAGGTAAGTTTCATTTTTCTCATCTATGCTTTCAGACACTCATTACTACTATAGTCTATCACTTCACATGCCTTTGGCCTCGAATATGGGGAGCCCCAACTGGGTTTTAGTTATAAGGTACGTCAATGGCACCATACTATGTATTTTCGCTTGACTAACTGTGTCATATACAGCCTCCTGGCACCTATGCACTCACACTGGCCAACTTCCAGTCCAATTCGGACACTGCGCCACCCTTACAACCATCCGGTTCCCGTGTACCTCTCCGCCAGGTGCCGACTAACCAAATGATTGATCCTGCGCTCCTCCCGCTACCCGACTCTCCTGATCTTGACTTGAGTGACGCTGTCACTATCGCAGAGGCCCGTGGCCACACTCTGGCGGCCAAAACGGCGGGCTCTCATCGCCAGGTCAAAGGCCCAAGGGGCAAAGGTAAGGCCAACCAAAACATTGCATCTGCTAACTCAAAAAAGCATTCCCGAGAGGACGCTGAAGACGACGATGAAGTGCATGCTCGGCGAGGACGCCCTCAAGGTTCTAACAACTACACCAGCTCAGACGTCAAAGTTCTTCTGGACATGGTCCGTCAGGAGCTTCCCCTCGGTCAACGTGGATGGCAGGCCATTCACGTCAAGTTTGGCCAATGGGCAAAGGCAAATGGCCGGCCTGAACGCAAAGTTACTTCGCTCGAGACGAAGTTCAAGCAGGTAAGATTTGAAGTGTCATACTATGACTGTGAGACGGCTCACTCATTGAACTACAGCTGGTGAAGACCACGAAGCCAACAGGAGACGGTGTCTGCCCTCCAGAGGTCACGCGTGCACATCGTATTGATCAACTTATCAACGAGCGTGCGGGCACGCGTGACCTGGACAACATCGATTTTGATGACATCGAAGACGACGACGGCAATCACTCTGTCGTCTCTGATCAGTTTCAGGATGAGTTAGACCATACTCCCCCCCCAATTCAGCACACCGCTCTTGCACGCTCCACTGCTCGCACCGAAGCCCCCATTCCGCATCGCAACGCTCAAGGAGCTGCCGCTACAGATCTCCTCACTCGCCTCTCTGGTGCTTTGGACCCAGCTGCCCAGCGCGACCGTGATGAAGATCGCGCTAATCGCAGCTTCGCTACTGTGCAGCTGCTGACCCAAAGCCAGCAGCTCCGAGACTCAAATGCCAATGTCGAAAACTTACAGGGACAGCTCTTTGGTTTGCGCAATCATTTGTATGACGCCGAACGCGAACGCGATCGTGCTCAGCTTCGCATCGAGATGATTGAGATGACTGGATCCACACACCGTCGGCATATCCGGATGCCCAAACGCAAGAACTTACAGCAGGAATGGTACCCTGAGGGTGGGGGATCCGTCAGGTGGATCACAGACGAGGGTGAAAGTACCACATCCGAGGTCCCCAAGCCTCCCAAGCCTCCCCGCCTTCGAAGAGTTGGGCCATCTGGACTGTCGCAAGTATTCTGATCGCCCATACTTTGAGGACTTGGCTGATGAACTGCCCAAGCCCATTCAAAAGGAAGGGTCGCAAGAGATTTGAAGGAAGGGTTGAAAGAGATTTGATTGTACAATACGATTTATGTAGTTTCCCAGTGTGTTTAGGGTACCAATGTACCATTTGAAAAATTGACTGTCCTCTCATCTGTCCTCTCGTCCCTCTCATATGAGACAGGCAGCACGCAGCAACACTAAATCAATTTTCGATCCTCGATATGAGACGGGGAACATACAGCAGTACTAGATCAATTTTCAATCCTCGATACGAGACAGGGAACATGCAGCAGTACTAGATCAATTTTTGATACTCAAAACGAGACGGGGAACATGCAGCAGTACTAGATCACTGTTCTATCCTATGTACGAGACAGGCAACATGCAGCAGTACTAGACAATCCTATCTACTGGTATTCCAAGGTGACATGGAAGCGCGAAACTCGATCTTTCTTCCTCTGGTCCGAAAATAGCATGTTCTCAAAGTCTCGCCACACATCCATATCATCCTCTGTAGCCTGCCAAAGCTTCGTGTACATGGTCCGTATCTGATTGATTCCAACGCGGATGGCACGGAGATTGTGCAGCCGAAGACATATTTCGATGAGATTGCTGCGAGCTTCTTCGTTAGCAATATTGAGTGGTAGACGTAACCTTCCAAAGGCGCCTTGAATGGCACACATACCCCATTCTGCTGTTTGACGGTAAGAAAGTAGTTCGTGGTTAAATGCCATTTGTTCCGCTATCTCAGCAACTGAGCCACGTAAAACCTGGCCATGTTTCAGAGGTGCACGAATGCGCCCATTAATGGAGGACGTTCCACGAGGGAAGGCGGTATCTGCGACAATGTAATAGTCGGGAGGCGTGTGGAGTTGAAGTTGAGTATAGATGCGGGATGCGAGGCGAGAATCATGCCAGCTACCAGGTGCATTGGTCCTGGCCGCAATCACGATGCCTTTGTGAATATAAAATTAAGTACAAACTATAGCAGAAGACGAGAAAACATACCTTCAGCTGAAAATGTTATGACGGAACTTATGAAGTGCTCAGAAAGCCACCCATTGTATGTAGCATTTTCGATCTCATCATCCTCGGAAGTTTGCACAGGCAATTTGAGCCCGTCGATGCTTCCGAAGGCGCCTTGCAGTCGTGGGTGACGTGCGATCACGAGCACACTACACCGTTCAAAATCGGGTCCCCATGGCCATTGAATTCGGGCATCAGTCATAGAACGGAGAGTTTGTAAGAGTATGGGCAGTCCAGATGTGAGATAGCGGGAAACAGTGGCGGGAACCAAAGCGAATATCTGTTGGAGGCTAGTCTCCTGCATGGTGGAGTTGAGATAGTGAAGTATGAGGCCCAGTACCCCACCAGCATTAAGTGAACGCCGATTCAGGCGAGCGATGCCGTGCAAATTGATGTCAGGACGTGTGACGGGCCTCTCGTACCATTGGCTGGCAAAGCCAGAAGTCAGAATGAATGCAAAAGTCGGGGCATCAATGCCCATGGTGGTAATAAAGGCACGATCATTCTGGCTTTCATACAGTAGTTGTTGCCATGGAGTATTGCAATGTGGATCAGGAAGTAGCTGAGCGCGACAAAGGTAAAGTCTTCTAGGGTTCCGTGTATTGATGCGATCGAGTCGAGCAAGCTCAGCGCTGGCAACGAGCATGGCTGCTAACATTGTGGCATCTTCTTCGTCATCGAGAAGTGCCATCTCTTCAGTGTCGTTCACCAGAGCGTACTGTAGCAGTACGTCTTCCATCGGAGTTCTGACCAAGAAAATACAGATTAGTTTATTCCATATAGGCTACGGTTTAGTATTCTATTCAGATTATCTTTTGCAAATATGTTTTAAAGTCCGTTTTAATCTATTCCTTATTATTTACCCTACGGATAGTCACCCAGTCTTTGTATATTGCTCTCCATTTGTTATTACAGTAATTACTAATTAGTCTGGTGTCCCAATGTTCACGCTTGCGCTTAGCGCTCAGATGGCCAGGCCTCAGGCCTTCGGGTTATTTCTACCTTATCATCTCACACTGGAAGTTGCTACCTCCTTCTGCTATCCTGCGCTTGTGGGCTATATCTAGTGGTCACCTTCAAAGCTCTCCCAGGCATATGTATAATGTGCTGCCCCCTCGTGCTGCACCCATTGCAACAGGCATTGAGCTAGTTTCATGATGCCTGCTTCGCCACCACTGAGAGTATGTGATTGATACTAACCCCATGCTAACGGTGAGTCTTTTATTGAATGGAAACTGTGCTAATGTCACTTTTTGCTTGCTTCTCACTCTTCCGAACATTCTGTCGTACCACTCTGCCCGTCTCCCACACCTACTTGTACATTCTCCCACCTTCCAGTTCTTGCCATCAGTGAACTGATGAATGTATGAGAATGACATATATATCAATACATAGTATATAATTACTAAAATCTGCATAAATCCGCTATCGATCATCACATCATCATTTTTGACTTTGTCTAGGAAAGAACAGTTCTGAATTTCATACTCCGAGCTAGTGATAGGTAAAAGACACCCACTCATCACTCAAGGTCAGATTCGACGGGAAAGTAGAGCAAAGCTAATGGTTCAACTAGACGGATTGCAAGCGCCATGTCAGAATTAAGTTTCGCGATGTCAAGTACGGCGTGAAAGTCAGGATCTTCCTGAGGACAGTAACGCTGTTCAACATGAGCAAGAACTAACTCCACGAATTAAGCTTGCCACATCAGCAGTAGGGCGCCCACTGTTAAATCCCAACATAGCTCTCTGGAAAGCCAAATTTCCCTCACTTCAACGAGAATTCTCCATGTGAGACTGAAGGCCAGTATCTTGCAGGCAACGATGATATATTCAGCCGCGCGCACGACTAGAAAATCATTCCGCGCTTCAACCTCAGAGGATATCTTTTTGATACATCTAATTATTGTCAGCTATATATGAATTGGGAAAGCGTGTGAAGAAGCTATACCTTTGCGCAGCAGCTGGGTTTTGTTTTAACAGGCAGGCGACAATCAATTTGTGTCATCCTTGCGTCTCAAGGCGGTGTTCTCTGAATCACTAATGGCTGGCAATGGTATACTACTTACGACTGCGTCCCAAGAAGTCAGAGTCATGCGCGAACCCTGCATCGTGGTAGCAATGTACCTTAACTTCAAATTCAGTAGCGGAGGTTATGTATCGACTTCGGTACCCAGCATCCTCGATGTACGGTTTTATGTGTGAAGTGGTCTGTCAATCAAATCCGTGACGCGAGTCAAAAAAGCGAATCTCCCATCATAATTATCCAGACAAAATGTTAAGATCGCCACTCACATAGGCACGATACCCCTGCACAATGCTGAAAACTTTACATTTATGTCCTGAGTGAACGTGTCAACACACTCTTCAACTGTTGGGAGGGCCGCAGAAGAAAATGCCTATCTGCGGTGTTTGATCTGATGCTTGGACATTCGCAATTCGTTCACGAGAGTACATTGTACGACCAAACATCGAATATACTACCTAAATGAAAGGCAAAATATATTGCAGACACTTTTCAAAACTGTAAAATCATATTATGCCTGAAGAAACGCACCAAAAAAATTGCTACTGTTCAACATCCTTCACTCACAAACCAGTTGGTGGATGCTAATATGAAAGGTGCATTTGAGAAGTGAAATAACTGTGAGAGGTGTTGGCATATCGATATATTCTGAGGTAGGACTTACGCGTTCTCCAATGATTGTCTGCTTTACATTGATTGGGAATCCGTGGGAAGAAGTGATACCTTGCCACACTAGCCAAGGTGTGTTCGCCCAGCGAGCAACAATCGACCTATGTCCTGCTTCAACTTCCCACACAATCTTCTGCGAGTTTCTAACGACTGACAGCTATTTAGTGACCTTGCATGCTTACACTATCTACCACAATTATGCTGCATTTCTCAGATTCAGCTTCCGAGAATACAAGCACGAAGATCCAAACCTGTAGCTTTACTTACCTTGTTCATAACATGTCCATAATGTGCGAATATTATCACAGGTACTGTCTCAGATGCTTTGCTTCCGAAGTTTCACATCGAAGAGATACGATTAAATCATCACATCATAATTGCAAGATACTATTGTAATTTAATAATACCGTATTATTGAATGTTGATATACCAAACAAAACGATCCAATGCTCAACAGGGTGGTACTAGTAGAAGCCGCCCTTGCACCAGAAATAAATTACTCAGAATCAAAGAGAGCATCGTCCAGTTGTGCTCTCTGTGTCGCGAGCATGTTGATGGACATCCTGGCCTTTGCACCATCACTGAGTTCTGCACGAAGACTTGTGCCGAAGACTTTCCTAAAAAACTGGAGATCAGTTGAGGACTGTTGAGTGTGTAAAGAATGCACCTCATCCACCATGACAAGAGTCGGTTAACCCTTTGCTGCGCTGCTCGACCGGGGGGCCGTTCGAAGAAGTCGACAATGTTTTGCCAAAATGGGATGTAGTCGAAGTCGCCATCAACCGAGCGCCACGAAGTCACAGAAGACAGGGCAAATCGCAACTTGTTAAATATCGTCACTCCGCAAGGAAATTAGAAACTATTACAACGTACCTGACATGCTACATATGCGATCGAGCGGGGTGTGACTGCGTGCATCTTGATTATTTGCGCCACGTGTGTCTTCACTTTCTTGCATGAATTAAAATCCTTCTTAGCGCGTCGATTGGCTTCAATCACATCGGCGGCATCGCCATCGGCGGCAACCTCCCTTGCAGAGGAGGGCGATGTAAATATTGCTTTGAAGGCCTACTAAAATTGAGATCTTTGTCGAGCGACTAGAGAATGACTCACCTGAAGTAAAAGGGTGCTTTTGAAGAGGCCCTGCTCTAGATTGTCCTGATCCGCTGTGTATTTTTCGTACAGAAACGCCGGCCAGGACATCTCCGTCACGACATAGCCGTTTGTGCGATCCCTGATTCCTGCTCTGACGCTAGTGTATAGTAGTTAGTGTCGCGCAAGATCTTGAATGAGATACTTTACTTACGTTGGGTTATTCCAGTCTAGCTCCGTCGGGCAGAGTAGTCTGCCACACACATCGTTGATGAATCCACGGCAATGTTTGTCCTCAGGGTCGACTGGGGCATCGGGCTTCAAGTCGCGATTAATCCAGTCAGCGACGAGATTCTTCAGCTTCGAGGTGTTGTCCCCTCGAGCAGCATCGGCTCCCTGCCTGAGCTTCATAATGAGTTATTAGAAGACAGATGGTTTGTACTGGTAAAAAGCACCTTTTTGAGCATATGCGAGTAATCGTCATATTCCAAGTCTGAAGCCCTTGAGTGAAACCACGGAAGGGTGTGATTGAGTGTGATAAAACCGGTTTGCAAACGATCTTGACTACAAACCAAATGATCAGCAATCACGAAGCATAGGAAAAAGAAAAACTTACTCGACAGTTGTACTTTCGTTCTCGCCGTCCAAATCGCACCGCCTGTCGTTCTCGCATATTAGGTCTTCGATGTTTTCAAATAAGGTAACGATGCGTCTGATGGCTCTTCCTTTCGACATGTAATAGTTTATCTCCCTGAAAATCATATTGAATCAACTGAACGAACTAGATGTAAATGACGCCGATACCTTTGTTTGACTGCATGCCCCGACTCTAGTATCTGTAGCTTTTCTTCTAAAGCAGCAATTTTCCGCTTCTGACGAGCACTCTCAGATGTAGCCACCGCAAGTGACTGTGACCCTTCCGGAGGGCAGGGAACGTTCTCCACCGGCGTCTGACTGGGAGACATGGACATCTATGGCGAAAAGTGAAAAAAGCGAAATTGAGCCTATGATAGAGGATGGGAGAGGAGGGACTTGCCAAGTTAAATAATCCTGCCCGCCATTTTATATGATGGCCGTCCAGAGTCAAGAAACACAGCTGCTTTGAGATGCATAGTATGCCGGGAAGGTGTCAAACAACATTTGAGTTAGTACTAAATTTCATAGGCCGGAAAGAGACATGTCAGCGCATTGACGTTAACAATGACCGCTGAAAATGGTTTAAGGCGCCATGCAAGGCAAGTACGACATGCTGAAATTAAATTACTACTCTTTTGAGCGATCGTCAATTTGACATAGTGCAAGAAACGTGTCATTCATCTGCCGTATTGAGTTGGTCCGAGCATAGCCGAGTATGGGACAACAAGCAGACGGAGTCGTTGATAACATATACGGGGGGTATAATTGAAAGTCTGAGAATGTATATTGCTGGATCGGTGACTTAGTCTGTACAACATGATAATGGGAGCGAGGATGCGCACGTAATTGGGACCTCTGCAGAACCTCCATTTTGAGCCTCGGTGTCAGACGGTCTTAATCCTGTTGGACGTTCACACTAAGTTCAAACTCGAGCGTTTACTAAATCGTATGCATCCGAGTCCGACCTGAACGTACATCAATTGGGCTGGAGCGGGATGGCTCTGACACCGCGCTGCTCCACCCTATAGCGAAACTCCTGCAAATTCAAGCGATTCAAACTAGTTATTTAAACACTTCGATATCTAGTATATCACTGGTACTTACATGCAACCTAAGGAGTGCCTTGGTAACGTTTATAGGGTTGCTTGCAGCACGTTTGGGTGTATATTCGGGGCACCAGCCAGACTGCTCACTGCCCCACAGACGTTGCAGGAAGTTCGATGCCGGCCTGCAGATTGATCGGAAATTTGATTCGCCTCGAGACCCCCTGAGATTGAGCATGATTACTGACCTTTAAAGAGTTTGTGCTGCGCCTCAGTCGAGTTTGCCGATAGCTTTCAAAGGTAATAATACCTGAAGAATGTTGTAGAATTCAGAATAATCAAATGCGGTACGAAATCCGAGTCAACATACCTTGGACAGCAACTATTGTCGAAACAACTATTGTCGAAACTATGGCATAGAAAGCATACATGACTGGAGTGATATCATGATGGATGAGAATCTTCCACGTGAGCACATCGCGACCGCCACCTTGACTATTAATACAGCCAGTGCTTCTGAAGGATGGTCTGAGCAATTCATCAAATGTGTAAGCGCGAATGCATACCTTCAGCTTTGTGACGTGAAATAATTGGTGGCAAGATAAACATAGATCTGTTGAGTGGGGCTCTTGTTAATGCCAATGACGTCCATATGATCAGGAGTACGAAAAGATAGATGAGTAAACCCCGGCTCACCATCTGGGCACGTGGGACCTTGTAGAGATCATAAGTCCGTGCACAATTTGGAATTCCCAGATCACAGATCAATTGATTGTACTTCAAAATGTCTGTCCGAAGCTTGCGTACCCAGGATTCAACTTTGAAGTGTGTGTAACCTTCCGAGAAGCGTCTGTTCAGTTTGACTACTTGTCCTAAAAGATTGCCCTGGTGTCTTGTGTAACCGGCGGACGACTTGGGTAGGCTGCCACATAGTGTTCAGGTCTCACTTGGGGCAAATGACTACAGAGACGGGCCATCAGCGTCGTAATCTTTAGAACGAGTGGTCATTGTTTTCACCGTCATAGGGTGAAGTCCGAGAACTTTGCTACGGCTCCATGCTTTTTGTTACCACCTTCTGTAAACATCTCAACAAGCTCAGTAGGCACATTAGAAAGCAGTTCCAAACTCTACAACAACGCGAGAGCGGAAGCGATGGGCATAGAAATATATAAACCGAGGTACAATCTTGACTTGCACACTCGGATCGTTGACCATAGTACCAACCGCGATGATGGAAACACCAGGTTTGAGAGGGAGTATATCTGTCATGTCGTGACTTCCACCTAATATTCCAACGATACAATGAAACACCGCAATAAAATAATGAGGAGTGGGCTTGCCTTCGGGGAACATGCCAATGCACTCTCTAGCTTCTGATATACTCCTGGTCGTCGAATGGCAGAAAATTGAATGATGAGCCCTTCGTCTTTTCTCAAACTTCGTCGATCTCCAAATTTCTTGTCGTGTAACTCCGTAGTTGAAACAAGCTCTCAGTCACAGTTGAGTCGCCTGGCTTTGAAATGATTTACATTTTCGGAACAAACTCAGTTTTGAACTTGGTGCCTTCCCTAAGTATTAGATACGGGCCATCCAGAGAGAGAGACACCAAGTCCGTTCCCGGTTTGGCTTCGTCTGCAGATTGAACAAAAATCAGTAGGGAACAAGAAAAATATGACGCAATGAACGTACTACTAGTACTGTCCATGAGGCGGGCAAAAGAACCCCTTACCTTCCGCTCCAAACTCTCAGCAGCAGTCAGAAAGACCCGATGAAACGCAAACGGAAGCGAGGATACCATCAGCTAAAGACCACCAGCAGGTCTTGACGCGAGGGGTGTTGGAAGTATAATCAGGGTCCAGCAGCCTTCACATGGACAAGTAGTGACTCAGCGCTCACTGCTGAATAAGCAATGTCCAGTTGTGGTATACCGCTCTCTCAGGCTAGATATATATATGGCCCAAGTACTAATAGGACAGCTCATTTTGTACGGACTTGACAAAACCAATTAGTTAAAATGAAAGGTCGTCAAACTCGTCACTATCACTGGCACCATCTTCAAGTTCATCTTCCGGCTCTTCGTCACTAAATGCAAGGTCATCCTCCTCGTCTTCATCGTCGAATTCCCCGGGACCCTCGTTATCACTGAGCTCCTCATGATCCGAATCATCGTCCACAACATCGTTAGTGTCAGCTGGTGCCCGCAAGCCAAAACAATCTCTAGTCATGCTCCGGATTATTACCGGATGTCCAACGCCGAAAGGGGTATATCGCATAAACATATCGCGATCAACAAATCTGACCCAAATGTCAAAGGTTTACCTGGCAAAGGAAGTCTTATGCGTACTCACATCCCCACATAATATTCTTCCCAATCGTCTAGCTACCCTTCAGAACGCGCCAATGATTTCCCGTAGCGAAGGGAGCCTGTTCCACGTTCCGAGGCAAAGGCGGGAATTAAATGAGCTCCTCGTATTACTTGCGACGGATCGAGGAACCCAAATGCATCTGGGTCCGATTCGTCCACAAATGCAACTTTCGGGAGACGAGCTTGATCGAAGCCGGATCGATAGCCCTGCGGTGGTGCCAGCCACCTTACCCAGAGAACATCTAGATGCTGCTTTACAGGTCGAGCTCCATCGTTGAGCCATGTTTCTATTTGGTATATACCCAGTACACGGGCATACCAATATGGGTGACTAGGCCTCTTCTCCCCCGAAAGCACCATTACATCAGCGTGCGTTCTAGGGTTGACGGTATCGTATTCGCGCCTGAGGTCATACGTGGTGTAATACACCTGCATCGTCTGGTGTGAGTAAATTGTGTGGTTCGGGACGATGACCGTGTTATGTTCTTCGGCTGTGAATGTGTGATCACAATAACTAATGTCTAGCTTCTGCAGCCGGAAAAGGATGTGATCCTTGAGCTTTGGTATAAAATTCTGAGAACTACTGTGAGACACGTGTAAGGTGTGTGCACACTTCAATGTCACTTTACCTTGACAGCCGGGTCACCGTTGTGTTCTCGAACGAATGTGAAAATATTGATTGGGTTGCTCTGATTAGTTGCGATATGGTGATGTCGTCCAGATAATATCGAGGGGGGGTATCGATAGGTGATTGGCTGTCGGTGGAGGATATGCCTCCTGCTTCTGCCACACGTTGAAGCACACGACGCCTGCATTCATGCTTAGCTAACTGGGCCGGGGTATCTAACTTGCTCGTCAGTGGATAAAATGCCTTCAGAGCTCTGTGTGCAAGCTCCCCCTGGCCGAATTTAACTTCAGGTCGAGAGTAAAATGTATAACGTACTTACCATTTGAGTTGTGAATGAATTGGTCGTCCCGAAGAACCTGATAGTTCTCACATAGTCCCCCATCACGTGGAACTTGTATGTGCCGAGATTAAACTTCTTTACCCTAGGTTGACTTGATTCCAGAGAGGTGATATTTAGTTCAGAGCGCTGAGCGAACCTGCGTTGGCGAGCTGCCTTCTCTTTCGGTAACTCCATAGTACTGAAAGCAGCACAGGTATCACGTTGAAACTTCCGCAACTTCCGAGAGAGCTGTTTGAATGTCTCTTCGAGAAAGGTCACAGTAGATTCTGACTGAACCCTAAGCTTGGTAAGCGCGTGCCATTGTGCAAATCGATATAGTAAAGACTGCACGACTGCATCGTGCTCGGGAGGAAACAGCCCTTCGAAGACTGCGATAGAACACTAATGGCCAAGGTGTCAGCGACCGTAATAACAAAAAGAATGATCGGGAAAACCTGTAAGATATCTTCAAAATCGCGCGCTGCTAATCGTTTCATCTCAGAGGTGTTATTTGCAAACCTTCGAATGATACCATTCCCAAATGTGGGAACCTGGCGAAATCTAGGTAAGATTGAGAGTCGATGACTCATTAATATATATCAGTACTCTATATGAACACCGCATACCTGCTATTGAGGGTCGCGACCAGTTGATTACCCCCAGGGAGCGCATAAAGAAGTCGGATAAGGTGCGTGAATAACGCCTTCCAGGTACCCAATTCACATTCATGCATAAAGTCAACAACAAGTATGCGGAATGGGTCGAAGCCGAACGGTCCAAGCTTGTTGACAAATTGATTCTGCGAATTAATGAGCTCAGCTGATTGTACATGGTGCGGAACTGTTTCTGCTTACCATAGTGGGCACCCACGAACCCTCTCCGAGAGTGTGTTCGACTTTAGAGCCATCTACAGTGTTTCCGCACTTGTAGATAAAGTCACGCGCCTGGACAACTTTCATCGTAGCATATACTCGGAGGTTCGCGATACGACTTTTCATATCCTGTAGTAGACCGAGAGAACCGAACAATATTTTTGGTGTCAGACAGCGAGGACATGGACAAGAGCCCATATCTTTGATTGTCGCGATTAAGACCCTGAAAAATCATGAATGATGATAATGTTAATCAAGGTAAAGGAATGCACTTCTCTGGGTAGTCAGCCGAATATGTGAAGATTCTAGGAAATATCCTCCGCAGTACTCCATCCGGACATTTCAAAACGATACCATGGCGATATGCTTCAAGAAATTCTTCATCAAGCAAGGTTTCCCAGCAAGCGTGAAATAATTCCCTGCGACAGTATGTTTGAAGTGAGGCCATGCCAGTCTTCGATATACAAGATATTGTGCTCAGCACATCTTTGATACTGTCCGGAAGCTGACAAGGTGACGTCAACGGGTGCAGACATGAACCCGGTAATTAAGACAACTCACGGAAGGAAGAAATCCTACTAGGTGGCACGCTCCTGATCGAGGTGACGATCGCACATACTTCGTCAGATTTCCGAAATACAGATATAACGGCCAAGCTTTTGCAGTTCCAAAGCTCGCTAAGTGAGTTGAATCCGAAAAGAACATGAGACCTGCTATGACGTGTTCTAACGAACAACCAGGTTCCTTTGGTAGTTTCTGGAGATCGTCCTGAGCTTCTAGCCAGGCATCGGACGTATAGAGTTCATCGTATAGTCGTTCCTGACGATCGTCCAATGGGTCCTTCCATAGCCGTTTGAAAGGCATGAGATGGAATGCGCCTGCTTGGATATCTGCAAAGGCAGCCCGGATTACTTCGACGAGAGGACGGTAGTGAAATCCAGGAATAGTGTATGTTTTAGGCCCTTCCTCCCTTGACTTCGTAGGGATGGCAATCGTGACATCTGTCTCGACCCAATCATCTGGGAAAATGACCTTCCCCCCACCGTCACACCTATCTAATTCTTGCAAGCTTCTCCTCACTGAAAACCCCTCAAGATCTTTGAGGTCGAAGTTGTCTGCCTGCATAACCTCTTTGACGAGGCGCTGGACCTCGGCTTCAGATTTCCGGTGACTACCTGAGTTCATCCAGGTAATAAGGCGATACACAGACATGTTGGGAAACGGATAGGGTGGAGGCAAGACCTGCGCCTGAGAATCAGGTCCTTGAACGACAATCGGGCACGACTTAGCGAGTAATGAGGACGGAATGAATCTATCGGGCTCGAAGGGCGGCGAGGGTATAGGCGGCAGATTCCAAACGAGTTGAAGGATGTTTGAAGGGTGTCTCTTAGTGTTAACAGAATGTGTTGAATTCTCGATCGGATTGGGAGTGATGAGGCAGTGACTTCATGAGCGTCGTTGAGATCTTCCGCCAAATGCTCGATATCATTGAAAGATCTTGGAATCCGTTTCCTAGGAAGCACAGGTTCACCTGAGATAATCGAATAATCAGCAAGCATTACTAGATGCAAATACCTACAAAATACGAACGCGGGACATCATGTTCGCCTCTTGAATCATTTCCAAAAGTGCCAACGCCCTCTGAGTCCATCATAACATCGTTTAGTTCATCTTCTGCGTCCGAGCTAGAGTGCTGCAAATCCTCCGGTCCTGCAACACTGAATAACGCGGGCCCGGGAGTGTGACGGTTACTAGGGTTTGCTAGGGAATTTATAAGGGCAATTGGTCTTGGTTTTCCCTTTGTAAGTCCAGCGATTCGACTCGGAGTCGCTGGTAATATTCTCTGTCAACATGAGTGGAGAATTAGTTCAGCCATCTTACATAGTTGACTCGGAAGGTTTAAAGAGAAAATTTACACACTTGCAATGATGAAGCAGACCTCAGGTTTCCAACTAGATTTGCCGAAGTTGCGTTTCTCGCCCGCTGTAGCCTTTTCTCAGCTGCAAGAATGCTTGATTTCCTGAAAAAGTGGCAGCTGGTGCGATGCCTGTTGAGCCCTCGGTTGTCTGTAACTCTCTCCCAAGAGCAACCCAAATCTCCACAGGATATCATTGAAAGAAACAAGAGTAGTATCCAGAGAGCACCTGAAGGCCGCATACTTACTCCGGCTAACTTGAGCACAAAGTTACGGTAATAGTACCAAGTAGTCTTCAAGTACTCCGGCAGTGACACTTTTCGCACGAGACTAGTACTGCCTGATTAGAATTTATGGTTAGTACACAAGACGAGTACATAGAGTATACTTACAGGTATACGTCAAAACATGGCTTTTGATTCGGACCATTATTCAAATAGCGATCGAATATCTCATCACCGTGACTCATCAGTATTATGTACTTCTCTCAGAGGCCTTGTCGAACATACCTGAATTCTCTCTGCTCTCAACCCTGACATCGCTATGCCACCGAATAGACCGCCGCCTTCCCTGCTGAATATATTTACAAGTTATATCCTACTAGTGGCCGCCACCGTGCATCCGAGTCAGTGACAGCGAGCAGGAAGACCCTATGATGGGCGCAGGGTGGCACATCACAGAAATTGATTCGGTGTGTATCTGAGTTACGATGCCATTGTCACGGTGTGGGCATAACTCGGATGGCTCAGAGCCTCCTCCATACTGACTTTCAACCCTCCATAAAAATCACCGGACCAACTTGAAGCGGCTACGCCCAGTTGTTCTTCCCAAACCTTGTTTCAGATTTACCAACTGCGCACACGCGAGAGCCTGAATCTCCTGGAATCGCCGAGAGTGACAAGTGAGAATGCCACCACTTCTTGGTACCTCAAGTGCCTCGTCACGGCTACTAATATCATCTCAATTCTGATCGTGCAGAAACTGAAATTGCTTTTCTTTCATGCCTGGTTCCACTAGTAGAGTTTGGGTTCCGGAAGCGGTGCTCAAATAAGTATGAATGCCAGCAGTGCTGGTCAGGGCTCAAATTGATGTCGGACCGTCTCGCAGACTTCTATACTAACAAGTACGAAGTACAACGCCCCGCCAAAGCTGTATGCCATAGCTACATGATCTTGCTGCGTGAGTTCTTCATATCCGAGTCATAACGGCAAAATTCAATCAGCGAAGCTTAGTAGTACTGCGGCTCAATCGACTCATCGTCACATTTACGAAGATCAGAATCAGACAAGGATGCCTGGTACCTGCATGAAGCCATTACTATCTGGCTTTATTTATACAAGTGAAGTTGCCGCATAGGTTTCCAACGGATGAGTGCAGTCGGGCGTAAGCGTCGTTTTGTAACACTTCTGTGGCTTTGATAGCTTCCTTTTTCAGCCTACGATTTTTGAAATGCCAAAAGATGTCACTTAACCCCATTCGGATTACACCCTGGCTACAGGGGAGCCCAGCCCTGACTCGGAGGGGCTTCGAGTTACTGACTTATCCCCCCCACCAGTTCATCGTGCCCGGACAACTGAGTCGATGTGTCAGTGAGTGATCCCTTTGATTTAGAAGGTGGACCAAGGTAATGATCCTCTGCTCAGCTTAGTTAGTGCAGCCCGAGATCACGATGCCCATGATCGAGCGGACTCGGAAGCTCCCGCGAAGTTGCGGTGACTAAAATAAATTTAGTACGTGCCAAGTTAAATCCTCTCGAACCTCCTCGAGTCATATCATATTTATCTGTACTATATGCCAGTCATGAGGACTTCTGAACTTCGTGACGTAGCTATGATAACACTGGCCACTACATGAAATATCTCCCTTTTTGGTGTCAATGTTCAAACGTTCACTGAGTATCTGAGTATCTGAGAATATCGATATATATAAGTAGCTACTGGTTGAAAACGGGTTTGAAACTCAGTCCCCTCCCTCCTACTGTATTACTATTCACGCATGCAAGCCTGTCTTACTTGTCCTATCCGAGAGCCCAGTCCTGACTATCAAGGCAGGAAAGGGCGTGGTCCGCGTACTACTGTTTTGAAGCAGGATCCAGCGATTCGTTCTAGAACTCCGGGTCGTCAAACGAAACCCATCAAGCCTCCAAGATCACCACCTTCATCTGACACTCCCTATGATTCATCAGACGATGATATAATTGCACCAATCAACCCTCCTCCCATACTTCGTGATCTATCTAGCTATGCGAAGTGTATAAGACACAGAGCCAAGCCCTACCAGAGAAGTCCCAATGTAATAGACCGCCTCTGTGGTGAGGAGTGTGTCGGGTGCGGTGTCTCCAAGGATTTAGTATCGGATGTTCAAAGGGTATGTTGATCTTTGTGTGTTAGGTTAGTTGTTAATATAACCCCAGGACAAAGCTACCTTGCAACGTAGAATGCAGCATCTGAGTCCTGAGGCCCTCGCTCAAGCTGTGATCGCGGTTCAGGCTGATATTGAATGGAGGCGCGTGCATGCAATTGCAGCAGCTTTGCGTGTCGATGCGGTTCATCAACATTCCAAGTTTCTCGACATAACCGTTCAGAGTGAAACTGAAACATATATCAATGCTTCCTCGGAACCATTCAACACCGCGATAGAAGCACTCTCTGGTTGCACTACGGATGAGCTTATCGATCGCAAAAATTGCAGTATTACCACGTACGAACTTGATGCGACGTCGTTCGCTACTGCTGATATGGAATTTGAACAAGTTCAGAGTTTTGCGTGTACGCACTTCCATTTGCCTGCAAACAATGCGACTACTGAGTGATCACTGCAAGCAGCACCTCTTCTGCAATCGGATGATAGCACCACCAGTTCGGATGAAGAAAACTTCTGATTTTGGATGTTCGAATAATTCCACTGACCCTCAGGTTTTTTTTTTTCCTATTTGGCAACACTCGTACTAATCTCGCGTAACAGGCGCTGAGGGACGGGACTTGGGCATTTTTCCGCCATACATTCGCTACTGTTGCACACATCGTGGCGCGAAACACTGCGTTCTCTTTTGTTTGTAATATCACTTATAATTTAAAGTTGTACGATGTTCTTGATTTCCTCCATTTCTTGCAATATATATATATCTTAATCGGCTGTGCTGGAGTGATCCGATAGTGAATGACTAATGACTTCTCATCGGCTCCAAAGATCCGGATTAGAACTTGGCAACCTGATATAAGCTGCTCTCAGCGCTTCCGTGCCTTCTCCGTCGTCGAGAACAGAATATGTTTATTGTTATATCTATCCGATTATTTAATAGTCATCAGAACCTATCAGAACCCACTGGAATGGGTGGGAACGAGAATTCTGTAAGCGCCTGCGGTTGAATTATTCGCCGTAAAAAATAAACTCGATTTCCTATGATTTTTGAAAGTCCGAAATATTCTATTTTAATTATTTTGCCTGCAGGAAGAGGTCATCTAGTATATATGCATAAGTACTAGCCCGTGTACGTAGTCGAACCGCATGATCAATGAAGTTGTAATGAAGTGGTTGTTGAATTTGTACAGTCTGTATTGGGTGGTTACTAGCATCATATGCCACCTTGCGAAATTAAACCTTATATCATTCCGTAATTTACTGCCTTTGAATCAGGTGGTGTTGTAACGTCTACCCCCTGCCGTTGTTCATCCTCCATATTTTTGTCTTGTTTCCTGGATCCAATTCGACGCTCTCGTGGCGATTAAATGTGACCGTTTGGCATGTTACTGCAATTTTTGCTAATTTGAATGCAAGCGTGTCGGCATACACAACCGATCGGATGTCTCGGGATCGTTTGCGCAGGAGCCATCCGATAGTCCTTGTCAAGTACAACTTCAGTATGGGAGCTAATTCCACAACGCGGGTAACACGACTACAATTATTTGATACTGGCATGTGCATTTGGCCGCTACCGACTTCAAATCTCGAGGCGAAAGCATCAATTAGTACGTACTATTACTATCACAAACTTTATTTGCCGTCAATCTGTGCTCACCTTCACAATGATGATCAAGTGACCAGACCCATTACCGGTGGTTGCATTACGGAGTCCCATTTCAAGCTTCGACTCAACCGGTGAACCACCGCGAGTCTGCATTGATTTCGATCTGAACCAGGATCTGAACCACTTGTGAGTAATAAGCCCAAGCTCTCGGTTGAATTCAATGAACCCTGGCCGTCTTTGCTCATCATAACGGGAATTAATCCCAACTTCGTTTCTATCAATCGGATTTAGGGGCCAGCCTCGAGGTAAGTCCAAGCAGCTTCGAACACCTAAATATCTAGTAATCTAGCTATCCACGATAGGATCATATCAGCTGCCAGTAGCATGAATAAGACCAACGCCCAAAAGCGTGACTTGGCACGAGTTTACTGCTGTAATCTTGCAACCATTTTTTTCGTCCATACAAAGCCACTTCGTAACTGACTCCCGTTTTAACTCAGACTCGGAGTTGCAGCCATCACCTGAATTCGAAGGCTCCCTCAAAGTCACGATCGAAAGAGGTAAGACAAGTCATGTTATGTTCATCGTGATCATCATGGACTAATCATGCACAGCCAGAACTTCAAGTTGTTCAACGACTCAGAGATGTCTCATTGGAGTAGCAGCTACTCGGGCCACCCTGAGGACCATTTTCAAAGTCATAGTGACGGTCCAAGTGCCCCATCAAGCTCCTTACCGCCGCCTCAACCGTTGCAACGGGACACAGGTTTGCCAGCGAGCAGCCTCACTTACGCTGTAGATAACGGCAGCTACACGCATTTCCAGTCTCAATCAGAGCTAACATATGGTAGCCAGCGTCAGTATGGTGTTGTAGCGCCCAATACTTCCCATGTGCAAGATCCCGCGAGCAGCAGCTTCCAGACTTCGCAGTCGCACTTACAAGAGCCCATTCAGTAACATTTTCCGACTTAGTCGGACAGCCAAAGGTTGAGATTCTGCCCAGGTAACCGGGCCATCCAAGGTGGGCCCATGGGTGGGTGGGAGCGGGTGGGCCCACAGTGCAGAAATCACCGACACTGGCGGCTGGGCTGAGGTGTGAGGTCCATAGAGATGAGTGGGCCCAAAATGTGTGACCTGGTAGGCCTGCATGCTTGAGGGTGAGAATGGGCCAGGCGGATTTGCGAAAATTGTGACGGATGGGCCCAGCCCGCATGTATGTGTACATATGGGCTCGGGAAACAGGGCAACGGATGGGCCCAAAATGTGTGACCGGGTGGGCCTGCATGCCTAAGGGTGAGAATGGGCCAGGCGGATTTGCGAAAATTGTGACGGATGGGCCCAGCCCGCATGTATGTGTACATATGGGCTCGGGAAACAGGGCAATGGATGGGCCCAAAATGTGTGACCGGGTGGGCCTGCATGCCTAAGGGTGAGAATGGGCCAGGCGGATTTGCGAAAATTGTGACGGATGGGCCCAGCCCGCATGTATGTGTACATATGGGCTCGGGAAACAGGGCAATGGATGGGCCCAAAATGTGTGACCGGGTGGGCCTGCATGCCTAAGGGTGAGAATGGGCCAGGCGGATTTGCGAAAATTGTGACGGATGGGCCCAGCTTGTAGGCATGCTCGGGAACAAGGGCAATGGATGGGCCCAAAATGTGCGACCGGGTGGGCGTGCAATGCCCGAGGATAGGCCCAGCGGATTGCATGTAATCTTGAAAATCACCACGGATGGGCCCACCATGGATTTCATCTCAGAAAAGGCAAATTGGGCCAGTGCATATGCAGATGCGGTCTCGGAAACAGTGACGGATGGGCCCAGTCCGCTGTGTTTGAACTCGGAAAAGGCAACGGACGGGCCCAGTCCCCCATGGATAGAATAACTTCGGGTGGAGTCTCGGGGAAGGCTATGGATGGGCCCAGAACATGCTTATTTGCTCGCGAAAATGGTGGCTGATGGGCTGAATGTGCTTGGAAGAAACTCAGGAATAGACCCTTCCACCCATGACTGTGGAATCGGAAAGGACGACGGATGGGCCCAGCACTCGTCGTATATAGCCGAGAATGGTGGAGCCCGTAGATTTGGTCTCGGCGAAGGTGACGGGTGGACTCAACGTGTGTGTATTCCCGAGAATGGTGACGGATGTGTGCAGCATGTATGTTGCATGATGGAAGGGGCTACGGATGGACCATCCGTCATCCCTTGCGATGGCGATGATTTCCGGGCCCATCGGGCAAAGATAACAAATTGGTCAGGTGGCAGACAGAACCTTCATGTAGTTTGTGCTCGACCAGAGCGGCAGATAGGCAAAGACCCTTACCGACCCAGGGTTCTGACGACGTCCCAATGATGGGTCCGCCAGGCACTTCCGATATCCTATTTGCGCCTTGGCAGAATATGGCATATCGTCCGCAGGGCTGACGCCATTTGATGAGCCATTAACATTAGCTGGGCCATCCGAGATGCCCTTCATTAACGAAGAGTTGGCATCGCCGGACCTGTCCGATATCCTGTTTGCGCGAGGGCCAATTATGCTTCCTCCGTCCCGCTCATACGTCCGCTGGGCCATTGATTTATAATCGGCTAGGCCGCCATCAATGGAACCTCGGACTGTCACAGACATTGCTCTTGATGCCTTCCTCTATTCATAATGTTTGCTGTCTGGAATGCATCGGGATGTCCGAGCGATCTTTTGCACAAGACTACGATCTCCGGCTAGAAGTCAACACAGCCGACGATGTCCTTATTATGCGATTGATGCATCGGACACAAACCGCATGGGTGAGAAGTGGGTTAAGGCTTGTTGCGGTTGCAGACGGCGGTGCAAAGGAAATGTATGGATCGGCCCAGAGAGTGCTGATACGGAGGGGCCCGACTGGCCCAGTCCATACACATTCGTAGTGCGGATCGGCCCAATGCAGAAGTATCTGGCGCAACCGGTTGTTCTGAACCTAGTGCATAGAAACTCTATACGCAGATCGGCCCAGTGCACAAGTACCCGGAGGAGCCCAACTGGTCATTCTGGTACCAATTTGGTGTGCGGATCAGGCCCAGTGGGTAAATTGTAGGCCCAGTATGTGTGTATCTTGATTTGGGCAACTTCCAGAAGGCTCAAGCGACATGATGTGCCACCCATTGATATTGCATTGCGGCAGGGAAAACGGAAGGCCCAGCTAGTCGTTTTGAGCACAATCGGTGAGTTTAATTAATGCATATACATTGATGCTCGGGACATGTTGACGGATGCGCTCGGTCAGTAATATAATATATCAGCCAAGCAAGTAAGTAATGCATTCGGGTCTCGTTGGGGCTTGGGAATGTTGGGGCTGGAACACGAACATGCTGTTTTGGACTCTGAGTAGTCAGCATCATACCTCGGTAATTTAAAATCTCGGCAAAATTTCATCGAGCACCAGTGGTCCCGGATGTTGATGGCGACGTGGGCCTTTACAAAGGTGACTCCGAATGCGAACTCCCGGATGGATATGTCTCATTATAAACAGAAATTTTCAGCACTGTATCGGTATTAAATAGATTGGTTGTCGCTATTCAGAACTGCACCGTGATGACTGGTTCCGGAAGCTAGTACAATCAGACAACCACATATCAGGTCATCACCACTTGATATGGTGGGTGATGACAATCAGTTCCGGATGCACCTTCTGTGTATGATGCTAAATCATGTCGGATATACGCAGGCGCAGTCTGGCCAGTATCACGGTGATTCGCGGAACCAAGAGGGTACTCCTATTGCCCGGCTCACGCTTTCGTCCACCGGACTCCTGGATGCACTTGCCGGTACAATAATCACATGTGAAGATGATTTGCACATCCTCAGGTCCCAACTTTTAGTTAGAATGAAGCAACACTATGATTTGACAAAGATCTGATAACAATACCACATACACAATTTGCATGGACTCAACTTATTGAACTCGGATACAAATGCAGCGCCAGGCTGAACAAGCAATATTCTAACAGTACACAGTCCTCCGGAATATCTACAGTACATGCGGGGGTCCCGCGATCAGATCCATCCTATATAACTAGTGACTATTTAAAGTCGTCATAATGTCGTCCATCTATTTTATGGATTCCAAAGATTTCCACCGGGCATCAGATTCGTTGAGCCGGAGCTCTAACTCGTCCAACCGCTGAAGCAGGTTGGTCTCAACTGAACCCACTCTGACCTCCAACGCGTCTACCCGCTCATTGGCGGCGAGGAGATCCAACCTCCGACTGAGGTCCTGGATGCCCTGCAAGATTTCTCTTGCGGTGGGCTCTGGTTCCAGCAGGTTGGTGGGCGCAGGTGATTGCCGGTTTTCCGGCTGTATTTGAGCCTGACCCGGAAGGACCTCCGTGGGCTTTTTCTCTGCTCCTACCAAATCCAATGAGCTCAACTTGTTCCGAGGCCACAAGAAAACGTACCTTTGCTACGAGCAATGCTCCGTTGAGAGCGAGAAGGACGCGCCGCGAATTTTTCGGAGACAGCTCGGGACTTGGACGTCTTGGGGGTTTTGCACGCGTCAGAGGATGCTTTCGCCGCATTACCTTGCAACCTCTGCCGGACACCAACGCCGTCGATTGCGCACACGATCTTCATGTTGTCGCAATTGGCGCAGGCGAGGCGTGTATACCCGAATTTCTTGTCGGGGAGGACAAGGCAGGCTACGTCCAACTTGGCACACTTGTCGCAGCGCCGGGGGTGGTAACGAACGGAATGCTTCAAATTCATTAGCCCGTATTTATCACGATGCATACACAGACTTACCTGCCAAGGAGTAGCGACATCAGAATCCGAGCCCCATTCTGCAGGCTTAAAAATGGCTCAACGTCCGCGCTATGCTTATGTGAGAATCACTTACCCGAGTTTCTGCATCCAGGAAATCCTTGTCTGCGACTAGGAGAACGTCCTTGTCAGTAGCGACAGGCGGCAATTCCTGGAGCGGTAAGCTGTTGGATGCCTGATCAAAGATGAATGGACATACCCTTCGTTTTACATGGATGACTCCTCCGGTTGGCTCTTTTTTGACATCGGACTTCACCTTCCTCATCTTTTTGGCAACTTTGGTCCCATCAGTATCTTCATCTTCCACCTTCCTCTTCTTGCTATCGCCAGCCGCGGAAGCTATCTTCCATTGTTCCCTCTCAGCTTCTGGAAAATACAAATGTCGGTATCTTAGGGGCGGATGTGCTGGATGACCGACACGGGGCGGGTTCTTGGCCGCTTGCAACCGTCGTTTCGGTTCCTCTACTGGCGTAGCGATGACATCCAGGTCCGTTTGGGATGGCATAGATGGCGGAGTCGAGGGAGTCGATGGTGGGACGATGATGGCCGGTGGTATTGGGACGGTGGCGGGAATATCAGTCGATGTCCCGATGGCGGGATGGTTAAATGTGGAGGGGGGGCGATAGTCCACGGTCTTCTCGAATCGTGGGTGATTCTTTATCCGAGGGTCGTCGTTGGTGACGGAGGTCCAGTCGGGGACGTTTTCAAAGGCCCCGCCCTTTGAGTGCTGTCTCACAACGGTGGCAAATGAGAGTAGCTGTGGGGAGAATGATGTAGCATTCCCACTGTATAGTTTTAAGTCTTTTGCCTGTGTCGAATGTCTTAGTTTAACACGGAAAATTTGAAACAAACGTAACAAACACTCACCACACGCCTGGCAATCTCGTCCGACAGCCTTAAGGCCTCGGGATCACCCTTCTTCACCTTGATGCAGCGCTGAACGAGCGATTGCACGACAGCGAGCGTGGCATTCAGGGCATCATTTGCTACTTCGGGAGGTACGGCCATGATGTCTGATTTGAAAGAAACACAGTGGTGAACAGGGTAAATACGGCAGATATGAGAAGTTGACTTGGAAAATTCCGACAAGTCTGGATTGTAATCAATCTGGTCATGAGTAATGCTGGGGACTTGTGGCTTGTGGATAGGGAAATGTGGATCAGTGGCAATGGTATTGTACTTGGGAGTGGTTCTATTATTGTCCTATGCATTCGGATGTAATACTAATAATCCATCCACCAATGTCCGGATAAACCGATACTGCATGTTTGAACAAGCCAGACTCTGTGCTGCCCTGCATCCACCCATCTTGGTCAGGGTGCGATTAAACTTCTTATGCTCATTTTCCCCACGATCTCCACATGTGATACTTCTGAAACCCTATGCTCAGATCCACTGGCCAGAACTTATTTGTTGTCAAAACCCCATTACTTATTCGCCGCCCAGCTTATACAATTTTGTCACTGCATTGCAATTATTCTACTAGTAGCAGTTGTAAATGCATTTGACAAGTGCGGCCGAACAAGTAGCCCATGTAACAGATAACTACTCACATATTACAGTGACCTATTTCCGTATAATACGAGGGAACGGACGTGCATAATATCCCATATGATACGGGCCAGCGGACCATGGGCCCATGATCAAAATATCCTCGACTATGACGGATGGGCCGGGAGGCAAATTATTCCCGATGGAGGCGGGTGGGCCCATGCAGGGGATATATAGAGTAGATGAGTGGGCCGATGTACATGAATATTAGGTAGACGGGTGGGCCGAGGTAGTTGGATATTATGCAGATGGGTATATTAAGGTAGATGTGTATGAGATAGATGGGTAGGTACTTGTTATCACATTCACGGGTGGGCCCAGACACATATTAAATTAGATGGGTGGGCCGAGGGTATTATACAATATTGTATTATATGGGTGGGCCCAGACGCATATTAATTAGACCGGTGGGCCGAGGGTGTTGTATGGGATGTTGTATTAGACGGGTGGGCCGAGGGTGGTATAAAATATAGATGGGTGGGCCCATGTGTATCATAATTGTAAACACGATGGAGCTGAGGTAGTTGTACATCAACCAAATCAGAGGAGGTAATAAAATCAAAGTTACCAAGTTCCTGGAGCAGCAGGTGATCTCCTGACATGGCCTTTGATGGTGCACAGGTTGTCTTGCAAAATTTGGAATCCGGGGTGCGAAGCTTGTGTTACCCTATGAGAAGCCAAGTTCCGATTACCAACCTTTGGGTCAACTGTACTCAGAGGAGGTAATAAATCAAAGTTCCTGAGTTCCCGGAGCAGCAGGTGATCTCCTGACATGGCCTTTGATGGTGCACAGGTTGTCTTGCAGAATTTGGAATCCAGGGTGTGAAGCTTGTGTTGCCCTATGAGATGCCAAGTTCCGACCACCCAAATTTGGGTCAACCATACCGACTTCCAAGTTCCGGGACCCGGTGTAGAGACTCGTGCATCTCATAGTGTGATATGGCGCTTTACACTAGGGAGTATACAGCACCAACTCGCAGCATCACTCTGTGTACCATCCACAGTGATTCCTATATGACGCGCAGCTTTCCCGCACAACGCGCGCCATGCGCGCACCCTTCCCGCGCTTCACGATGTATACGCGCGCGCGCGTTCCCGCGCTTGCGCGCCCTATAGCGCCAGCCATCCAGATGCATCCATCCACTGTCCACCAAGCTCCCTAGTGCGTATATTTCCATTTCCTTTATTAGCATAGTTCCACCTTTATTTTTATCATAGTTTCTCACTCATATATATTTTTACATACCTACTCGGTAGCGCTTCGGCTCCGCATGAGCGCGCTTAGGCGCGCTATATAAGCGCCAGCAGTACATACTACACTTTACCTTACTTTTCACCCAACTTTACCTAGTACTTACTACTTAGAAAGTCGCAGTAGAAATCTATTCATTAGCACAACACATCTCACATCCTTTATCTTGCTTATATCTTCACATAAGTTTAGTCTCTCTTATTTCCGCTTACACGCACGCGCTTTCCCGCGCTTCGCGCTAATACGCGCGCGCGTTCCCGCGCCTTCGTACCTTGCGCGCACCTGCGCTTTCTCGCGCTTCGCTGAAGCGCGTACCTCTAGATCTCCGCTGCACCTGCTTCCCCTTTAGGGTCGAATGCACTTGCCATCTCAAGTATCGCAGACTAGGCAACGCACGACCTACAACTTTTTAGATACAGTCAGGAGCATTTCTTTGTTCCTCTCAGTATTGTTGTTTCTACAACTGGAGCCCACCGCGAGGGGAGCAGTCAGCAAGATCTAGTTCCGCGCATTTCGCGCATACAGGTCAATATCTTTGCATTTCAAAAGCTAATCATTTTCTAGTCACGCATTCTCGCGCCTTGCGCGCGCGCAATATTCCCACGCCTGTGCGCCTCGCGCGCGCACCTTTCTCGCACTTCACACTATTTAACGCATAAAGGTCAATCTCTTTGCATATTCAAAAGCTAACCAATTTCTAGTCACGCATTCTCGCGCCTTGCGCGCGCGCTTTCCCACCCCTATACGCCTTGCGCGCGCCTGCGCTCTTTCACACTGCAATGCCTTATAGAATGCCCATCCGCGGCACAGCAAACGCGCCCAAGTTCGACGGCACTACAGACAACCTCGCCAAGTTTATTGATACCTATGAGCAGCTCGCTGATGAAGCAGGACTCCAAGGACTCGACCGCATCAAAGGTATTATCCGCTCCCTTGAGCGCGACGATCGAGAACTATGGGGCGGAATGCCTGAAGCACAAGTAAGCGATTACGACGCCTTCTTAGACGAGGTAAAGGTAATGTATCCTGGATGGGATGGTAAAAGACGCTATGCGCTCGCGGACTTGCGCGCCATCGCGCGCGAATACGCTAACAAACCAATGTCTTCTTGCACAGAACTAAGCAATTACCTGCGCGCATTCAGGAAGATTATGCAGCCACTCATGGATGAAGACCGTTGTAGGGATTCATTTCTGGTTGGGCTTGTAGAGACTGTTTTTACCTTACCTTATGTTGGCACTTCTGTAGCTTACATAATCAATCAATCTTTTCACCAGTTACCAGTATGAGTCTGAGTGCTCAGTAGTTTTCTATGATATTTCCTCTCCTCTGAGCCTTGAGCCTGGTCCAGAAACCCTTTAGGGTCGAATAGCAGCTAGGTTCTGCAAGACCCAACATTGTTCAGACTCACCATCTGAATTGTTGTACCTTCACCGGGAGTCGACAAATGAATATCTGATAACCAGCACACTTCCAATCAGGTAGTATTTCATTGAGCAATGAATCATCCAAGGGGTCTCTTATCAGACTCGGTAGTCAATATAGGCAAATGATAATGAAAACATGAAAGTTGTTATTATGCTATTTTTCAAACCCGAGACCCTGAAACCCATTGTTCAACATGTCCATTTTTCACTCACTGCACAAATCACCAAGTTTCGAGTGCCAAAGCGTGAAACTTGAAACCCAGTGTGCAACATGTCCATTTTTCATGTACATTACACAATTCATTGAGTTCCGAGTGCCAAGTGCCGAAACCCGAACCCCGAGACCCGAAAATATGTATGCAACATTTCCATTTTTCACTTGTTGCACAAATCACTGAGTTTCAAGTGCCGAAACCCAAAACTCGAAACCCAGCATGCAACATGTCCATTGTTCAATTATATTACACAAGTCATGGAGTTCCGAGCTCCGAGGGCCAAAACCCGAACCCCGAGACCCGAAAATATGTACACAACATGTCCATTTTTCACTCATTGCACAAATCACCGAGTTTTGAGTGCTGAAACCCAAAACTTGAAACCCGGCATGCAACATGTTGATTTTTCATTTATGTCACACAAATCATTGAGTTCCGAGGTCCGAGGTCCGAGACCCGAACCCGAACCCCGAAAATATGTGCACAACATGTCCATTTTTTACTTGTTGCACAAATCACTGAGTTTCAAGTGCCGAAACCCAAAACTCGAAACCCGGCATGCAACATGTTGATTTTTCATTTACATCACACAAATCATTGAGTTCCGAGGTCCGAGGTCCGAGACCCGAACCCCGAACCCCGAAAATATGTGCACAACATGTCCATTTTTTACTTGTTGCACAAATCACTGAGTTTCAAGTGCCGAAACCCAAAACTCGAAACCTGGCATGCAACATGTCCATTGTTCAATTATATTACACAAGTCATTGAGTTCCGAGCTCCGAGGGCCGAAACCCGAACCCCGAACCCCGAAAATATGTACACAACATGTCCATTTTTCACTCATTGCACAAATCACTGAGTTTTGAGTGCTGAAACCCGAACTTGAAACCTGGCATGCAACATGTTGATTTTTCATTTACATTACACAAATCATCGAGTTCCAAGTGCCAAGGGCCGAGACCCGAAGCCCAAGACCCGAAAATATGTATGCAACATTTCCATTTTTCACTTGTTGCACAAATCACCGAGTTTCAAGTGCTGAAACCTGAAACTCAAAACCGGGTGTGCAACATGTCCACTGTTCAATTATATTACACAAGTCATTAAGTTCCGAGTTCCGAGGGCCGAAACCCGAACCCCGAGACCCGAAAATATGTGCACAACATGTCCATTTTTCACTCACTGTACAAATCACTGAGTTTTGAGTGCTGAAACCCAAAACTCAAAACCCGGCATGCAACATGTTGATTTTTCATTTACATTACTCAAATCATCGAGTTCCGAGTGCTGAGGGCCGAGACCCAAAGCCCGAAACCCAACATCATGTACACAACATGTCCATTTTTCACTCATTTCACAAATCACCAAGTGTCGAGTGTCAAAACCTGAAACCCGGTACTTCAAATGGACACAAATTGTATTTGTATGTATTATCCATTGGTGTAGGGCTCAAATAACCTGGGAATTGTATTTGTCAGTACTCAGTACTTGGGACTTGGGACTTGGTACTTGGTACTTGGTACTTGGCACTCAGTGATCGGTGGTCAGTGGTTGGTACTT